GAAATACAATGACATGCATTTCCCACCTATGAGATTGTTGAACAACCACTAAAACTGTTAGAATAATTGATCAAGCACATTAATCAAAACTGGTATCATTTGAAACTCATTCCAACAAACAAACAAAAAAAAAAAAACGAATACGTAAAAGTACAATTGTACATCGGATATGCAAATATACATAAGATAACGTTGTGATTTAAGCTAATGGTCTGTATAAATGTTAATTAATAACAAGTGTTAAGGCTAGTATAATTTTACTAATTTAACTAAATGTTGGATACAAAATGAAAGGAAATGCTGGGCTACAACGTAAATGGGTATTCTTTTATTTTTTTTAAATGGTAAAGGAAGGAATACATAAAACGCTTTTTTGACTGGCTTAAGTCATCGGCTGGCTTCTTCGAAAAAAAAAAAAAACAATGGAGCCTAGGGCCAAAATCGAACTAAGTCAACCTAAAGCAAAGACATAGAAGTATAAAGATGGGACAAGACAGATTTAAAATATGGCAACCCTGTGAAAATACCTCTGTTGTTACGATATCATAACAACATAGTTACCAATGTTAACTGATTTAAACCGCTAAAGCAATATGCATATTTTTGAAAAAGTCTATGGAACAGAATTTGGAAACCAAAATTTTGGATTTTTCCAATTTTAATTTCAAAATTCTATTCCTTAGACTTTCCCAATTAATTACATATTTCCCCAATTAATTACATAAGACGAAGACTTATTCCTGTCAAAAAAAAAGCGTTTTATATATTCTCAGCTTTAGAAGTGTCAGTATAGAAAGCATTAACTGCGCTTAAATGATAAGATACCATAGACTATGACTCAGCAAGAAATTCAGCGTAGGCATACAAATACACCTATAGAATTTGGAATAGTACATACATACACCCCATGATATATTTTTAAAACATGATTTGAAATGTATAACTCCTGTCAATGTTGACATTGTTCAACTTTGAAAATTTAGTGCGCAAACAAAAAATGCTAAAGGTGGGAATACATAAAGCGCTTATTTGGCTGGCTTCTTCGGAAATGACCAAAGGAGCCTAGGACCAAAATCGAACTAAGTCAACCTAAAACTCCTTTATTTATCTGCGAAGAAGTCGTTTTCACGATGTTCGTCTGTCTGTCTGTTGAAATCATCATACAGCCCACATTATTTGACGTATCGCTTCAAATTTTGGCAGAACAATTTGTATTGTATCTATGGTTTTGGTACAGCTTCCATATAAAGGTACCTCCCAATATTCGGTATTTTGATGATTTTTGTCACATTTTTTCACAGATTTGTCTAAAAATTGGTATTTGTAGGTCATAATTGGTTCTAGCTCTGGTGGCAAAACATTGTATGTATAGGTCCATGTTTTTGTATAGCCCCCATGTAACGGTACCTCTTTATATTCGGTATTCAGATGATTTTTATTTTTAATACCCTCCACCATTTCGAAGGAAATTGAAAAGTTTCAAAAAAAAAAAACTCCGAAAACTACCACTTAAATGAAAACCATTATATGGGGGCTATACGAAGACGTGGACCTGCATACAAAAAATTTTGTCACAGGCGAACTTCATATACGAAATTTTTAATCGAAATATTGGATGAATAAAAAAGGAAATATTTAAAAAATAAAAAACATAGTTTTTAATGACCTTAAGCCAAGCAATTAACCAAATAAGTAAACTTCCGGTAAATAATGTCGCTAAAATCATAAAAATACCGAATATCGGAAGGTACAGTTATATGGGGGCTATACAAAAACGTATACCTGTATAACCAATTTTCTGTCAAAACAGAGCTCAAACCACTATATTGTTTTTTGATAACTCTATTTGCATACTCCTACCGATCTTATTGGAGTTTGTAGTTTGAAATGGCATACGTTTGAATACAGATATTTTTGTATGAAAATGTTTTCTTCACCTAATGGTGGAGGGTATTAGAAGTTCGGCGCGGCCGAACTTAATGACTTTTTATTTGTTTGTAATTTACCTTGTCAAATTTTACTGCATAAAAAGCAAGTTCCCATCTCTGACTTGGGTATATATAATGGATTTAGGAATTTAAATATAAGATGTTGAATAATTTAAAAAAAAAAATGTTTTTTCGGTGTAATAAGAAAAGTTGGACCTTTTGCAGAGTTCTTTTAAGGAGAGGCAAAGTGGTAAATATTTAATAGTTTATATGAGATATAGTTTATAAGAAAATCAATTTTTAACAGTCATTTAAGGAAAATAAGCAAATATGAGTATTCATTTGTACAATAAATCTATCATTGATTATCTTAAATTCCCAATTTCAGACATTATCATGGCTTTAGCAGACGTCGACATCAGCATAAATAATTTGTATAAAGAAACGAATATATTAACTCTCTGTTGTGGAGAATCTCCTGGAACGTTCAATAGTTTCAAAAAATGCATATTCTTTATAATTATTAAATTAATTATAATTAATTATTAAATTATTTCTAGATGCTCTGGATCCATAAATATACCATAATGTCTGAAAGTATTTCTTTAGAACATTGTTATTATTTTATGTAAATAAATATAAACAGATATTTTTTACTTTTACATGCAAGAGCCTTCCAGCTTTGCACACGATAATTGCTCCCGGCCCAAAAATAGCATTTTAAAACGTTTACTAATTAAAAATTAAAGTAACGAAATAATTGTTAGATAGTGTATTTATTTCTTTTATTTTGCAAACAAAAATGCCTCAAAGTATGCAATATATTTGAGATATTAATTAGATTGAATGAGGTGGAGACAATAGGGAGAACAATTGTTAGGCAATTTATTGGGAAAAACTTTACCGCCTATTCCACAATATGGAAAGAGCACGTTCGCACACCTTTTACAGGACAAACAGCTGATTGCAGTCCCACTGAAATCCATCAGAACGAAACTGTACGAACATCAAAGCAAACGAAAACGTAAGCATTTCAGGGTAATTTTACGTTCCTCAATTTTTTTTTCTTTCGCACACATGCTGTCGTCTGATTATAATTCAGGAGAATTGCTTCAACAATATTTATATATTGCTATGATTGAAAATTTAAAGAAAAGGGTGAGTAAAAACAAAGCAGCGTGAGCAGCGGCGAGTGTTAAGGCAGCCAACAAACATATTTGCATTGCCTGGCTCTAGATTGTGTTGTTCCAAAAGTTTATGCCGCTCTTTCAAGAGTTCAATAGTTTCTACTTTCCTTGATGACTTTTTACCATTGTTTTTTTCTGGGCGATCGAGAACTTCAATAGTAGGTTACATCAGTCTCGTCATCAGCATTGCCCACTTGCTCATTTTCATGAACCATAACGTCTATTACATTTATGTTTTCCTTATTTTGTATTCCAAGTGCACGACCTGGTGGAATCAGTAAGTTTTGAAACTGCATTATATTTGCGACAGACTCCATTTGCCAGCCATCGGAGTCTCTAATCGGAGGCCCGTTTATATTTAATTTTGTAGCAATGGATTCCCAATCTGATTTAAAATTAGCTGGAACATGAACATTGGTAAACCCTGTTGCCAAACATGGATTTTTTTTCCAATTCGGAAACCAAAATTTCAAATTGTTTTGCTGTTGTTATTTTCATGGTCAAATATCAAATACAAAATGCTTACAATATCAACGTCGACTAAAAAATACTATGTCGTCACAATCGACTTCACGTCGATTGTTGTATCGACAATGGTAATGGCAACCATTTGTCGCTATCGACAAAAAACGGCAACCCTAATAGCATTATTGTCGCCTCGACTTCATTTTGCGACGCCGACGATAACCGTAATAGGGCCGATAATTTTCTTTTCCTCAATTCCAGCACGAAAAAATCATCTACTACACGACTACGGGCACTAGTTGATTATGTGGAGGGGAATCCTAAGTTCGCCAGAGGAGTGTCAATATTTGAAAGCAGCAGGCAAACCCTTGAAGACCACTGGGAATAGTCAGGACATCGTTCCCTTAATTCTGCTGGTAGCTTCCTGTGGCCAAAAACCGGAAGAATGTGCCAATTTTTAAATCGAAGCGTATTTGGGTTGTTCTGCAACCGGGGATTCATTTCTCTTGAAGCATATCCAAAAGAGGCCGAAAAACTTGCTTGGACACATGAAAATTGGCCACAAACCTAGAATCATACATTTTATTTATTACTTCAAAAATGTAAAAAATACAATCACACTTACTGGTTATTAGGTACTTCAAACAAATTCGAATTCTCTTCATTGAGTTCATTTTCAGCTGACCTCTTTGGCAAGTAAACACGATCATTTTGTTTGTTTACAAACTGCTGGACAACAAATGTTTTCTCATTGGAGAGAGAGAAAACCAAATTCGGCAGTTCACCACTTTCGACCAAGCGAATCAACTCTTTACCTCTTTTGAGTCTAGTTTCTTTCTGTTGCGGTGTAAGTTCTTGTACATTTTTGAATTTCAATGACTTTACCCCGAGCTCATTTTTCCATATTTGCCGAATGGAATATTTCGATATGTTCAACTCACGAGCCATTTTTCGGCCACTGCGACGCGGGTTTCGATCGAATCGCTTCTTTACTTTTCGAACCATTTTTGCTGATGTTGCTGTTTTCTTTCGTCTACTTTCTTGACGAGAGATGGTACGAGACACAAAGATTTATTCACATTTAAATGCTGGAGTGCTCTAACGATAACCACTTGTGACTTTTCCAGCCAAATATAAAGAAATCACACTATCACGCTTGAATTCCGTCACGAATAACTTTTTTCCTGGAAAATTCTCACCAAAATGCTTTTGTACGCTTGTAAACAATATAATGAGATGTCACTGGAATAATTTTAACAGCTGTCGGACAAGGGGCTTAGAAATGACAGTAGTCTGAAGTCGGTTGCAGCTTTTACATCTCATCCTGTACTATGTACATTTATACGAAACCATTTTTTTCGAATTGTAACATCAAAATTAAATTGAATCCAGTTTTTAAATCTTAAAAAAGATCCATGAATCAAGTTATTTCAATATTTTATAAAATTATATTTTAAAGATCGTAATACAAAATTACACATTTACAATATATGTTATATATTATATATTTACATTATATCACAACAATAGTATGTACCCTCCCACATTATATAATACACCATCACATTGCCTTAACAGATAAATATCGTATTTGCAAATATTTCAAATAACGATAGAAACGATTCCGGGCCAAAAATTCCATGGATGAAAAACGACATTTCAACACCAGCCAAGCCAAAAGTGTGAATACGATATAGAATCCCAATAAAAATAATATTGAACTTAAATAATTTGCATTCGAAGTGCCCGATAGTTTCATAACAAATTGCGGTTTCACGCTGGCACAAAACAAATATTTTTCGGGACATATTAAGTCGGCACGATTAAAACCGAACAGTGTCTCCATTAGGCCCTCCACAGAGTGTCGCATAAAACTCGAATACATTAGGAATGATTCGACGGGATGTAATGTTGGTCGGTCCACAGCATAATTGGACAACATTACCCAAACGGCAACCATATTTGGGCCCATAAAGAGGGCGTTCTAAAAGAAGAGTAAATTATGATAAGCTATATTTAAGTTGGCATTTTTTTCAATACTCACCAATAATCTTAGCCGTGAACCCACCAGAATACCATAACTGGAGCCATTTAAGGAGGTGAGAAGTGTTATGCCGGCAAAGAGGAAATAACGAAACATCTGTCTCGGCTGATTGCTAAGGTAATACATAATCGTTGAACCCAACAACGTTGAAAAGCTCCACATGACAAACTGACTTGACACCAAGGCCATAAAATAGGTACTCAGTCGATACCACTGATTGAAATGCTCCCGCCGCAGATACAAGATTTCTTGGGGAACTGAAAAAAATATATAAATATTTAGAGGAATTTTTTTATTGTACACGGATGTGTGAACATGGTGTTATAATAAAAGAGAATAGTGGGAATACCAGGGTAGAAGAATAAAGGTAGATGTATGAACGCTTGGGAACATTAATGTTAAAAATTGGTTAATGTTTCTTCAAAAATAAGTAAATTTGTATATGTTTTCCCAAACGACGCCGGTCGGAGGTTGTTATGATACACATTTTTTAACCATTTTTACAATTTTGGATAATTTTTCGTTTCAAAATTGGCTCAACAGCAGCAACTGTGTCGATGCCTGTATTCTTCTACCATGGGGAATACCTAGGTTAGAATAAAGAGATTTTTGTTAAACCGGGATCTTTTTGATACAGTCCACATTAAATAAGATAAGAAAATGTGATGAGCAGACCTTCGAGCCATTATACATAAATATGATAGCATTTTCCCTTGCTACATGTAATATGTTTGACCATGGTGTAAAAATACAGGTAGTCGCATCGACACAGCTGCTGGGACAATGAACTGTTGTCAAACCGATTTTGAAATTGAAAATTTTGAATGAAAAATTATTATTTATAGAAATTGTTGAAAAAATCATAACAATCCGATTTGCATCGTATAATACATATAAAAATATACTTACTTTTTTACAAAACATTTTAAAAATTTTGACATATCAATGCTCCCAAGCGTTGATGCATCTACCTATATTCTTTTACCATGTGTTTGAGTTAGATTACGAGATATAACATACAGTATTTCATATACTTCTTTACACACTCTAAATTTATATATTGCAAATTGTTTCTTAAATTTTCACAATTTATGGCATAATGTTGTCTGATTTTTTATATTATTTTAATTCGGAATATTGTAAGCTAAATATAATAGGGAAAAAATTTCAATTTACAACAAAAATAAAAACTATGACAAATCTCAGGCGTTACAAAATACTTTACACAAATCACATTTTTCATTTATTGCTCCAGAAATTCGTAGAAAAACGATGTTTTATCGTTAGTTAAGCTTTGAATCTCTCTCTTTTATAATTTTCGTAGATTGCAGTTATATGGAAAATAGGATGCTGTACGAAGCGGGAATAAAAGTGCAAATATATAATAAGCTTTTTTGATTGGCTTTATCGGAAAAGAACGAAGGGCCAACGTCGATCTAAGTCAACCTAAAACTCTTTTGTTCCTCTACGAAGAAGCCAGCCGATGACTTAAACCAGTCAAAAAAAGGGTTTTATGTTTTCTCACCTTTAAGTCATCGGCAGAGACAAAATCGAACTATGTCAACCTAAAACTCCTTTGTTAATTTACGAAGAAGCCAGCCTATGACTTAAGCCAGTCAAAGATGTATTAATTTACCTTGTCAAATTTAACTGCATAAAAAAGCATATTCTCATCCCTGATTTGGGTATATATACAATAGGTGTGTCTGGTTACTTTTCCTGCAAGAATTGTCCAGTAAGTTCCTTCAAAGTAAGTAAGGTAGTTTTATTCTCTTTTGCAAGAAAACTGTGAAAAGTAAAAAAACGAAATCCCTGCAAAAATTCTTGCAAGCAATCAGCTGGTTTGTCAAAACAATTTGTGCGTCATAAACATATATTACTCATACAGAAATTAAAAATGAGACGAAAAAAAAAACAAAACAATTGCGCTTGCGATTCCGAAAGATGTTTTTAAATTACTTGTCCCAATAAGAAGAGTTGCAAGTGACTGCAAGAATAAATTTGTCCAGCAAGAATTTGCAACATCTCCCAGTGAAAGAGCTGTCAAAATTGTTCTCTCAAATTCCTCTCTTTTGCAGATGTTTTGTGTCAATAGACGACTTCCAGTAACAATTTGCAACAATTGTTAAATATTCAAAAATAAATATTTTGACAATGAGATGCTGTCAAATAAAAATTTTGGAAAATATTGTAAACATATGGGTTTGCGTAACACCATGGTAGAAGAATACGGATAGTTGCACAGCTGCTGGGACAATGAACTGTCAAACCAATTTTGCAATTGACAATTTTGAATGAATAATTAGTGAAATTAAAAAAAAAACTTTGAAAAATGCATATCAAAACAACCTCCGATTAACGTGGTATAAGAAAACATATAAAAATCCACTTGTTTAAAAAAAAAAACACTTTTAAAAAACTTTGACAAACCAATGTTCCCAAGCGTTGATGCATCTACCTGTATTCTTCTACCATGCGTAACACAAAGGCGTGTATACAATGGCAAGTACCTCCTACCAAGTATTATGAAAGATTTACTGAATTGAGCCCTTAATAAGCTAAAAACGTTTTATCAACGAAATACTACAAATGTCTTCGCGTGCCAGGGACCACTTGTAGCAATATGGTGCCTATGTATTTTGGGTCTCTATCTCTTACACTTTTTGCTAAGTTAGACTGAGTCATATTATCATAAGTAGTTCTTAAGGAATATTTTTATTAAAAAAAATATTTAGTGCATTATAACCACTCAATGAAGAGATGCGTTTTATGTATTTAAAAAGGATCCCACTTTAAAACTTATAGAAAATTTTAGGAGAAAAAGTGGAGCAAGAGTTTAAAAAATAATGGTAAGAATACTTAAAACGCGTTTTTGGCAGTGTTTTTTCATAAAAGAACAGAGAAGTTTCAGGTTGACTTAGTTCAATTTCCAAAAATGTATACTGGCTCAACTTACTCTCCTTTGTTGTTTTCCAAAGAAGCCAGCCGATGACTTCAGCCAGTAAAAACTTGTTCTACATTTTTTACCTTAAAGGTGCAGCAGAGTTTTTTATACGCTTAAAGGTAAAAATACATAGAAGGCTTTTTGGTTTAAGTCAGTGACTGCCTTATTCGTAAAAGAACAAAGAGTTCTAGGGTGACTTAGTTCAATTTCGGCTCATAATTTATGCTTGTTCATCCTACGCTCCTTTCTTCTTTTGCTGATGACTTAGGCCAAAAAAAAACTGGTTCTGCGTTCTCATCTTTAAGCCATTAAAAGTATAATATAGCTGTACTATTACGGTGGGAATACGTTAAGTGGATTAAGTCATCGGCAGGCTTCTTCGTAGAGGAACAAAGGGGATTTAGGTTGACTTAGTTTGATTTTGGCCCTGCGCTCCTTTGTTATTTTCCAAAGCCAGCCATCCGATGACTTAAGCCATTTAAATAACCGTTTTATGTGTTCTTACCTTTAGTTCTATCTTGGTACCAATACCAATACAGTTCACGATGTCTTCTTAAAAATGAAGGACATAATATATATCAGCCCCCAAGTTTCTGAAAGAGTAGCACTCTGCTAATATCCTAATGTTCAACTTACCATATGACAACATAGGTGACATGGACAAAAAGACACACTGAACTGTTGATAGGACCACGAAATTATAATTATACGACCCCAAATAGCCGTTATTGCCGATCTTACTGAATGCAATTCCCAGAATTGTCGAAAGGAATAAATTTGTGTACATGATTAGTTTCATATTAGTCTGGAAGAAAAAAAAGATAATGCTTAATAAAAATCTCAGTTTTAACAAATTATATCATTCTTACCGTATCGCGCAACATTTGCTGTAAGTTTCTCTTTAATATTATACAATATTCCGACCACCATGTATGCTGTTTATTCCTTAATACCTTGAGATTCATTTGATTTGTAGTTGTGACTGCGGAAGTGGTGTCATTGGGGACACTCGAACTATTGGAAAGCCATTTGCGGACTTTACCATTTTGAATTTCGGTAACTAGAGCTTCCTGATAGTTTCCATGAAAATTTGTTGCCACTTCGATAACTAAAGGAGTAGAAAAACTTTTAAATTTTGTGTATTTAGGAAATATAATTTGTAAAGGATTGAAAGAAATATAATTCTAAAGGTGGGAATACATAAAGCGCTTATCTGGCTGGCTTAGGTCATCGGCTGGCTTCTGAAGAACAAAGGAGTTTTAGGTTGACTTAGTTCGATTATGACCCAGGGCTCCTTTGTTATTTCCGAAGAAGCCAGCCGATGACTTAAACCAGCCAGATATACGCTTTTGGTATTCTCACCTTAATGCTAGGAACACAATTGGAGCGAACGACGAATTTCGCCCTACGCGGCGACAAAATGAGCCGCGAAAATTCGTCGTATGGAACACAATACCGACGAAATTATAAAACAGCTGATGAAGTTGTTTACTTTTTGCTCATTTGTTGACTACAATGAATTATACAAGAACACATAATTCTTTACGTTCTCTATTATAATTTCACTTATGTCCATCTTCTCTATTATAAATTCACTGATATCCATCTTCACTCAGGCGCAAGTACACAAATAAATAAACAAATTAATTATGTTTTTTTTATACGAGTAACAGATAGTAGAGTGACCATAACAAATTTTAAAGTAAAAAGTAACTTTATTTACTAAAACACATAAAATTCGTACAAGTATGGCCACCTTGTACTGTTTTGTCGCCGTTCGCCGGCGTATGAAATAGAAATAAAGCTAATTGAGTTCGCGGCGACCGACGAAATTTTCGCCGCCGCCGTGATTGTGTGCACTTCCATATACACATATGGTTTTTATTTTTGACGACGAACATACGCCGCGAAAAAATTCGTCGTTCGCTCCAATTGTGTTCCTAGCATAAAGTATAAAAGAGAATCAAAGTTTAATCTTTTGTTACAAACTTTTGCGTTCAAATCGAAAGTTCAAATTTATTGAAAGTCCCTGCGTAAAGGTACATGTGAGAATACATAAAAAGATTTTCGATAAAGGAATTAGGGTGACCCAGTTTAGATTTAGGGTGAAATACCCTAAAGTCAAAACGCAGGCAAGGTGGAAGTATATGAAGAGCTTCTTTGACAGACATAGTGGTGAGAATAAATAAAAGGTTTTTTTGACTGGCTTAAGTCATCGGCTGGCTTCTTCGAAAAGAACAAAGGAGTTTTAGGTTGACATAGTTCGAGTTTGGCCTTAGGCTTCTTTGTTCATTTCCGAGGAAGCCAGTCAAAAAAAAACCATTTATTTACTCTCACTTTAAGTCATCGGCTAGCTCCTTCGTAAAGAACAAAGAAGTTTTAGGTTGACTTAGTTCGATTTTTGGCCCTAGGCTCCTGTGTTCTTTTCGGAAGAAGCCAGTCAGAAAGGCGTTTTATGTATTCTTACCTTCAAGGTTAAAACAGATTAAAGCTTATCGTGACTTGTAGCTGACCACAGTGTTGTATTTTCACGTTTCGTCTAGCCAAAATGGGAACAGTGTTGTATTTTTACATGGATGTCACGATCTAAATTTTGATCTGTTTCACCCTTCAGCGCTTCGCTTCATTTTCTAGCCTTGCTTATGTCTAATTATAAAGGAAAGTCAGAGCCGCCCAGAAATTTTGACGCCGTAATTAAGTTTCAACGAAGTAAGAAATTCTATTATATTTCATTCTTTAAATAGAGAACTTATTTTTCGTCAACATAAAAATCCTTAGTTCCTATACGAAGAAGCCAGCCGATGACTTAAGCCAGTCAAAAAAGCGTTTTATGTATTCTAACCTTTAGTTCCTTTACAAAGAAGGCAGGCGATGATTCAAGGGTGAAATTAGATAAAACGCTTTTTTGACTGGCTTAAGTCCATCGTAGAGGAACAAAGAAGTTTTAGGTTGACTTAGTTCGATTTTGGCCTTGGGCTCCTTTGTTCTTTCCTTTTGACTTAATTCAGTCAAAATATTCTCACCTTAAGCCAAGCAAAAAAGCGTTTTATGCATTCTCATATTTAGTTCTTAAAAAAATTGTTTTATGTATCTTTACCTTCAAAAGTTTCCGGAAATTTGACTTAAGCCAGTCAGAAAAAAAGTGTTTTATGTATTCTCACCTTAAAACTCTTTTTTTTTTTTGACTGGCTTCTTCTGAAAAGAGCATAGGCCCAAAATCGAACTAAGTCAACCTACAATTCTTTCGTTCCTCTACGAAGAGCCGATGACTTAAGCCAGTCAAAAAAGCGTTTTATGTATTCTCACCTTCGAAGAAGATAGCAAATGACTTAAGCCAGTCAAAAAAGCCTTCTATGTATTCTCACCTTTAAGTCATCGGTTATCTTTTTCGTAAAAGAACAAAGGAGTTTTAGGTTGGTATTAACACTCGGACAATATTAAAACACGTGAATTTTTAAGTTATTCGAACTTAGGAAACCCTTTCAAATAAGATTCTGTAAAATTCTATTATTCGCGATTCATTTTCAATTAACAACAATACAAAAAAATCTTGCAATAAGTTTAGAGCTTATCGCGGCTTTTGAATACGAAGACCTTGAAAGTCTATATATATATTAATCCACAGGCGAGTGCGTGCAAACTCGAGTAAGACAAACCCACATCCATACATACGTATGCATGCAAACTTGCACATGTATATCTACAACTTACTGTAATCAGCTGGATTGTGGGTAATTGGACACTGCAATCCGAAATTTTTCAAATATGGAACTATGCCATTGACTGAGCCCTGATAAATGCATTGGCCGTCTGACAAAACATAGACCTTATCGAACATTTGGAACAGCCGGGCCGAGGGGCAGTGAATTGAACAAATTATGGTACGACCCGATATGGCTAATCGCTTGAGCAGAGTTATACACTGGGTGGCAGAGAATTCATCGAGACCACTAAAAAAAATAATAATAAGAAGAAGCAAAACAATTTAGATAACAATTCAAGGTTTCGGGATAACCATTAACTCACGTCGTGGGCTCATCTACAAATAGCACGGCCGGATTATTTAACAACTCCAGGGCAAGACACAGCCGTTTCCTCTCACCCCCTGAGATATTGGCAATCTTGGTATTGGCTTTATCTTCGAGTAGGAATATTTTGAGATACTCATCGATTATTTGCTGGCGCTGTTGCAATGTTTTGCCGGCATCCAATTTAAATTTCGAAGCATACAGCAGCGTCTCGCCGATCGTAAACATTGGACTAATGGCGTCTTCTTGCAGTATATAGCGGGAGATTTTTCGAAATTCGCTTTTATTTTGTGGCCTATCGTTGACACTGATGTTGCCAGAGGTTTTCGAGAGTCTGAAAGAATTATAAAGAGAAATCATAAAAAATTTTACGGACAATGTTCTGCAGTGATTCATCGCATCACATTTAAGATGCAGTTACATAAAGAGCTTTATTAATTGGCTTTAAGGTGGGAATACATAACACGCTTATTTGACTGATTTAAGACATCGGCTGGCTTTTTCGGAAAAGAACAAAGGAGCGTATGGCCAAAATCGAACTGAGTCAACCTAAAGCTTATTGTTTCCTCTACACAGAAGCCAGCCGTTGACTTAAGACAGCCAAAAACGCGTTTTATGTATTCTCACCTTAAGTTATCGGCTGGCTTTTTCGTAATTGAGCAAAGAAACGTAGGGTGAACAAAAATAAATTATGAGCCAATATTGAGATAAATTAAACTAAAGCTTGTTTATTCTTTTACGAAAAAACCTACCGATGACCTAAAGGTGAAAGGCGTTTTTAATGGCTTATAATTTATACTTGTTCACCATACACTCCTTTGCTCTTTTACAAAGAAGCCAACCGATGTCATAAGTCATCGACTGGCGTCTTCGGAAAATAACAAAGAAGCGAGGGGCCAAAATCGAACTAAGTCAACCTAAAACTCATTTGTTTTTCTACGAAGAAACCAGTCAGAAAAGCCTTTTATGTACTCTCACCTTAAAACACCGTTTTGGCTGGCTTAAGTCATCGGCTGACTTTTTCGTAAAGGAACAAAGGAGTTTTATGTTGACCATACGTTCACTGGCCAAAATTGAACTAAGGCTGGAAATACATAAAGAGCATATTTGGATGGCTTAAGTCATCGGCTGGCTTCTTCGTAGATGAACAAAGGAGGTTTAGATTGACTTAGTTCGATTTTGGCCCTAGGCTCCTTTGTTCATTTCCGAAGAAGCCAGCCGACGACTTAAGCCATCCAAATATGCTCTTTATGTATTTCCAGCCTAAGTCTTTTTCAAAGAAGACAGCCGATGACTTAAGCCAGTCACAAAAGCTTTTTATGTATTCTCGCCTTAAGGGTGTATCTAAACACTGAAGGTTAAATGCGTCATTACTTTGGGCCTATTAAGGTAGAAATAAATAAAACGCTTTTTTGACTGGCTTTTTTCGGCTGGCTGATGACTTAAGCCAGTCAAAAAAAAGCATTTCATGTATTCTCACATTTAAACCTCAATGGATTTTTGCTAAAAAAAATACTGTTAAGGTGGGAATACGTAAGCAACCTGGTATCGTTCGTTGCATGGCATATTAATGTCAAATTGTTGGTGAGAATCACATCAAAATTTGAAATCTACTCTGGCATTCCTTTAAAATGTGTCATTTAAAAGTCCGGTGACGATGCCAAACTGCTTATGTATCTTCGCATTTATGTGTTTATTTTTGAACCCTGAGTTCGCCCCCCTATTGTATAAATAGTCCAAACATCATTTAAATTCCATATTAAATATCAAATTTCACATTACGATAATTATTCTAGTATATTTTTTTTGCTAATTTCATTATTTAATATTTTTATCCAAAAAAAAAGTGGGTCATTGGTTTTAATTTAAACTGAACTTTGAAATCGGACTCCGTCACTGTTGCAATTGTTTTTTTCGTCAACTTTCAATTAAATGTTGTATTATTTCAACATCAAATGGATGCTATAAAAACAAACATTTTATTACTGTGTCATTAGAGCTGTCAATAAAACACGCCAAGATGTCAAGAACAAAAACAACATTTGTTTGCAATTGACTTTAAAAGGCATAATTACTTTTCTGCCAGCTAATGAATGACTTGGCAAGTTTGTAAACCTGTATGTAATATGTACAATGATCCGAAAAAACATCAGATTGTAGCAAACAAACAGGTGTATGTACTAGTTCACTTCCTTGGGGACCGTCTAAGGGTGGAAATACATAAAGCGCATATTTGGCTTGCTTAAGTCATCGGCTGGCTTCTTCGTAGATGAACAAAGGAGTTTTAGGTTGACTAAGTTCGATTTTAGCCCCAGACTCCATTGTTCAATTCCGAAGAAGCCAGCCAGATAAGCGCTTTATGTGTTTCCACCTTAAATGGACTTCAAAGCCTGGATACGATTGTAGCTTTGACATTCTTGAGGATGTTTTTAAAAATTATTCGTTTATAGCTGTGATTGCACTTAAAATGCTTCAATTAAGAAACCATTAAAATTGTGATAGACACGTGTATACATGCACCTCATTACTCTCGGACTACAATTTTTGTTGTTTATTTTTAACAGGTTTCTGAATTATACATTAGTAGAATAGCAAGGTGATTGACTGATGCAGCTAGAAACTTGAAAATTGCCATGAGTGTGAAAGTGGTGTGAAAGGGTTGCCATCTAATACTTGCGAAAGAGAATTAAAAGGCCATGGTAGAAGAATAGAGGTAGTAGCATAAAAGCTTGGGAGCATTGAAATGTCAAAAAATTTTAAAAGTTTTTTCAAAGATAAGTAGATTTGTATAAGTTTTCCTACATGACGTCAATCGGAGGTTCTTATGATATGGCTTTTTTTCAGAATTTTTACAAATTTAAATAACTTTTCATTCAAAAATTTCAATTCCAATATTGGTTTGACAGTTTTTTGTCCCAGCAGCATATTTGGCTGGCTTCTTCGTAGAGGAACAAAGGAGTTTTAGGTTGACTTAGTTCGGAAATGGCCCTAGGCTCCTTTTGTTCATTTCCGAAGAAGCCAGTCAAATATACACTTTATGTATTCCCACCTTAAGTCATGGGCTAGCTTCATAAAACGCTTTTTTGACTGGGTTAAGTCAAAGGAGTTTTAGGTTAACTCAGTTCGATTTTGGCCCTACGTTCCTTTGCCCTCTTCCGAAGAAGACAGCCGATGACAGTACATAAAAGGCTATTTTGTCTGACTTAAGTCATCGGCTGGCTTCTTCATACAGGAAAAAAGGAGTTTTAGGTTGACTTAGTTCGATTTCGGTCCTAGGCTCCTTTGTTCTTTACGAAGAAGTAAGCCAGTCAAAAATACTCTCACCTTTAAGCCAGTCAAAAAAGCATTTTATGTTTGGAACTTTAAAGCCTTAAATAAGGATCACACTGAAAATTTGAATAAGGATTATTATTGGGTGAGATATGGTGGGTTTTTCATACTTCAATGATGCGAAGAATACTTATGGGTACAATAACAAGTTTTGGTGTAAAAAAGATTTGCTAGTAGAACTTGAGTCGAACTTGAAAGGTTTCTGGTATTTAATTCGCATATGCTTAATTGCAAAAAGGGTGGAAATACATAAAGCGCATATTTGGATGGCAAAAGTCATCGGCTGGCTTCTTCGTAGATGAACAAAGGAGTTTTAGGTTGACTTAGTTCGATTTTGGCCCTAGGCTCCTTTGTTCGTTTCCGAAGAAGCTAGCCGATGACTTTTGCCATCCAAATATGCGCTTTATGTATTTCCACCCTTTTTGCAATTAAGCATATGCGAATTAAATACCAGAAACTACCTGTTTTTTTTTTCCACCATGAAACATAAGTACTTTTTTGATCACAGCGAGCCCTATAATATATATATAATTTAATCAAAAGTGTTGTTGTTTTATGAAAATATCATCGTAGAAGAATATTGACACAGCTCCCGGGACAAAATGTCAAACCTTTTTTGAATTGAAATTTTTGAATGAAAAATTATACTAATTTGTACAATTTGTTAAAAATAAAACAACTTCCGATTGGCAACGTATGGGAAACATATACAATTCTGCTTATTTTTTAAAAAAAAGAAACATTTTAACATTTTTGACATATCAATGTTCCCAAGCATTGATGCATATACCTGTATTTTGCTACCATGGAAAATACGTAAAATAACATTTGCGGTAAAAATTCATACATAGAGTATTAAGTCATAAAATAACATATGACAGTGTGTGACACGAAAAGTTATAAGTCATATGTAAAGTGACAATTTGGATATACACTGGAAAATACACATGAGTATTAAAAGTGACAGCACATATGTAAAACCCATTTTCTTTGATAATGTCTTTAATTATATGTAAATGCAATGGACTTATAAATTTACATTTTGACAATTAGATGTTGCCAAATGAATAGTTTTGAAAAAAACATAAAAGGTCTGTTTCAGAACCTGCAAGAATCAACTAGTTATTGTAGTAAAAGCTTTTACATTCTTGCGGTTCTGGAACAGACCAATATTTGCATGACTTTACCTTCTTTATTCTACCATGCATTTACCTCATGGCAGAAGAATACAGGTAGATGCATCAACGCTTGTGTGCATTGATATGTGAAAAAATTTAAATGTTTTTTCAAATATAAGTAGATTTTTATATTTTTATACCATCCACCATACTATGGAGGGTATATTAACTTTGTCATTCCGTTTGTGACTCCTCGAAATACTCATGTTAGACCCAACAAGGTATATATATTCTTGATCAGCGTAAAATTCTAAGTAGATTTAGTGACGTCCGTCTGCCTGCGCGTCTGTCTGTTGTAATCACGTTATTTTTCGAATTAATTGAGATAGATGGCTAAAATTTTACACACGTTTATTTTTCCAGTAGGCAGGTTAAGTTCGTAAATGGTCCACGTTTTTCATATAGCCCCCATATAACGGTACCTCCCGATATTCGGTATTTTGATGATTTTAGCGACATTATTCACCGGAATTGTTTCATATTTGGTATTTGAAGTTCGAAATGGATACTACACCCTAAGACAGAAAATGAGCCATGTAGGTTTCACGTCTTCTTATAGCCCTCATATAAGGGTACCTCCCAACTTTCGGTATTTTTATGATTTTAGCGTCATTATTCACCATAATTGTCTCAAATTACGTATTTGGAGTTCGTTATGAGAACTACAGTCTGTGACAGAAAATTGTCTATGCAGGTCCAGGTCTTCGTATAGGGCCCATATATCAGTACCTCCCTATATTCGGTATTTTGACGATTTTAGGTACAATACCCACCGAAGTTGTTTGAGATGTGGTATTTGAAGTTCGTAATAGATGCTACAGCCAGTGACAGAAAATTGTCTATGCTGGTCCAGGTCTTCGCACAGCTCCAATTTAACGGCACCTCCTTATATACGATATTTTGATGATTTGAGCTACATTATTAACCGTTTATTTCAAGTTTCGAATTTGAATATGGTAATGGCTTATGACAAACAAAATATAACGGCTATATTCGGTATTTTTAAAATTTTAACAGAATTTTTTAAGGATTTTATTTTTTAAAGATTCGTTGCAAATGGTGGAGGGTATTAAAAGTTCGGCCCGGCCAAACTTACTGCTTTTTAACTTGTTTCTTGTACGACGTCATTCGGAGGTAATTATAATTCCTGTTTTTCAACATTATTTACAAATTTAAATAATTTTTCATTCAACATTTTCAATTCCCAAATTTGTTTGACAGTTAATTGTTCCAGCAGCTGTGTAGATGCGTCTACCTATATTCTTCTACCATGCGTTTACCTATATAAAACAATACAATTAAGTCAAGTCCTATGTCGCATTTTCAATACAAATGCAGTGTCACTTGCTACCGCTTTATTTGGAATTATTTTGCCTGAGTACAAACATGTTATTGTAACACTCACACCCAGTAAGGAATTATAATTATTTACCAAAACATGTTTCTATCACTTGTACATGTCTAATTGCAATCGGATTATTAATAATCTCTTACTTTAAAGTCAAGTTGTTGTGTTTATGAATAAAAATCTTAATTGGTATGTGCTATTTATTGCAAAGTAATAATATTATTATAAATTTTAATTAACTCCACAATACTTGATGGTCTCGTTTTTGCATTGCATTATAATTACGACAAAGAGATATGCATTACTTTTATACACTCGAAGAAAAAAGTGTATTAAATTGTAACTAAACAAGAAAGGTCGGTCAGTAAGCCCAACTGCCAACTAAAGGTGAGAATATATAAAACACTTTTTTGACAGGCTTAAGTCATCTTTGGAAAAGAACAAATGAGCCTTGGGCCGAAATCGAACTAAGTCAACCTAAAACTCCTTTGTTCCTCTACGAAGAAGACAGCCGATGACTTAAGCTGTACGAGCAACTTTCAAATGGATGTTTTTGTGTTACTTATTTATTTATTTTTTAATTTATTTATTTCTTTTTTTTTGTAATAATCGTTATTTATTCCAATGACGCCAACAAAGGCTGAATAACAAGTTTTAAATGTTACACTGTTGTAATTGTTATTTTATGACAGATTATTTTTTATATTCCGATTTTAAATCTTTTGCATTAAGAAATTTGATTGCTTGATCTTACCTATATCCAGCTAAAAGATTTAACAGCGTTGTTTTTCCACATCCCGACGGACCCATTATTGCCGACAATTCGCCAGCACGAAATTCTCCACTAACATTTTTCAAAATTGGTTTGGAAACTGCAGGAAAAAAAAAACAAGAATAATAGATTATATGATAATATTGAATAATACCTTTTAATGATATTGGTGTCAAAACAATTACAAAAATGGGACATTTACATTAGATTTGTGTTCTTTCCAAAAAAATTCAAGAAAGAAAATCGAAACTACATTTATATTAAACCCTTTTACAGGGATTATATTTTAACGCGATATTTTTGAAGTTTTTTTACATTTTGCGTCATATTAGTTGTGTTCCAGTACTTTTTTAGTAGTAAAACTAGCAGAAGAGAGACCAGTTCGAAATGACATTTCATTTAGGTGTGCTCAAAAAATAAGGGACGGAAAATTACGACGCAAAATTCAAAGGAAACAATCTAAATCGGATTGGTGAAACCTTGCTGAAATGGACGCCAAAATTTAAAAGAATGAGTATTGAAACGATAAGTTAAAATTAATAATCTATAATAATAATTAATAATCTGATTCCTCATTCAGCCAGTCCTCTTCATCCAAAAGTGAATACATCAGTTGCTCCATATTTTCTCTTTTTGTTTTTTGCACGACAAATATTAGTTTTTAAGTTTTTTCTTTACATTTTTTGTCACGCGCGAACATTGAAATTTATCAATACATTTTTCAACCTTGTTAGCCCTGCCAATTAAATATCAAATTTACAATATGCACATTTCTGCTCGGCCAAATTCATGTAGCTAAAACAAGCAGAAATGTGCACCACTCAGCGTCATTTTTTTTCTCGAGAGAGCTGCAAGTTTTGCTAGTTTTTGGAGTACGGGAACGCGTAGGTTCTGGAACACAACTATTAATGATAGAAAAAGGGATTTATAGTTTGTTTACAGTTTACCGAATTTAGTAAACCCAGTGGATTTGATTTGTCAACTTCATAAGCTCCAATTTAAAAAAAAAACTCTAACGCAAATATAACATTAATGTTGACATGGCGTAATATTACATTTATATTGCATTGGAATTTGAAAATCGAACGCCTTGAAACTAAATGTACAAGTACATAAAGAGCTTTTGTAATGGCTAAAGATGAGAATACATAAAACACCTTTTTTAATGGCTTGAGTCATCGGCTGGCTTCTTCATAAAAGAATGAAGGAGAGTAGGGTTAACAAATTATGGACGGAAATTGAACTAAGCCAACCTAAAGCTCCTTTGTTCTTTTACGAAAAAGCCGGCCAGCCTTAAAGACTCACTTAAAATAAATCGTCATTCGAGAACTATACAAGGTGAGATAAAAAACTGCAACAAAGACAAACGCCAACATTTTAACATTTTTTTAAATTTTAGCAAAAATATCGGAAAAAGCATCAAATTTTAGAACAAGTTTAGATTTGTTCGAAGTGGCCACCTTTGGCACGAATTATGGCCTTCGAACGGCCAATGAAACCGTCACACGCTGACCGAATGTTGCTCTGCGGTATTTTGGCCCATTCCCGGCAAAGCGCTTGCTTGAGGTGATCGACACTTTGGTATTTTTTAGTGGCAACCTTGCTCTCCAAAATACTACAGACACAATAGTCCACTCCAGAATATTTTCGCGATAATATTCGGCATTTATTCTGATGCCACGGTCGTTTAATACGAGCGGAGAGCGACCATCGGCTGTTATGGCGGCCCGCACCATTACCATAGCCAGCTCTTGAGTTCTGGTGGCCAACCGAAGGTGCACATTTTCAGCTGACCTCTTTGGCAAGTAAACACGATCATTTTGTTTGTTTACAAACTGCTGGACAACGAATGTTTTCTCATCGGAGAAAATCAAATTCGGCAGTTCACCACTTTCGGCGAAGCAACTCTTTAGCTCTTTTGAGTCCATTTTCTTTCTGTTGCGGTGTAAGTTCTTGCACTTTTTCGAATTTCAATGGCTTTACCCCGAGCTCATTTTCCAATATTTGCCAAATGGAATATTGCGATATGTTCAGCTCACGAGCCATTTTTGCGACACGAGTTTCGATCAAGTCGCATCTTTACTTTTCGAACCATTTCTTCCTTGATTTCACTTCCTTGACGTCGGGCTACACTACTTGTATCACGGTAACGAGCGATGGTACGAGACACAAAAGATTTATTCACATTTAAAGGCTGGGGTGCTGTAACGATAGCCACTTGTGGTTTTCCAACCAAATATAAAGAAATCACACTATCACGCTTGAATTCCATCAGGAATAGCTTTTTTCTGGAAAATTCTCACCAAAATGCATTTGTACGCTTGTAAACAATATAATAAGCTCTCGCTGTAATAATTTTAAAAGCTGTCGGACGAGTGGCTTGGAAATAACATTAAGCTAGGAATACATAAAGCGCTTATTTGGCTGGCTTAAGTCATCGGCTGGCTTCTTCGGAAATGAACAAAGGAGCCTAGGGCCAAAATCGAACTAGGTCAACCTAAAACTCCTTTGTTCATATACGAAGAAGCCAGCCGATGACTTAAGCCAGCCATTTAAGAGCTTTATGTATTCCCACCCTTAGTCTGAAATTGGTTGCAGTTTTCTCATCCTACTCTGTACATAGATGGTAATAATTTCAAACCAATAACAATATTACATTATTTGCCACAAAACACAAAATCGGTTATAAAAAAAAAAAAAAAAAAAACTTGTAAAATCGTGCAGTTCTGGAACAGAGCAAGTATTGAAGATTTTTTTGCAATGTTGTGAGAATACACAAAACACTTTGTTGACTGGCTTAAGTCATCGGCTGGCTTCTTCGGAAATGAACAAAGAAACCTAGGGCCAAAATCGAACTAAGTCAACCCAAAATGCCTTTTTTCCTCTACGAAGAAGCCAGCCGATGACTTAAGCCAGTCAACAAAGGCGTTTTATGTATTCTCCCCTTTTCCCATGGTAGAATCAAGGAGGTAAAGTCATGCAATCATATATTTACAATTTTTTCAAAAATTATTCATTTGACAACTTCTGATTGTTAAAATTTGTATTCATAAATCCATTGTACATAAACAAATCAGAGATGGGAACCTGTTTTTATGCTGTAAAATTTAACAAAGTAAATTACAGAAAAAGCAGAGATGGGAATGCTTATTTGAAATTACATTACCTGCTTTATTTAACCATGCCTTTACATTTTTGAAGCATTCTCCGCGAATAGTGTGGCTACTATGGTACGAGCAAATGTTATTTTTTTTTTTTAATTTAATAGAGGTGTGGTAAATTTTAAGCTATAAAAAGTAATAGTCACATTTTTTTAATCAAGAAATTATTATTTTTAGAATAATGTTTTCGTTATCATATCAATACCCCGAAATAAACATAATTGCAAAATGCACTACCTCTGTTGGTATTTAATAAGGGGAAAGGAAAAATAACTAAAGTGTTTTATGGGATTTTTCGAAACTTTCACTCAACTTGCTTCAGTTAAGTAAATACGTTTTGCTTTTTGATAAGAACACTCCCCAGCAAAGAAATATTTATATCAAAGACCTTTTTAGAATTTCTCTCTTAGATGTAGTATTTTAAAATAATTACGTATTTTTGTATAGCAGCCAGGAAAACTTTATACAATACAGTCATCAGTGGTTGTTCGCTGTTTGTTATTGTGCAAACACATATGTACATATGATAATGTCGTAAGGTAGGTCAAGTTCAAAATATCCATTTAATTGAATTCTAAATAAACTAACCAAACACTAATTTCAATTTTCAAATCTTATGCGCAAACATAAAAAACAAATTCTGTGTCATATTCTCCACTTAACTTAAAACATTCTTAAGGTGGGAATACATAAAGCGCTTATTTGGCTGGCTTCTTCGGAAATGAACAAAGGAGCCTAGGACCAAAATCGAACTAAGTCAACCTAAAACTCCTTTGTTCATCTACGAAGAAGCCAGCCGATGACTTAAGCCAGCCAAATATGCTCTTTATGTATTCCCACCCTTAGTTTTACATTTCACAAAAAAATGTTTACTTTTTTTAAAGACATAATTATATAACTTATGTGTATAGAAATCCATATTACTTGGCACTTCATAGGAGAGATTTGTAAATTTTATGTTTACACCAGCATTTGGGGGTATTTTACGAAATATTTCACTTTCACGTTCACTCGGCGTTAGCAGCTCGACCGCAACATTATTTACATTTTCATTTATTTCATTCTTTTTTCTCGTCATTTTTAAATTTCTTCAAAGCTATTCTTTTTCACAATTTTCCTTTTTTTCCACCCAATGCCGCTATATTTACTCCTCTCGCGCTGTTCTGATACAAACTGAATTCAGATAATTTAATTCACTTCCCAGCTGTCCAATTGGCGAGTGAATATAAAATAACAACAACTGAGAACTGCATGTTTCAATTCTAATAAAATACATAACACACAATCGCGGGAAAAATAAATAAAAACCAATTGCAAACGCAATCTGTCGTGCCTTTCCGTTTGACGCTCAAAACAAAAGAAAACATCCGTCGGATGCAAACGCAATTCTCTGTGACGATAATCTCCCAAAATAATAAACATTGAAAAAAAATTCTCTCCGATTAAAATGCAAAAAAGTATATTTTGCTTTGAGTACAGTGATTGCAAAAAGTTCGCATACATTCGGCGGATTTGGAAAGGCACATTCATGGTAGAAAAATACTGGTAGATGCATCAACGCTTGTGAACATTGATATGTCGAAAAAAATTAAATTTCTTTTCAAATATAAGTAGATTTCTATGTGATTTCTTATACGACGTCATTCGGAGGATATTATAATACACGTTTTTCAACAATTTTTATAAATTTAAATAATTTTTCATTCAACATTTTCAATTCCAAAATTGGTTTGACAGTTCATTGTCCCAGCAGCTGAGTCGATACGTCTACCCATGGCAGAAGAATACAGGTAGATGCATCAACGCTTGGGAGCATTGATATGTCAAAAAAAAAATAAATGTTTTTTCAAATATAAGTGGATTTTTATATATTTTCTTATACTACATCATTTGGAGGCTATTATAATTCGCGTTTTTCAACAATTTTTACAAATTTAAATAATTTTTCATTCAACATTTTCAATTCGAAAATTTGTTTGACAGTTCATTGTCCCAGCAGCTGTGTCGACGCGTCTACCTATATTCTTCTACCATGCGTCTACCTATATTCCTCTACAATGACTCTATATTAACCTGACACCTAGTTTACACGTGTTACGAAGATTCGTCATTTATACAATAAGTAACCCTTTTTAGATATAAACAGCCTGTTCCACGATCTCGAAAGAAAATTTGTGCGAACGAAGGCTACTCACTCACTTTCGTATAAGAATGCGTTCCACTAACTTTCGTTCTTTCTTTCGCATAGCCTTACGTGATTCAGTGTTGCTAAATATTTTTTTGGAAAAATTAATCGCGAAATAAGGCAAAAAAAAGCGCAAAATGTCTAATTTAAATGCGAAAAAGCAGCAGTGGCTCTGTCTCAACTGACATTTCAGTTGTAAACAAACAAATTGTAAATAAACAAACAAAATAAAAACTCTAGTGATTGTGTTCAAACTATTTGTGCTCTTAGAATGGATATGATGGAAGAGAAGTGGGTGCCCGGTTGCAGAATTACCCAAATCCGCCCGATTTAAATCTTCTTCTGCTGCTTCCAAAAATTGGCACTCCTCTGGCGAACACAGGATTCTCCTCCATATACTAGTGCCCGCAGCTGTGTAGTTGATTATTTTTTCGTGCTGGAATTGAGAAAATAAAAAAAATAAAAATTTAATATGTGAACAACAAATATAGTTCACATATTAAATTACATTTATTATTTTTACTTACATTTTTGTTTCCATTTTCAATCAAGCAATGTTTCTGTTAAAACAATTTTCCTTAATTGTTATTATACGATAGCAAACACACAAGTGACTGATTTTGACATTTGTGTTCGCATGCGTACGAAAGAAAAAAGATAGTGGAACGCAAAATTACACTGAAACGCTTTCGTTTTCGTTCGCTTTGATTTTCGTGCAAATTTTCGTTCTGATGGGTTTTAGTGGAACGGAAATTAGCTGTTTGTCGTGTAAAAGTTGTGCGAACGTGTTCTTTCGATATCGTGGAGCTGGCTGAAAATTTCCCTGCGGGGCAATGTGAACATATTTTTTGCCTAATAATAGAAAAAATCGCCGTTGTACTTAACAAAACGCCAAAGGCGACGGTTTTAGAACTATGGGTTAAGAACATTTTCAATTTAATAATCCAAATTGCAAAAACGTATATTTTTGAAATTAAATAATTTATTGAAAATTAATTATTTTATTTACATTTTTGGACACATAACTCTGACACTTGTATTACTTACAAAAACCTAAGTAATACCGGGAAGAACTTTTGATACCCTTCACCATTTGGAATTCGTCAAAAATACAAATTAAATAAAAATCGTTATAAAGACGAGGGCCTGCATACGCAATATTTATTATCATAAGCTGTAATAATGACTAGACAAAATGAATTTTGAGCAAATGGTTTGTGTCTACAATACATATGCCGGTTATTACATCTGGCCGATAGATAAAAAAGTGATGTTGTCGGAGTCATAAATCGTTTTTCGTTATTACAAGTTTCAGTTAAGTATGAACTGTCCGATTAGCAAAAGGTCAGAACATCTTCCCTTTATCTTTTAACGTAAAGGTTACTGAATTCATGTTGCCATATTTTTTATTTAAAAGCAAAATTTATTTAAATAAAAATTTTATTTTGAAGAACTGAATTATAAATTTATTTTACGAAATTAATTGCAAATTCGCATTTTGTTTATTATTTTTGAACTAAAGTGAAGAGGCCATTGTGAAAAAAAAATGCAGTGAATACCAGTTACTTTTACAAAATGCTTGCCATATCTCCTTAAAAAATGCATATATTTTAAAAGAGAGATGTAATAATGAGAACCCGATAATGTGAAATTTATACTTCACTTTTTCCTAAAGTAAGGGATAGCAAAAGTGAACTATAAAGAAAAGATATAAGAACGGGCCATAGAGTTACAGCTCATGGCAGAGGAATGTTAATATAAAAACCACAATTACATGAACGAATGACAAATAAAAGTTTGAAAAATCAAAAAAAAATTGGTTTCAAAATTCTATTCCACAGATCTTATTCCAAAATTTGCATATTGCCTTTTGGGGTTTAAATCAGTTAACATTGATAAATGTGTGGTTATGATATCATAACAATTGAGGCATTTTTACAGAGTAGTCCTATCTTTGCTTCAAATACAAAATTTGAAACAATTCCGGTCTATAATGTCTCTAATACCATAAAAAGACCGAATATTGGGAGGTACCGTTATATAAAGGCCATACGAAGACGTGAACCTGGATAAGTTTTTTTTTTTTTTTTGTCATAGTCATGTCATGTAGTACCCATTAGGACCTTCAAATACGAAATTTAAAATAATTCCATTGAATAATGTGGGGTATACGACCTGCATAGGCATTTTTCTGTCATAGGTTGAAGTATCCATTAAGATCTTCCAATACGAAATTCGAAACAATTCCGATCTGTAATGTTGCTAAAATCATCAAAATATCGAATAATGAGAATATTGCGAACTTAACCTACATATTCGCAAAATACATATATGTGCAAAACGTTAAGGTGAGAATAGATAAAAAGCTATTTTAACTGGCTTAAAGGTGGAAATACATAAGGCGCTTATTTGGCTGGCTTCTTCGGAAATGAACGAAGGAGCCTAGGGCGAAAATCGAACTAAGTCGACCTAAAACTCCTTTGCTCTTCTACGAAGAAACCAGCCCATTGTAGAAGAATAGAGGTAGTCGCATCGACAAATCGTCAACCCGTTTTTGGAATTGAAAATTTTGAATGAAAAATTATTAAAATTAGTTTAAAAATTCATATTATAACAACCTCTGATTTGCATCGTATAAAAAAACATTTAAAAATCCATTTATTTTTCATAAAACATTTTAAAAATTTTGACATATCAATGTTCCCAAGTGTTGATGCATCTACCTATATTCTTCTACCATGAGCCAGTCGTTGACTTAAGCCAGCCAAATAAAAGCTTTATGTATTCCACCTTTAAGCTGGAAATACATAAGGAGCATATTTGGCTGGCTTAAGTCATCGGCTGGCTTCTTCGGAAATGAACAAAGGAGCCTAGGGCCAAAAACGAACTAAATCAACAAATCAATGTATTTCCACCTTTAGTCATCGACTGGATTCTTCGGAAAAGAACAAAGGAGTTTGGGCCAAAATCGAACTAAGTCAGGCTAAAACTTTTTTGTTCCTGATACAAAGGAATTTGCTATTTAAACCGACTGGGTTTTCTTAATCCTCTACAATGTAAACCAACCCAGGAAAGGTCTAATAATAATCCTAGCTAATGTCAGATTGATCAGACATTTTTAAACTGATTACGGCGAAGTAAGTTTTCATAAAATATAGCTGCTGTGGAATCGACACTTTGGGAAAGGATTTATTTGCAAAGCATGAAGAGCTGAAGAAAATAGCAAGCAAAACAGCGTCGAAGTGATTAAAAACCGGTTTAATTTTCAGGACCTTCGAGAGAGTTTTCGTTCAACTGATAACCAAGGTGATATCGCAATCAAAGGATATACCATTTCCAGTTGTTGCGAAGTCACGAAAACCCGGAGAATCTAGTAATCTTCAAAAAGTAAAATGGGCGGATGAAGAAGAAGAGAGATATTAAACGAGATTTTGGCTACCAAAGAGGTAAAACCATCCTTGCGGTGCAAAGTTGTTATTATTGTTTTTATTCTGTTCCACTCATTCGCTGATATTAAACTCTAGTTTCACACCATCAGAGGGTCCTCTGTGTATCATATTAAATAAATAGGCAATGTAATGAGCTCCTTCAATCCCATGAGATATCCTGAAAATCTAGGTGAAGAGGTATTTCATTCGCAGATGATCTTTGAGGTAAATATTCGGCTTGCAAAATTGACGGTGCCTGTATCAAAGCACCAAATTTATAAATGTATAGAAGACTCAACTATAAACCATGTACAGGTTATCTATCTCCAGGTTATCTATGAGATCAATATTCTACCACTCCTCCAATTTTAATGGTAACTTGCAAAATTTACGGCCCCATGAAGACCACCAACATTAAAGATTCACTCCTGCAACTCTTATGTACAGTAGCTTTTCTCTGCAGTCCCGGCACTGGTAATTGCAAAATGTACCGCTCCTTGTGAAAGAATGGCTATGTCATCCCAAAAGTATGGTTGCGTATCCCATTTAACCTCTGTCGTCTTATACTTTAATTGCAGTTCTTATAACTCTTTAGGCCTTAGCTAATTAAATGCCACAATAATTTTCCCATGCATCTATATTCGATGTTTGTTTTAATCTTTATTTTAAAATTTTTCATCAATCCACTAAAGTGGTGTAACCATAGTCTTTACAACTTGCTGTAGGGGTATGAAATGCTATAAAATATTCCATAAACTCACACACATATTCACGTAATTTATTTTCCGAAATTAATAACAAAATTTCTTATCTTGCTTGCATTATCACTTATCTCTTTTTGGGGGAAGAAAAATAGCTTTTGCACTGGCCAAACATTGAAAACAAACAGCAACGTTTTTTTTTTCGCCAAACAACAACAAATCAAACGAATGCGTTTCACATTAAATTTTTTTTAATATAAGTTTTATTATCAAAATATTTCACAAGCATATAAAATGCCAAGAATAATATAAAAAAAAACACAACAAAAGAATTCATTAAATTAAGACATTGAATGTTGTTGACAAACGACGCTGTCGTCGTAGAAAAAACTACCTCTGCAATCTTTGTATATTTCTCCAAAAAAAAAAAAAAAGAAAAAACGATTATATAATTATTTAAAATTGTAGTTCGTAAATTTTAGTATCAGTTTTTCATTTATGTGCAATAAGCTCTTGAGGCAATTGATTTTAAGGACCATTGACATTGCAAGTTAAGGTTAAAAAGGTGATGTTTGTTGTAAAGAGGAAAGCACGAGTACCGTCTTTTGTTTAGAACTTTAAATGGACGGCCGGCCGTGGATCGTTAGCATGTGGTGGTGGTCGGGGTGACATTCACTTGCTCAAGTTTTCCAAGAATTTCTTGTGGCGCTGAATGGCCTCTTCGTGTTCCTTGATTTGTTGATGATGGAATTCAGCTTGATGGATTTGATCGTTCTTCAAACGTTCCAATTGTTCTTTTTGCTAAAGGGTGGGAAAGCAAATGTTTACGTTATTTTTATAAAATTGTAAAGAATCAGGTAGAGATGGTAAGTTAAAATTAAAGTCAAAATTAGAAGGAATTATTGTTGCAATATCAAACATATTTTTTTTACAAAGTGAAACCGTGGAATTTGAAATAGAATATTCTTACTTAAACCTATGGAAATCAGACCACAGATGGTTGTGATTTTTGAAGTATCGATTGACCTAACGCGATTTTTAATAGATTCAGTGAATAGAGCTATATTTTTTGTAGAGTAATTTCATATTTAATTCCTATTATATGTTTTGAACGAAACTTATTAAATAACCGGCCGATATCTTTCAATGTTACTTAACATATCGCCTGATAAGGTCTTGAGTGATTCATTGCGAACATATAATTCCTCATAATATCTCAACAATTATCAAATTCTAATCAACTATTTTGAAAAGAGGCTTTTGTTGTTTGGAACAAATTTCTACAAATGTTACATCAGAAAACATAAGTTAGGAGCAGAAAAGTATAGGCATTAATCAGTTGGAATTCCGCCGAAGTTATTTGTTCTTTCAAAATTGTATTAAATTAGGTTTTGTTGTACTTCTAAAATCAACGTTTTGAGAAAGAGCCACCAATCATCGTCAGTTCCATTGATTTTTATCTAGGAACACTTCTTTAGAACCAAGCAACGAACCAGAAAATAAAGTTTTGGTATAGCTGCTAAATCGTACAACCGTGCTTATACATTTTCTATTTTTCTTCTCTTTATAAATATGATGTGTTTCTGACCCATTTTCCAGAAATTGATTGGAGCAAAATACTCTCATGTTGGGTCTCGTTGCTTGCAACGGTAGAATAGCATTCATATCTGCGTGTCAGGATAGATAGGAATTGTTCAAAAGCAATTGATGGGGGTGAGAACTCCGAGGACGGTATATAAAGGTTGAGATGAAAAAACTGCAACCAACTCCAGACTGCTGTCATTTCTAAGTCACTCGTCCGACATCTGTTAAAATTATTCCAGTGACAGCTCATTATATTGTTTACAAGCGTACAAGAGCATGTTGGCGCGAGTTTTCCAGGAAAAAAGTTATTCGTGATAGAATTCAAGCGTGATAGTGTGATTTCTTTATATTTGGCTGGAAAACTACAGGTGGCTATCGTTAGAGCACTCCAGCATTTAAATGTGAATAAATCGTTTGTGTCTCGTACCATCGCTCGTTACCGTGATACTGGTAGCGTAGCCCTAAAATGGCTCGTGTGCTGAACATATCGCAATATTCCAATCGGAAAATATTGAAAAATGAGCTCGGGGTTAAGCCATTGAAATTCCAAAAAGTGCAAAATCTTACAACGCAACAGAAGGAAAATAGACTCTCAAAAGAGCTAAAGAGTTGCTTCGCTTGGCCGAAAGTGGTGAACTGCCGAATTTGGTTTTCTCCGATGAGAAAACATTCGTTATCCAGCAGTTTGTAAACCAACAAAATGATCGTGTTTACTTGCTAAAGAGGTTAGCTGAAAATGTGCACCTTCGGTTGGCCACCAGAACTCAAGCGCCGCCCATGGTGATGGTGTTGGCCGCCATAACAGCCGATGGTCTCTCTACTCGTATTAATAGACCGTGGCATCAGAATAAATGACGAATATTATAGCGAAAATATTCTGGAAGGTGTATTAAAGCCTTGGGCATGCAAACATTTTGGCCGCAGACCTTGGAAATTCCAACAGGACTCAGCACCATCGCACTCAGCACGCGCCACCCAAGAATGGTTACAAAATGCGGTTCCTCGCTTCATTTTCACCGCACAATGCCGACCAAAATCTCCTCATCCGTTGAACTTTTGTGTCTGGAGTAACCTCAAGCAAGTGCTTCGCCGGGCCAAAATACCGCAGAGCAACATTCGGTGTGACGGTTTCATTGGTCGTTTGAAGGCCACAATTCGTGTCAAGGTGACCAATTCGAACAAATCTAAACTTATTCTAAAATTTATTTCCAACATTTTTTGATTCATTCAATAAAATTTAAAACAAAAATGTAAAAATTATGGCGTTTGACTAACCCCCCCCCCCCCCCCCTTCCATTGAAGAACGTGGATACCTAGACAAACCAGGGTATTTGGGTGCAATTACGTTCAGGATGGCGCAGCTCTTTCAATGTATATTGGACATATTATAGAACTTCTAATGGCAATGAAATAAATATTCCTATTCACAGGCAAAGGCCTTTTTCTATTAAGTTCTTCGAACATGGTCTAAGCACCATACTTTACACATATGGACCTTACAGTATCAAAACTTAACATGTTTATGCTTATAATCCTAACATTTTTAATCGGTTATTCAAATTTGTGTATGGTTTGTTTACACAGAAAACAATTAAAGGGTAAAACCTGTATTCCTGATGGGATTTAACGGGTTTCATTTATGAATCTATCGAAAACCGGCTATGCAAATAGATTCACATATTAATCCCCACTAATAGGCGTTTATTCAAAACATTCCTACCCCTTACACAATTTCTTTAATTGGTAATTTTGCTTGAAATAGTTTCAATTGAAACTACCTGTCCAGTCTATAACAAATTCATACTGATTTTTCTTTACAAATTCCTCGACTTTAGCACTTTTCCATCATAACACATATTTATGGCGTATGATAAGAACAGAAACAAATCTAATTGTTTGTCGAAATGTTCATACATATGTATACATATCTATTATTTCAACGAAAAACAAAAAAAACGACTTTTGAAGTGCCTTCAATGACATCATTTGCCATAACAACGAATGGACAAAACACAACTAGAAATTAAACATAAAATTCCTCTAGAACAAGGATTAAAGGTCCTTTGAAAAAGGGTCTAAAACGAGTATATCCAATATGAATTGTACTATAATAAAAATACATATATTTAATAAAGAATGTAGTAAATCAGTTGCAAAACTTACTTTCTTGTAGAAGTACTCCTCCTCGCGAGCAGCTTCCATTTTGCCAAAGCTACCACCGGCTTCGCGGATAGAACCGCCACCACCACCTCCTTTACCGGCACCGCTGCCCAAATCCCCCAATTGGCTGGAGAAGCTCATTTTAGCGACACTGCAAAATACAAAAACAACAACCAAATGAAAAAATAAACAAATATTCGACGATTAACAATAACAAATAAAAATAAATTTCTGGCACATTTTGAAATAAACATGCTAAATAATTGCACAAATTAGACATACACAACTTCGATAGAATGGAAGGTCCTCCCCACCCCCTCGACTCCCTCTCTAACCGCTAATCAAAGAAATGTTATTTGAAAGACAAAGAAGATATGAAATTATTGTTTTTGTACGTTCGTTCATATGTGGCACCTAGTGCCTGTGTGTGTGTGTGGCTGAATGTGTGTCCATTTCTTTTTGCGTATTTTCACTTTTTTTATACTAGAAGTTTCAATATTTGTTTGTGGAAATTATTAATACAGCCAGCAAGTCAACATTAAATTGCTTAAGATAGACCAGCACAAAAGGCATACAAGCACAAACAGTGAAAACAACAACAATGAGGATGGCTGTCTGGAACACTTGCCTCCAGTGCTTTGAAAATATAATAATTATACACATGTATTTAAAAGTAGTAAAATATTTTTTAATACTCACTTCAAGCCACTTGGATACAAACGCAAACTACGTCTAAGCATGATGATTAATAAACTGCAATTAAATTAATAAAAATCAGTTAATATTGCAAGTACAATTTTCCCAAGATATTTAAATTTTAAATAAATTTAATCAAAGAAATAGTCTTGATATTTCATATTATTAGCTATCTTACTTTCTTTCCTTCCAGAAACACAGACGATCGAATATTAATACTGGATGTTAAGTGTAGACTGGACAAGACCGGCATAAAAAATTATTTGGAATTGCAAATTAAGGAGAATGTTGGCAACACGACATTAGTTGCCAATACATTAGTTGGTAACACACTCAGCTTCGATTAATCGAAAATCGAATTGGCGGATGGATGAATGTGAGATTCACAAACGCTCTGTTCGTCACAGCTGAGGCAGTGAGCAAACCTCTTTCTCATTAACTTTGTTATTATCTAAAATTACTCTTTGTTATAGTTCGCATGACAAGCAAGTCTTTTAATTACTATGTGTTAGAAAAGAAGAATATAGTTCTGAGTATTATGTTAACTACCTACTTTGTATGTTATCAATTTATTGAAAAGAAGAAGACTCAAATAAAATATGCTATAAAATGAATGTGAGATTTTGCGAATGAGTTGGAATTGAAGAATTTCATCGAAGCTGCTTAAGGGTACAAGTACACAAAAAGCTTGATGTCATGGCTAGGCATATTAATGTCAAATTATAATGGAAAACGACGACAGGATTTTAGTGTGGCTCTGTAATCCCTTTGTGAAATATCACAAAATAAGCCTAGCCATGACTTCAAGCTTCTTATATACTTAGCCCTTAAGACTTGGAAGTTCAGGAAATGAACTAGAGTAAAAATGGTGAAATCCTGAGCAGGGAAAACAACGCATAGTTGCCAACTTTTACTTTGCTATTGTTACGTTACCAACACTCATTACAGTCAAACTTTTCTATAACGCACTTTCGTTTATATAAATGTAATAACAAAAAAAATGGAAAATACAAAAACGGTTTTGTATTGTGTCTAGGATTATGGATTATGAAAATGGATGATATAGCCGCCATATGTAGGTAGTTACCTCTCAAGGTGTAATTTGCTGTCAAAACACGATTTTTTCTTTTTTTGGGATCCACAAGAATTTGACATAAAGAGAAGGCTTAATTAATGTGGAAATATAAAGAAAGTTTTTTACTTGCTTAAGTCATCAGCTAGCTTTTTTCTAAAAGAACAAAGATTTTTAGGTTGACTTAATTCAATTTCGACCCATAATTAATAATAGTACTTATGCCCTACGCTTCTTTTACGAAGAAGCCAGCCAATGACTTAAGCCAGTAAAAAAGCCTTCTATGTGTAACAACCGTGTTCCAGAAAAACAAATGAAAAATCGATGTGTTGATCTTTAAGTGGCGTGGCTAGTATGCTGGCATAAAGCGCAGCAATGGCTCGTCGGATCGGTTGGTTCTTGCCACTTGCAGACTTTTCGGTTGCACAAACAAAACCAAAATCATACCGGACTTGCAAAAAAAATTTAATTGGGTAAAAGGGACCAGAGATATGTCAAAGAAAGAACGCAAAAGAACTTTCATCAAAACTACACCAAATCCAAAACTCATCTTAACCTAGTTTATTCCTATAGAAACAGCACTCCTAGCGGCTGACCAACCAGGATATAGCCCTTCCTCCTAGAACACCTCTCGCCATGACGTCTGTTAACCTATGACGTCCCATATTTTCCCCTTAAGTTACGGCTTTCAAATATACCCACCACCTTTTTAATAGGGCTTAAGCCGAAGACATTTTTATACTATTTTAGATATTCGGGCAAAGAAACAACTTCATTCATATTTCGAATCGAAATTAAACATTCAATTAACAATGAATCATGAGAAAAAAATTCAAGAACAAAAATTTGCAAATATTCCAAAATTGATTTCCATTTTGTCTTTTTACGTTTTAATGGCAGGCACCAAGAGTGTGGAACACTGACGGCAGCTAGTGGCTGAGGTTCTTCCCAAAACGTATGTATGTACGTACAGTTAGTGTTTTAGCTTTTTAATTATATTTCTGGCTCAGAACATTAATAATATTTTTTTTCAATTTCAGATGAGGACGAACCAAAGAATGTACGTCGATTCCACATTAAATCGACGAGCTAAACTTTCTTCATAAATAAAAAGTTTATAACTTTTAGCCTTTAAGTCTTTTAAATTGAATTTAATTGTTTTATGGTTAAAAAATGTTTGTATTTTGTATGTTTTTTTTTGTTTCAATAAAAAAATGAATTCAATTTTCAACTCGATATCACTAGAACTTTGTAAATTTTTCTTCCTTCGGTTTCTCGGTGCCACACGTCCAATCTTCTTCACAGGTAAAGTAAAAAGAGAAGATTTTTGCCATTTTCTTGATTTAATTTTTCCATTTTCTTTTTAAATTATACCCCCTTATTCACTTTTAGGTAATTCGACTAATCAGCTGGTTTCTAATAATGGTTGGCAACATTCTTCTTCTTGTTATCAATTATTTTCATGGTTACCCCTCTAAAAGGCGCACACCACATATGTACATGCACCTTAACTTTAACCTGTAAATTGTTTTCACCATTATCTTGGACAACGCCATCGCAGACGGTTGCTTTCGCAAGAGTAAAGAAGTGTGAATTTAAGTGCAAATATAATAAAAGTGACGCCATCGATTTTTTTTTTAAAAAAACGCATTCATTAAAAGAATTCGAAATTCATATATTCATATGAAAAACATTAATAAACTTAATTTAAAGCTTACGCTTTAAAAGAAAAACTTGTGAATTTTAATAAAGTGACGCTTCATAAAAATTACGCATTAAATGAAACATCGAATAAACTATACTTATTAAAATCAAAATACTTATTGTGACGAAAATACAAAATCTGACTATAAACTGTTTAAAAGTGTTATAAACTAACAACAAAAAATTTCTATTTTAAAAAACTTTCATTTTTTCAATTGTTTGAAAATAAGTTTTTGCTAACCTCGTGTTTGAATTTGTGAAACATCTTAACATTGGCGTCGCTGTACCGTTCATATAACGGGATCTCTGTGGCGTCAGTATACAGAAACTGACGTACAGAATAGCACAAAGCTAAAATAGTGAAAACTACAAAACTACAACATGGAGGAGGACGTGGTCCTCCCTCCACCTCCTTTGTCGCCGCGTAGGCAAACCACCAAAATAGAAAAACCAAAAACAAACCGTAGCAGAAGTCGAAGTGGAAGTAGAGTGGACGATAACAAGAAGAAAAAATTGGAAGATGACGATCAACAGGGGAGGCTAGCGAAAAGTGATGACGCACCAATCAGTAGCCTTAGTGAATTCATCCCAAGTAATACAGGTAACATCTCTACAGGTAAGACCCCGCAATTAATGGTTAACAGGCCTAACAATTTTAATTTTTTTTATGATCAAGACCATAAAGGTCCCTATGTCGTGTATATTGACAAAATCAGTAAAGATAATGATCGAGTAGGAATAAATACAGTCAGTTTAACGCGAACTATATTCAATTTGAAAATTCAAGGTGTTTTGGATATAAGGAAAATTGGTTTCGGACGTAGTAAAATATTATTAAACAGTGCATCAAATGCTAATCTGCTGGCAGACAATAATACCCTAATCCAAATGGGTTACCAACCTAAAATTTTTTCGCATTTTGTTTCCAAAATTGGCATAATCTTTGGCATACCGGTAGATATTCCTGATGAGGAACTCTCCGCCGCTATAAGTTCCGAAATTCCTATAATAAAAATGATGAGAGTGACCAGGATGGTAGAAGGAACACGTTTGCCTACCCAAAGAGTTAAAATATGGTTCAAAGGTCTTAACCTACCACAAACTGTCAAAATCTATGAATTTCACAGAAAAGAGGTCAAGCATTTCATCCAATTTGGTAGATGCTATAGATGCTATAGACATGAACATACGGCGGAACACTGCAAACAAAAAATAGAGTCATGTAAACGTTGTTTTTCTCCTCATGAGAAAAATGAGCCTTGTGCTGAAAAAATAATCTGTATCAATTGTAAAGGTGATCACAGCCCATTGGAAAGAGGCTGTCCTGCCAGGCAAAGAGCGTACGAAACCAAAAGAATCATGACAATAGAAAACTTGTCCAAAAAAGAAGCTAGAGAGAGATATGCAGGTCATTTTAACTCATATAGCATACTCGATGAGGACATCGACAAAAATTTCCCAACACTAGAAAGGTCCAACAAAAATTCTAAACACCCCAGTGGCAACAACAACACCATTAATAATTACACTGAATCAGCTAACTTCATTCATGCTAGATCATCATATGCAAGAGTAGCGAAAGTTAACAAGAATAGAATTAGAGAGCAGGAAAATGCTAGAAAAAATATGAGGGAGTACAAGGATGCTTTGGAGGAAGGGGAAATTTACTCCTCCCCCAATGGGTCACAAATACGTAAAACCCAAGAAATTCTAGACACTGTGCTAAACAACATCAATGAACTAACATCCGAAAAAATAGGTAAGTTAAACGAAGCACAATCAATAACACTTAAAAATATTAAAGATAAAATCTTAAACGAAATACTTAACATTGATGTACTTTTGGTTAATCCTAACAGGAAACCTAAAGAAACTACCAGTATTATCCAGGAGATTATCTCCTCCAATTCCAAATAATCTATTATGACGCTTAAAATACTGCAGTATAACATACAAAGTATAAACAAAATTGAAAATAAAAACATCCTTGAACTCTTTCTTGAGAAAGAAAAAATTGACATAGCTCTTCTAACCGAAACTTGGGTCAGAGATGAAACAAGTACCAATCTTTGCAACTACAATTTTTATGGAAAAAAAAGAGACGATGGCTACGGTGGTGTGGGCATCTATATCAAGCGCAAATTTAAATACTCACTCATTAATTTTGATAATGAACATGAGGTAATTGGAATCTCTATAATGAATATCAAAAATCCTTTCAATATTGTAGTTGTTTATATACCTCCTAATACTAATAGATCTAATTATATAGACATAATTACAGATGTTTTTCAGAAAATCAACTGTCTTAAACATCCTACCTTACTTGTGGGTGACTTCAACGCTAAATCCATTTCTTGGGGAAATACCCACACCGATCCCTTAGGGGATGTGCTTGCCAGGTTCGCGGATATTAACAACTTCTCATGTCTCAATACTGGAGAGCCCACTTTTGTTTTAAATAATACACGTTCAGCCATTGATGTCGCTTTTTCCAACAGTACTTTCTTCAACTTTTCTTGGTCAGTCAGACAGAACAAAATTACAAATAGTAATCATCTACCTATCATTATTGAAACTTGCAACAAAGTAGCCATTAAAAATAGTAAAATACTGCATAAAGATAACCTCTACAATGATATCAAAGGTATTATTGTTGAGGACAACTTACAACAAACTAATATCAAAATAAACCAAGCCATAACCCGGAATACAATTGTGGTGGATTCGAATAACAAATATGTTCCCAAACCGTGGTGGAACGCCCAGGTGAATGATCTATATAATGAAAGAGCTGCACTCAGAGAAATCTATCAAAAAACCAACTTATTCACAGATGCCTGTAATTTAGCGAGAATAGAAAGGAAACTTTACAATCTTATAGCCAAATTAAAAAAGAAAAATCTTAAAAAGTTACAAAGCGACATATCTGGAAATGTTCCCATCAAAGAAGTATGGTTTAAAATGAAGAATGTCAAAAAATATCAGAAAATCAAGTCACCCAACAATACCTGGAGTGATGAACAGAACGAAAACTTTTTAAAACACATAACTAGTTCTTCACGTAGCTGTTCCAAACCAACTTCTGTTGTTTTTGGTAATATTGGCACAAATAAACCGGAACTTCAAATAAGTGACATGGAAAGTTTTCTTGTCAAAAGGAACATAAATTCAGCTCCTGGACCAGATCGAATTTCATACAACATCATTAACAATCTGGATGCTTCTGAAAAAAATAAATATCTCAATGTGCTGTTGCAACCATGGAAAGATGGCTCATTTCCGAGTGAGTGGCGCAATATTAAAATAGCCCCTATACCCAAACGAAACAAAGATTTATCCGACGTTAAAAATTATAGACCGATTGCTCTCATGTGTGCCCCACAAAAAATACTTGAAGCTGCGATCAAACCTTTAATATTAGAACACATAGAGACTAAGAAAATAGTTCCAAAAAGTTCTTATGCCTTCTCCTTGGGTAAATCCACCACAAATTGTATAAATGACCTAGTTAACACCATTGAAATTCACAAGAAAAACAAAAATACTGTTGTTGGTGCCTGCATTGACATCGAGAAAGCTTTTGATAACACCGATATTGGTAAACTAGCATTAATCCTTTTTAAATCAGGACTCAACACCCATATCATAAAATGGATCTATGATGGCATGTCACAGAGAACATTACTATTGGGTAACAAATCCATATCAGTCTGCAATGGAATTCCTCAAGGCAGCGGTTTGAGTCCCATACTTTTCAACATCTACACGGCTTCGCTACACCAAATAATTGACGATAGCTGCAATCTATTTCAGTTTGCTGATGATTTCTTCATCATCTGCCATGACAAAAACATCAACAACGCCAAAACTATGCTGCAAAGCAAGATAAATGATTTTCAAGAATTATGCGATAAATTATCCTTACACTTCAACATGGAAAAAATTAATACTGTCCACTTTAGCAGGAAACCTCAACAACTAGGTATCATCATTAACAACATCAGACTAAATCAAACAAATTCAATCAAATATCTTGGGGTAACCATTACATCTAGTGGTTCAGCTAAAGTACATATGAATGAATCAACATCGGCTGTCAAATCTAGTTGCAAGTTCTTAAAAATTTTGAGTGGTTGCAAATTTGGTATCAATCCATCTAGAGCGTTGCATTTTTACAAAGCATTTGTCAGATCCAAAATCGAATATGGCGCATCATCCTTATCAAATTTAACAAAAGAATCCGAAAATAGACTCAAAACATGCATTCAAGAAAGTCTCAGAAAAGCCCTTGGACTCATAAGATCAACTCCTACCGCTATTATCTACAATTTATCATGTGAACTACCTCCTAGCTACAGATTTCAACTTGCTACTGCCAAGGAGCTTGCTAAATGCGTTGCTTTTAACCTTCCTGGTGCTGAAATCATAAGAAATAATACAAGCATAAATACCAGCTATGCCAAGGTATGGTCAAAATTTGAAAATATATTATCAGATATTGCTAGTACTAAAGTCCAGGGTTCAAATTCTTTGATAATTAAAGTTGACACTTTCTTTTTCAAGGGAACCAACTTTAAAAAAGCAGAAGCCAATCACGAAATAATTACCGCAATTGCCACTGAAAAAATTAATAATCTTAGGAATGCCGGATATGAGATTTTCTCCACTGACGGTTCAGTCAACAACAATGCCATTGGGGCTGCTTTCTACCATCTTAATACAAATACTACAATGTCTTTTTGCGCCTCAAAAAAACTATCTTCAATGTCAGCCGAAGTTCTAGCTTTTCTCAAAACAGCTGAGTATGCAGAAAACAATGAAATTCAAAAATTTGCCATTCTTACTGACAGCTTAAGTGGTATTCAGGCCATCAGCAACCAAAAGCATAGAAATTATTTGATTGATGCTTTTATAAACAAGATTAATAGTTTTGCCACTGACGTACAAATTCACTACATTCCTGGTCACTCCAACATTCCCATTAATGAAATCGTTGATATAGCTGCAAAAAACGCAATCCAGAATGGAACTAGTCTTGAAATTCCATGGCCCCTAGCGGATGCCATTAATCAAATATCGAATATACTCTGGGACGAATGGAGCAGCGAATATCATTTAATAGCTCAAAACGGTAATTCTCATTTTTATAAAATCTTTCCTTCTTTATCCAGAACACCTTGGTTTAAAAATTGTAAATTTAATTCCTTTTCTCAAAAACAGATAAATCGTGTACTTAGCGGCCATTGTTTTTGCAAGAATACACTAGCCAAAATGAATGTTGTTACATCCAAATTATGCCATGATTGCGGGGTTGATGAAACTGCTTCCCACATTATTTTTGAATGCAGTAAGTATAATACCAAACGGAGATGTTTCCTAACACTATGCGATTTCTTCACTGTTGAAGACTTCGTAAATTCACAAGGCTTAGAGCGTCTGAACATAGTAGCTAAATTCCTCAAAGAAGCTGAAATCGACATTTAAAATATTGCCAACACTGAACATGCCATTAAATCGTAGCAAAGCTACATACGGATACATGGCACTAAACCTTCTATCCCTATAGAAAGTGGGCCAACCAAAATAATACATAAAAAAAAAAAAAAAAAAAAAAAAAAAATTGTTTTCACAATTTCAAATTTTGAAAATTTTATACAATTTTATATAATTTATACAGGTTTTAAATGGTCCCTTAAAACGGTATACTCTTGCATTGCAGCTAACCCTAAAATAAATAAACATCTTGTTATGGGTTTTTACCTATAAATTTATTATTTATTTAAAATTATTTTTAAAAAATATTTTTTTATATACAATATTTAATTTATTATTATAAAATTATAGTATTATTACCTTAAATGAATACACAAAAAGTATGTATAATTTATTATATTTAAACGATAAAATTGCACAAATATTGCTGGAAAAATCATGGAGTTTGGTTAACAACAAACAAGTTTAAAAACAAAGACGACATCATAATTATTTATATTTCGATTTGTGGAAACAAAAGTTATTATATTGTGTGAATATAAAAATAAAACAATTAATTTAAATCACGTACATATTTCAAATAGTTTCCGTGTATTTCTTAATTGGTTTTCTTCTTTTTGAATTACTAATAATTATTATTGAAATGTTATAAATGCTTAAATTACTAATATAGAATAATAATAATAATATTGGTGAGTTACAATAATTCAAACTTATTAATAAATTACCAAAAACAAAAAATGTATTTTATTTAAAAAAATTTATATGTTTATGTTTTGCCATATAAATTATATTTAATATGTTTTAATGTTGAGCCAAAATAGTCACCTTAGATGGTAAATATCTGTAATAAAAAATATATAAAGAAAATAGTTTACAAGGCCATTTTTTCGTTTCATTTGTAATTCAAAGAAAATCAAATTGAATTAATTTACAATTTAAAACTAATTAATTTAAGTAAAGATTAGTTAAAGCTGGAGAGCTAAAGCTCAATAAAAAAAGGAAGCTGTGGTTTTATGAAGGAAAAAAATACAACTAAATCAAGTTTTATGTATTCTCGTCTTAACATTTGAGAAATAATCACATAAATCAAATATTCAAAAATCAAAAGTAATTTAGTTTTTCCCAAAAATTTTCTTTGAACTACCAATGAAAATGGCATTTAAAATTCCAATCTAAACTGAATTCTAATAAAGAAAATTTATGTAATTGAATTGTTGTCACGTGTCTTGGTTTATCCCCCATTCTTTTGCTGTTATACGGACATATGTAAGTGGAAACTTTTTGAAACAAAGCGTTAGAACGTTTGATGAGATCTATTGGATACATTAATTTAAATAAAAACTTGAAATATATTCAAAATTTCTGTTAAAAAAATGAAAGAAAACCAAGACCACGTGACATATTACTCCAGTGGTTTAAGTTACGCTGATGTCCATGTATATCTTTCTAAATCAATTTTCTAACCTCTGGTGCTGCTTGGGCCACAAAACCATTTGCAGAAGCACCAACGGTTTCCTTCATGCGTGTAAACAGTGTTGAATTACGAACATTTAAGACACCACTACCGATGACACTATCATTGGCATTGAATTTAAGTGGTCTCCTTTTTACCGTTGCAGTGGGCACTGTATCGACAACGGCTAGCTTAACATTTCCCTGGACTTTGGGCCCAACCACCGGATACACCTTGGCTGCCGGAGAAGTAGGTTTATCTATGATAACCACCTTGTCGTCATCTTCTCTTTTCAAGTGAATTTCTGCACCCGGTTTAACTGGAGCCTTTGCATCATTATTTTTTGTCTCATTATTGGCCACATCATTGGGATGCACACGTACATTGGGTCCATATTTTACTGGCCTCAGCTTTTCGGGTATCATGTGAGATTTTATTTTCAATTCGGTTGTATTCATAACCTCACAATCGATTTGCATTAGCACAATGTCACCATTCAGCGAAGGATCACCGGCTGGTAGCATTAATGCCATTTTGGGCCTGGCACTTTTGTTATACGAATAGGCTGGCAATAGCAAATGATCCATGTTAAACGACAGCACATAGAATGTATCATCTTGACGTTTGATGCCCTTAAAAAGTTTCAGATATTCTTCGCTGATGCGCGGCTTGAAAATATCCAATGAATTACCATCCGTTCCCATGTCGTATTTTTTCTGTTTCGCAGTCACTGTCATTTGTTCATCTCCGTTCAAATATATTTTTCGTCGTTTCTGTTTTACACCAATCTCATAGTCCATATCATCGTAGTCCTTTTCAGAGCCATAATCAAATTGTCCATTTATGTGGTTGTCCATAGTTGCACCGGTCATATTCAAGTAGCCATTGTCTCCTATCCATTTGTGTAGATTCCTAGCCAAACGCATGTTTTCCTGGGCACAGTTTGTCGTATTTCCATAAGCAGCCGTCGGTCCAAATTCAACACCTTTTATGGGTGGTTCATCCTTTGTTGTCGTTCCATTCAATCGACCCGTACGATTTACCGGCCGCAAAAAGTGCAGCGGCGGTGGAGGCATATTGGCAAAGTCAGCCTCACGTTTGGTGCGATTGTTTTGTTCCATAAATTCATGTTCATTGGGTACCCAGAGCAAACGCCTGCCCGTTGGGGCAACCAGCGGTGTTTCGCCGTCATTGGCATTGGCTGCAGCAGCAGCACTAACTTCCATGGCATTTTCCAAGGCCGTTGATCTATTTAAATAATTTTGAAAGTTGCCCACATTGAGGGTGACCATAAAGGCCATGGCAAAGAGTACCGCCACATTCTTCTTGACCGTTGCGGCATTCATGCGATGTTTGAAACCTTTGAAAGATGCTGATGATGTGCCACCATTTAAGGGTTTTGGAGCAATTCTAACATGTTGTCTGGTGGATGATGTTGCTGCTTTGTTGTTGGCCATAACATCTCCATGTTCGCTCTGATGGTCCATTGTATCATCGCAGGAGTGTAACAAGAATGAGGTGGTGTCCAATGCGTTTAATACTGTTTTTGCTCCACTGCCCTCCATCAATTGACGGCGTTCATTGATGTTCAGGGTTTTCAATATGAATTCGCTGACATTACGATTTTTACAATTGCAGGATTGAGCAAAGGCCATAAGCTGGGAACGCAATGATGTATTTTCCTTAAAAAAAAAAAAAAACAAAGAGAGGAAAAGGTTGATGTTAAAAGTGATTTTTTTACAAAGAACAAGGAAAGTTAATTTAATTTTTTTTAATTTGGATAAAATTTAAATAATTTTTAGGACGTCTTAGCTAATTGTAAATAAATGTTTAATATTTTAAAAGCCGTTATTAAAAATTATTACTTTTAAGAAAAATTTAAAAAATGTAAACACAGTCAGTGTTAAAATCTGGGATTTTTAAAAATCCTTTCTACTTAAAAGTATTCTTCTTCTCACTTATTTCGTGGATTTTGTAGCAGCCGACAGAGTTTAAATCTTGGACTATAATCGCAGATTTTTTAAAACATTTTTCAGACTAATACTCTAAAATAAATTTTTCGACGACAAAAAAACACCATGCGAGAAATATGAAAATATAAGGCCAAACTCTTTACCACATGGTCTGTGGAAATAAGAATACAAGTCACACCATCATATGGTGTATAAGACTCCCACATCCGGGCATGTCAGGAAGGACCTACACGATATAGAGAAGGGGATCCAAACCTCTAACAGAGAGAGCCTCTAGATCAAGAAGCCTATCAGGTAGGTCTGAGTAGCATTGATGGAATAACAGATGCCATCAACAACTACAATAGGAATGCCGTCCTCGAAGTCCGCCCCATCCATTGCAGAGGGTAGTTTTGGGACAATTACTCAGGATGGTGCAGTCGTCTCAGTTCTTATAGGCCACAAATTGATGAAGATGTTTGAAACGTCTATCCGGTGTGTGGTACAGGCTCGCACAAGCACCAAAAATAATGGTGGAAAAATTAAACATTAAAAAAATATTTTTTATGCATTTATAGGAATATTTTTATTTTTAGCTATTACACGACGACATTCTAAAGGCTGAGATGGCAGGACAGTTGGAAACTGTATCAACGTAATTCTAGGCAAACTGGACAGTGATCTAGCTGAGTGATCTATACTGAGTAATGTGCAAAGAGAAGCTTTATAGCACTCTAATCTTGCAGGAACTCTATAGGTAGAAATGGGGATCTTAAACCGCACATAATCGAGTGGATATATGAGTCAACTGTTCGCCCTATCCTAACTTATGGTGCTCTAGTTTACCGGCACTCTTTGGGTAAGTCATCCTATAGACGAGGCTTTTATAAAGTTCAAAGATCCACATAGCTACTGCTCACAGATACATTCATCAGCTCACCTCAGGCCGCACTAGATAGCCTACTTTACTTAAGTACATTAAGTCTTCAAGCAAATGAACAGGAAATCTATAAAATCTATGGCAGTTTTGGAGTTCAGAAAAGCCGTGAAAATTCTTTGGTGTGATACACGAACGCTACTCCGGGAGATTCCAAAAAAAATGTTAAATGATATAGGATGTAATGTCCCATTCAATGTCCTGTCCTGTTCAATCTTTCCTATAATCTCCGAGAAGAGAATATTGCTCATTTCCATTTCGAAACCTGACCTTGTAGGTTGGTTTGTATCGTCACAGAGCACTGCAGCGCGAGAGTCGTGGCTTCTAAATGGAATATCGACGACACTAATTACTGTAGCATCTGCCAAGATATAGAAGAAATTAAGACAGTCCAACATCTGCTCCGACGTTGTTCGACTCCCATCAATGTGAAACACAGGCTAGTGGGAGAGCAAATAACACACGATCAGTCTTCATTCTCTAATATTCAGGCAAAAAAGTCAAACGCCATAATTTTTACACTTTTTTAATTTTATTGAATAAAAGCAAAAAAAAAATCCGAAAGAGCATCAAATTTTAGAATAAGTTTAGATTTGCTCGAATTGGTCACCTTTGGTATGAATTATAGTCAATGAAACCGTCACACGCTGTCCGAATGTTTCTCTGCGGTATTTTGGCCCATTCCCGGCGACAGTGATCGACACTTTTCTATTTTTTAGTGTCAACCTTGCTTTCCAAAATACTCCAGACACAACAGTCCAACGGATTGGTACCCGGAGATTTTGGTGGCCATTGTGCGCTGGAAATGAAACGAGGAACCTCATTTTTTAACCATTCTTGGGTGGCGTGTGCTGATTGCGATGGTGCAGAGTCCTGTTGGAATGTCCAAGGGCTGCAGCCAAAATGTTCGCGTGCCATGACTTTAATACACCCTCCAGAATATTTTCGCGACAATATTCAGCATTTATTCTGATGCCACGGACGATTAATACGAGCGGAGTGCGACCATAGTCTGTTATGGCGGCCCGCACCATCACCATGACCGGCGCTTGAGTTCTGGTGACCAACCGAAGGTGCACATTTTCAGCTGACCTCTTTGGCAAGTAAACACGATCATTTTGTTTGTTTACAAACTGCTGGACAACGAATGTTTTCTCATCGGAGAAAACCATAATTCGGCAGTTCACCACTTTCGGCCAAGCGAAGCTACTCTTCTTTAGCTATTTTTAGTCTATTTTCTTTCTGTTGCGGTGTAAGTTCTTGCTCTTTTTGGAATTTCAATGGCTTTACCTTTACGACTTTACCAAGTCGCTTCTTTACTTTTAGAACCATTTCTGCTAAGGTTGCTGTTTTCTTCCGTCCACTACCTTGACGTCGGGCTACGCTACCAGTATCACGGTAACGAACGATGGAAGGAGAAACAAAAGATTTATTCACATTAAAATGCTGGAGCGCTCTAACGATAGCCACTAAGGGTTTTCCAGCCAAATATAAAGAAATCACACTTGAATTCTATTACGAATAACTTTTTTCTGGAAAATTCTCAACAATAAGGTTTTGTACGCTTGTAAACAATATAATGAGCTGTCCCTGGAATAATTTTAACACCTGTCGGACTAGTGGCTTAGAAATGGCAGCAGTCTGAATTTGGTTGCAGTCTTTTCATCTCAGCCTGTAGAGCCTGCAGTAATTTTTCAACTAGCCAGTAATTTTAAGTGACTAAATGTACTTTTAGTCCTGGATCACTATTTATTTTACGTATTATATATATGTCCTCTCTTCCAAATTTCGGAAGAAGAGACCAGCAGTCTCCTGGTGGAGCGGTTACCCTAAGACAACCGCGCGTCCTTTAACCTAACCTATGATCAAAGCTTTTCCTTCTTATGTGTCTTAAGTAGAAGTTATGTATAGTATTAGTTCACTTTTTAGGCCTATGGATAGATAGAAATTCATCCTAGAATCGTCTTGAAAAATCATACGAATTGTAGAAATCCTTTTGAATAATTTATGCGTAGAAGACTTTCTTTAAGAGCTTTTTATGTAGCTGGACAAATAACAATCCTAATTTTAAGTTTATATCTTACATTTGTAGTGTGAGTTCAATAGAAAATAAATTAAAGTAATATTCTTTATATTTCAGCCTAAAAGTATGCTTTGCATTTTCACATTTTCACGACTTGGGTAACTGTCTGATTGCAAAAGCCATATCAAGTGGTTAGTCAACATTCACTATTTGGTTTGGTAGTGTTGCTAAAATGTTATGGCCACAAAAAAAAAGCGGAAAGAAAGGTATTTGCGTTCTTCTCATCGTATACATTTATATATACTGAACACTTCATGAATATAAACGTGTTTTTGTTTTTCTCTTCCCGAGTTTACTCCCCAAGCATGTTGTACATATTTCGTTATCTTTCACTATAATAGGCCACAACAGACAGACAAACTAATAGTGAGAGGAAGAGAGAGAAGGGAAACAAGTCAACTTATATTTTTGCCATAAGACTGATTAACACACTTTCCAGCAATTGATATTTACTTGGTGTATATACCTATATTTAAGTCGTCATTATATTTTTTTGGTAAAGTCAACAGCAGCAATAACAACAATCGCATTTTGCTGTTCAATGAACTCAATAGCTTGCTGCCTCTTCATTATTATCGCCATTGTGCGGTGCTGCGATGATGGTAGAAAAGTGAATGCCATTTTTAGCCAAAAGAAATGTAATTTACTTGACTGAGCTACTTACTTACTGCCTGGCTGGCTGGCTCACGATTCACATAACGGAAAAGAGAGGCAGAGGCTAGCAAGCTTTGTATTTTTTGTTGATAGCTTAAATTTTTTACGCCTTGTAAAAAAATTTACTTTAAATTTTGAGGAAGCAGAAGGTATTGCTGTTTGTTTGTACTTGATAAAACATTCGCACTGTGTGCCCCCCTTATTTCTAAAGAAAAGAGAAAGGAGGGAATCTACAATAACTTTGTTTTCGTAAAAAAAACACAATTTATATATTATTTTTAATACAAATGTGTGCGTGTGCATATGCTACACGGACAGTCAATGAGATAGCCATATTGTGTTGTACAAATATAAAAAAATAACGCAGAAAAATATATTTAAAAAAATACACAAACAATTCTTGTAGACATATTAATTTTTTGCATATACTTGTGTGTGTGTGTGTTTGTTTTTATTTGTTGCAGCCATGGCCCGTCTAAAACTTATCAACAGAGCAAACAAATAAATTGAAAAATATCAAAAAAATGCAATGCAGCAACAACACACAACATGTGTCTACCTGACGACTTAGTGAATGGCTATAGTCGAATGGTCTGGCTGCATAGCGATAAGACTTTTTCCATAAAAAAGCTGACGTTAATTAAAACCCAAAGATGTTCTTAACAATTGCGTTTTTTTCAAATTCAATGCAGAGTCGTAATAAATTATAGAACAAAATGGAACAAGATTAAAGCCATGTGGTTTTAGGTTAATTAAAATGAGTATAGACGATAAAAAAATGGATTTAGGTTGGCCAGTAGTAGGGGCTAAGAAAGCATTAGATTTAATAGAAGGATCTTTAATATATTTATTTTTCAATTTTCCTTGCGAGAGCCTGTCTCCTAAATTGAGAATTCCATAAAAAGGGCTTATACGAAAAAAATCCTTTTATGTTTAACGCCCATTTAAGATTATGATGGGATCTATGTCTGAGAAGAATGTTAGAGCCAAATAGAGTATGTTTCTTGGTGGGTAACATGGGGCATCTGCATAGTAGGTGTTCAATGGTCTCTACCTCTTCTTCATCTTCACTTAGTCTACAGTAGTCAGGAACATTGATATTCCATCTTGGGGTCACAAATCTTATACAGTGTCCAGTCAGTATTCCTATTCTTATGCCACTAATCAATTAATAGTAGGGAGTAGGCTTTTCTTGTAGGCTAGATAACCTTCAACCGGTTTCCAATTACCATCTTGTTCCAGCTTATAGCTGCGATCAGTCCCCAGCTATTACCTATTATGTTTAAACATGCGTCAAGTGTAATAAGTCCTTTCCTTATCACGTTTTTCATCATTCCGTTTTAGTTGACAGGTTTTGTTTCTAGGTACTTATCTTGACTCTTTCATCACCGTCAGTTTAGCTTACAGCTTTTGTGGCTTGTGTTAACCACAAGGAACATTTAAAAGAGGATCTACCAATCTCACCCAAGACGTGTACAAGCGGAGAAGGGTGCTGTAATGTCGGGTGTACAACTTCGTCCGGAAGTTGTCGGGGTTCCAATGGACGACATTTATACTGTAGTTGTTGATGGTATCTGCGACTACATCAGCATCAATGCTACTAACCTGCCTGATAGCCTTCTTGATTCAGAGGCTCTCTCCAAGCACCCAAGCAAGCACTACAAGTATACCATATGGCTATGCTTATGTACGGGAAGGACCTTCGACTTCTCAGGTAGTTGGTCCACTGGTGTCATGAGGAGGTACTCTATTTATTTCAGGGCCTCATTCTGGCAGGTCTGAATATTTTTCCATTCCATATTCGCAGACCACATTAGAGTAGCATAGCTGACAAACGCGACCTATCGCCTTATAAGAGATCAACAAGGTCTCCCTGTCCGCGGCCCAAGTGGTGCCGGCTTGCACCGTGAAGACCTTGTTCCTACTTTTCAATTTATCACGAACTTGAACTTTCTACAGAAGAGTAAACCTCTAGATGGTCATAGATTTTTTAGGACTAAAAGGCTAGGGATTGATAGTAAACATTTGAGGATGCCAATAAGAGCTAGAAGGACTCTCAGCCCTTAAATCGTGAGCTTCTGAGAAGAACCATAAGGACTATAATCGCGCACTTATATAGAAGGCCTTTCACGGATATGATCATCAATTTATATCGTGGATTTGTCAGGATCATAATTGTGGACAGATAATAAGGATCACACTTCTTCTGCAAAGTTAATGACGTTCTAAAATGCTCTTATATAAGATAGAACCTTATAAAAGATTTCTATAGTAGAACGTAGTTTAAAAGTCTTCGAAAGGAAAGAAAACTTGTTTAACTCCACACAAAAAAAGAAAAGGCATTCTTATGATCTTTTATGAAATTGAGGAACTTCTAAAGATCTTATATATCGTGGACTTTAATAGCAAGAAGACCCGCCAATGATATTTTATAGAAGACCGCTTCAATGTCTTCTATATATTAAAAAAAAATAACTTTTAAAAATGTTTTATTGTTTCAATTATTTTCCCCTCAAAACTTACCCCCTTCAACGAGTAGTTCTCCTTTTCCAGATTGTGTATGCGATTCTCCAAACGTTCAACGTACTCCTTTTTCTTTTTGCGCGACAATGAGGCCGATTCACGATTTTTCAACATACGCAATTGTTTCTTGAGGATTTTATCATCGCCATTGCTGTAGTCGCGCAGAGAATTTAAATCGTTGCGCGAACCACTCTTGGAGGTGAGCGAAGACAGAGTGGCGCGAGCGGCAGCCATTGCTGCAGCTGAACGAGCAGCATTCGAATTGTTGGCCAATTTTGATGATTGCTGTTGTTGATGTTTTACTACCATGGGATTTTGATTCACCCCTTTTACCAATTTTTGTCCATTTTGTAAGGAGGAGATTGTGTTGGGAACGCCGGTTACAGGTTTGGCAGATGACACAGCTGCTGTGGTAGCCTGACCAAGTTTATTGGCTGTTATGAATTTACCACTGGCCGTTTTCATTATAATTTTGGGAGTTGTTGCCGATTTCTTGGCCACCACACCATTGGTGCTGGCACCACCATTTGTGGTATTGACTTTTTGCATAAGGGCTTTAAAATCATTCGAGGAAAGGAAAATGGTTTTGGGTTTGGGATTAGGAGGCGCCGTAACTTTTGCGGTATTTGCATTTGCCGTTGGAGGGGTGGTAGTGGTGGTGGTGTTAGAGGTAACTACTTTTATTGCCTGAGACTGTGGAATTGGCTGTTGCAGAGCAACAACTGGCTTGACGGGAGTTTTTATATTCACCACTGGTGTCAGCTTATTTACTGGCAAAGCAGTCTGCACGGGTATTATTGTACCGGGTACAATATTCACAGGTTGCAGCGTGGCCACTGGTACCACGGGCAATGTTGTAACTGGTATGAGTGTGGGATTTGTTTGCAATGCCGGCGTACCAGGAGCAGCAGCAATGGGTGGTGGAGCAACAAATGTTGTCTCATCATCTTTATTCATTTCCTCGTCCACTGCCTCATCAAAACCACCATTCGAATTTTCCGATTTTTCATTTTTAAAACGTATAAATTCCGATAGATCATCTTCATGTTGTTCATGTTCTGGTGATGTTGCCAAATGTTCGGAACCATTGCGCGGCACAGAAAACAGCGATGAGGAATCACTGTGGACACCACTGGTTGTGGAACTACCACTGGAACTTGTACAACTGCCCGTCGGCGAGGGGGTGTTACGTTCATTGTGTTGATTCAGTTTCCGTATTGTATCAGGTGTTAAATCCTCAAACTTGGCATCATCATCGTTAAGGAAATTAATAAAATCATCCGGATTGAAACAATCACCATCCACCGATGATGTGGAGGAGGTGCGAAGCGGAGTATCAAAAGGTGAAACATAATCACCAGATGATTGTTGGGAAGTGGCAGGCGAAGGAAAGGCGGGAAAATCAAAATGAAAATCAGGAAGAGGATTTTCGCTAGACGTCATCAGCTGAGGTGGTGGTTGTTGCTGAGGCGGCAGCATATTCATGGCCAACAAGTCAGCCGTGCTGTTTGTGGTCTCTCCTCCCACCATGGCGCAGTCACCATCATCATCTTGATTTCCTAATGTTTTGGGGAAGGCATTCAAATCAAATGAGGCATCCAAATGGGAATCCGTTGAACGTATTATTTCATCCAAATCATCCAGGCTATAATCGCCTGGCTGCGGCATAAACGATGCTATTTCATCTGCAAGCAAGCGAAAAAACATGACATATTTAATCCACGGTTATGATGAAATAAAATAAAAAATATTGAATATATATTTTATAAAATATTCAACACAACAACATCATCATAAACCACTCTTGAACGCCATACATACACACTGACATGTCTTAAGCAAATGACGATGAAGAAGAAAAGAAAAATACGAAAGAGAAACATTGATGCGACTTTTGAATATTAAATTTACATAATTAATGCGAATAGCTGTGCTTGACGCTGGCGCTGAATTGAAGGTGAACTTTTGTGGCTTTTGCAAGCAGCATGACCGATCAATATGAAGAGCAAAAACAAAAATCTAATGAAAATGACGTTGATTGTGTGTGAAGTGAAGTGAAGGGGAGATCTGTGGAGAGTGATGTGTCAAAATTACTGATAACTGGCATTTTGGTATGCAGCACGCTTCATACCTATGCCTGGGGATCAGCAATTGAATTGCTTGTTACTCATCGCTAGAGGCGTTTGTTTGGGAAAAGTGGTCTAATGACCAATATTTTAAAGAAAGTTGCCTTTTCTTCATAACCTGAGTGTTATGAAATTCTTGTATACCATGAGCAGTTCAAGTCATCTCTCATGATTTTTTTTCGATAAGAAGAAACTGAAGGTCAAAGTCACAATTCTTTTTTATACCCTCCACCAAAGTATGGAGGGTATATTATGTTTGTCATTCCGTTTGTAACACCTCGAAATATACATTTTAGACCCCACAAAGTATATATATTCTTGATCAGCATAAGATTCTATTTCGATTTAGCGAGGTCCGGTCGTCTATCCGTCTGTGGAAATCACTCTAACTTCCAAACGAAGTGAAGTAGGTTGATAAAATTCTACTCAAATGTGTAGTATGTCTGCAGCAATTTTGGTATTGAAAATGGCTGATGTACGTCCACTTTTTGGTATAGCCCCCATATTACGGCACGTCCCGATATTCGGTACTTTGATAATTTTAGCGACATTATTTACCGAAATTTTTTCAAATCTGGCATTTGAAGTTCGTAATGGGTACTACATCCTACGACAAAAAATTATCTGTGCAGGTCCACGTCTTCGTATAGCCTCCATATTACGGCACCTCCCGATATTCGGTACTTTGATAATTTTAGCGACATTATTTACCGAAATTTTTTCAAATTTGGTATTTGAAGTTCGTAATGGGTACTACAGCCTATGACAGAAGATTGTCTCTGCAGGTCCACGTTTTCGTATAGCCCCCATATAACGGTACCTCCCTTTATTTGGTACGTTGATGATTTAGCGACATTATTCACCGCAATTGTTTCAAATTTGGTATTTGAAGTTCGTAATGAATACTACAGCCTAAGACAGAAGATTGTCTCTGCAGGTCCACGTTTTCGTATAGCCCCCATATAACGGTACCTCTCGATATTCGGTATTTTGATGATTTTAGCGACATTATTCACCGCAATTGTTTCAAATTTGGTATTTGAAGTTCGTAATGAATACTACAGCCTAAGACAGAAAATTGTGCGTCTTCGTATAGCCCCCATATAACGGTACCTTCCGATATTCGGTATTTTGTTAATTTTGGCTACATTATTCACCGATTTTTTTCGCATTTGAATATTGTAATGGCTTATGACAAAGGTTATCTATGCAGGTCCATGTCGCCGTATAGACCCTAATATAACAGCTGCATTCGGTATTTTTAAGATTTTAACAGAATCTTTAACGAATTTTATTGTTTTTGAGAATTGCCAAAATCGTTCCAAATGGTGGAGGGTATTCAAAGATCGGCCCGACCGAACTTACAGCTTTTTTTAATTGTTATACATATAAATCTTTAAAATTTGGGGGTCATTTGATAATATTTTGTGGCAAAATGTTTGAAAAGTTTGTCGGAGGAAACAAAAAATGTTTGAGATGTATTATGCGATGATATTTCATGATCTTTTACTATAGAATATTAATTCAATATTAGCTTCAAAATTGCAAGAGACATGGAACTTATGGTTTCAAGTACTTTCAATTGATTCCTTTAGCTACATGTCAGTGGTCATGAATCATTTCCGACAAATTTATCAGAGGATAATTAGGATAAAACAAATACCTCTGAAAATGAAAAAAAAAAAAAAACATATATAAATGTAATTCCTAAATATTTTTTTTTTCAGATTTTCTATATATAATTTGGTTCATTTTTACCATCATTCACCCACTTCATGAACATATCACTTAATGGTTATTAAAATCCCTTTCCAGTTTATACAGCACCACAACGGTGATTATAATAAAATCACCGCTGGAAAATCCATTTATTTGAAAGATGAAAACAACTGATAAGCTGTGCAATTAAATATATATATTTGACCATGTTTTTTTGGATTGACAATTATATCGTATTTCCAAACGATTTCTTTTCTAATGGGAAAACCTGTACAAACTGATAACGCGAAACTCAGATCAATTGTTATGGCTCAGCAACAGTTGAATTAATCAGCTTTTTCGTTTTCTACGGATTTCTACTGATATGTTTCTTTATTGTAGGCACAAAATATGAACATCTTATCAATGTAATGAGATTTTAATATTAGCTCATCTGTAGAACGAACATAGGCAATATACATAGTTAGACAATTCTAAGATGGAGAAACTTGTGCAAAAACTTCATATTTAAAAGTTCTTATAAGTTTAGGTAAGAGGAGGTGTGGTCTGAATTAAAATCACAAACCTCTCGGTCCATTATAATCATTATGCGTCAAAAGAAAGAAGATGTACGCCAGAGCGAATGTAGCATTGTTCGTGAAGTTATAGATAACAATTCCTGAATTCATACTGAGATAATGAGTCGAATCTATACATTTAACTCGTAGGCTCTCCCCTGATAAAGCAGGACATTGACATAATGAATGTTAACTCGTTTCACTCTCTTCCTCATCCTCACAAACCCTGCAGTATTCGAATTAAAATTATTCATGTTCTTCTTCGGATTTCATTTCCATGATCAGTTAATATCAATAACGTTGACCTGTTTATGGATAATAGAGACTGTGTTCTATATAAGGAGATATTCGACAAAATTTCTTTAGTTAATACGTTGTACGAGCTCGGTTTATCTTTCCCCCTAGAGAGTATTATTCTGGTAAAATTAAAATTGGGAGGTTTTAAGATGCCTGCGGCCTTTTTAAGTTCTTTTGACTACGAGCCCATCATTCCCAGTCCATAGGCTTTCTCATTCCCTTCGATTTTGCAATGTCCAGGTACCTAACAAGGCCAGAAAGTATTGTGCAGATTTTTCAGAGCCATTCTACATCTTAGGACTGTGTCGAAATTGATTATAGAAGATTCAATGGCCGTTGTCGTCCATAGTTATAACCAATTCTGTGTATACATCGGCAGACCGTTCTATTCATCCTTGTTTTTTTTTTTTTTTCGCTTTTACGTTCATGAGGGTTAACGTTTACTTCAGCTCTTGGAAAGTCCTGCAGGATGGCATGTAGTATGCAGCATATTCTATTCTGACAACTTCCATCATACCTTATGCAGCCTCGTATTGTAAGCTAAGTTGACCGGAGCAAGGATTGGCTGTTCGCTGTACGGTAAGGAGCTAGATAAGACTTGCTTCCATAGGAAAGGATGGGCAAAAGTACAATTGTACCACCGAAAGTGGTAAACTGCCGAAATTAGTTTTCTCGCTCTCCGCTCGTATTAATCGACCGTGGCATCAGAATAAATGCCGAATATTATCGCGAAAATATTCTGGAGGGGTATTAAAGCCTTAGGCTCAGCACCATCGCACTCAGCATTTGGTTACAAAATGAGGTTCCTCGCTTCATTTCCAGCGCACAATTGCCACAAAAGTCTCCGTATAACAATCCGTTGGACTATTGTGTCTGGAGTATTTTAGAAAGCTAGGTTGGCACTAAAGAATACCAAAGTATCGATCACCTCAAGCAAGCGCTTCCCCGGGAATGGGCGAAAATACCGCAGAGCAACATCCGGGCAGCGTTCATTGGCCGTTTGAAGGCCATAATTCGTGCCAAAGGTGACCAATTCAAACAAATCTAAACTTATTCTAAAATGTAATGTTATTTCCGATAATTTTTTGCTTTCATTCAATATAATTTAAGAAAAAATGTAGAAATTATGGCGTATGACTTTGTTGCAGTTTTTTTTGTCTCACACTGTACAAACATCCGGAAACGGATGCATGAAGTTGCTCGAAATTTATGCTCCTGACTTTAATTTTGTAGTTAATAATTTCATCATCCCACCTTAGGCATACACATTTTTTTAAGAACCGATACATGACGAGCTGCACCACCAGTTTCTTTACATAGATTCCGAATGGGTAAAAGTAAAGCAGCGTGCCCAGCATTCATAATGGCATTTGCAATTATATTTCTTGCATCTAATTGAACATGGAACTTTCATAGATCCAGTAAAAACATATGCTGCAAGCCACCAGCTCTATATTGTAAATAGATGGAACGAAATTCTAAAATTGTACGAAATACAAATTATACATAATTCCACTATTGGACATCCATGAAAAAGTTGTGTTCACAAAACATCTGTTAAAATACTCAAAAAAAAAAATAATAATGCAAAATAAACGAATTTTTTCAAACCATTTTTAATGACAATTTTTCTTGTTATAGTTATAGAAAAATGTATTTCACAACTCCAGTGTACCTACTTCGTCATAAACTAAACTTAGAATTAGTGTTGCTTATCTATGCTTTAATTTATGTATCAAAGGGTTTACTGTTTAATGATTTTTCCAGATACTGGTACTTGCTAATGCCAACTCCTCCATGAACACTTAACAACATGGAATACAATACCCAAAATATGGTTGGTTTGATGTGATAAACATGACTTTAAAATTAAACATTTTCTCAAACAGCATGAGTCGGTTCTAAATTATGTATGGTGTTGTTGTTGAAAAAAGTGTTGAAAATACAAAGGGTGTGTAAATGGTTAAGTCACTAAAGTGCCTGTGATTGTGTGTGTGTGCTCGCGCTCATGTGTGAAACCATCCCAAATGTTTTCAACTGATAACAATTCAATTTTCCACCCTCTTTTGAAATTTCGTAAATTTATGGTTATTTAAAAATCATCATCAAGATAAATTCCAAGAAATATGGCTAAGAAGACAATCTTACAACAACAGGTTCCTACTTGTTGCCTGTAATTCTACTTCGTTTGAGAGTGGGTATTCAACAAGGGACACCATCTTTGATTTGAAAACAAAATACCTTTTTTCTCTTATCTCAAGAAAAAGTTATGACTTCTATGGGTTCTTTTTTCTGATAAGATTTCATATGTTTTCTCAAATGTTTGAAAATTCATACAGATAAGATTTGTGGTGATATTTGAAGAGGCACAAAAGAAATATATAAAAATAAAATCATAAGTACTTTATATAGAATATGATATGACCGTATTGTAGGTGTTGCAAAGTATTGAGTTCTTTATTATTATTATATTTTTTGTTTGATGTTTTTTTTTTATAAAGTTTTATGACATATGCTCTCATTTCTATTTCTGATAAAATCTTTAAACTAAAACAAACTTATCATAAACATTTATGACTACCAATAAAAACGTAAAAGAATGTAGTTACCTAAATTCATGTGTGTAAATGCAGTACATTAGAGATTAAACCTTTGATATGATGGATACAATACAGTTCATAAAGTTTAAAACAATTGTGCCCAAAATACCAGCTATGAAGTACATGTTACACCAGAATGGAAAAGTTTAAAGTCGGCCGAGGTTGGCTATATGATACCCCATACAACTATGCATATTTAAAGGAACAACCCGGGACAAATTTACGTTTATATTGGGAATCAAATCATACTAACTGTGATTAAATGCCTATTGCTGCTTTAGATCAAATTGAATTTGAAATTGGATGGAACTAATGATTTGACGGAAATATTTTTATAATGTATCAGATCTCTCGTACCAAATATCATTGACATAGATTGCATATTATGAATTTGAGAAGGCTTAAGTAAAAGATCGGATGGGAGCTATATTTATATCTGAACTGGCCAACATTTGGTAGACTTTCTCATTGTTCGAATTTGTTAGGCTTTGTCCTGGTAGTATAGTGCATATTCCAGCTATTTGTGAACTTTTTTTTTCTAAATTTTAAAGCATATGAACTCTGCCAAGTTTTGTTCCAATCGGAGAATAAAGCCGACTTGTAATTTTCATACAGAAATGACAAGGCATAGCATCAGTTCTATCACAGAAGGCTCAAAGAGAATTTCGTTATGCTGAACAATAATACGGTAGAACACTACATCTAATGTTGCGCTGCGGTATGTTCCAGAAGACTTTGGTAGCTAAATAGTGCTGTGGACATTCAACTTTAGTTAAGGCCAACACTGGCTGAATAATTGATATAAATTTGAAAGACATTCCTAGTTCCAAGGAAGGACTAAAAAATTGTATGTATTCCACAATTTACCTTGTTTCCCAATTGTACCCATATATATTTACTGCACCCGCATTTGTTGCCAAAATGCATTCCACCATATTCCATATGTAATGCTACTAATTTTTTAAGGATTACCCGCATATACCGGAAACTGTAGATGAGGGTACCATGCAAATTCATGTCAAATCCTTCTCATGGATGTTTAATGCGGCTTTAAATTCAATTTCATTCTCAAGCCACGTTCCAAATATAAACTATAATCCGCCAAATCACTGCATTTGACATTCCCTATACCTGTTTGATTGACATTTCTTAACAACAATCTCCCCCTGTTATCATCTACGCTACACAAAAATGTCTTATCTCAATTATAAATATATGCATAAATTATTTCATAATATTTTATTTAAAAGAAATACTTTGTTACTTTCTAAGCTACCGTTCCTTTTCAGTAAAGAAACCACGTTTTTAACGGTCTTCAATGAATCATTAATTAAATTCCATCAGAAAAAAAAAAGAAGAGATCAAAGAGAAAGAGAGAAAAATACATCACATGCACACGTATCACCAATGACTGCAGTCAGTCAGGTAGGCACTGACAATCGGAGAGAGAGATGCAAAGGTAGAAAACAAAACCTGTTCTCTCATGGCACACAACCAAGCCAAACAAACAATAGGGAAGAAACATGGATTTTACGTGTCGGCGGCTGCCTCTGTTGCTTTGCGTAGTATTCCCTCGTATCGTTTATTCCGGCAAAAAGAAAAAAAATGGGACACAACTCAAATAAACAAACAACAACAAATACACACCAACACTCTCTCACACAATTGACAGTGTATAATATACATTTTTTTAACAAAATAAAGCACACGGACACAACTTGTTCTGCTTTCGATAATCGTCGTTTACTTTCATAATAATCTTCTACAACTCCGTCGTAAGTATATTAATTCTAAAAGAAATTTCTGGTTCTTTTTACTCTACAAACATATGGATGTTAACGAATCAACGACAAATAATATTGGCCAACAAATAACGATTCCCTTCTCATTATTATATGATGTATAGATAAAATGAAGGGTGAACAAAAATACATTTTTGTTTCTTATATTGTATTTAGTTTTTTTTTTTTTTTTGCAACCTTATGAATGAGTTTGCTTAATTCTTGTTATACTCGCACACACAACCGCCGCAAACTATCATATTTGACATAATTGCACTATATATGTACAATTATACATATACACACACACAACACTTGAATCACCACTTTTTCCCCGTAATACACCCCAAATAAAAGTTGGGAGGCTTTCTCACCGTAAAAATTGTCATTATCCACATCCATTTTTATTGTTGTTTTTTGTTCTCCAGTTTCATTTGATATATCTTTATTATTTATATTCCATCATATTGCAGTTAGATTTTTTATTTGATTAATCATCATTAAATAAAAACACACAGTAACCCGGGGTCGCACGAAGTGCAGCACTCAATTTTGCCGACGAAGCAAGTTGAGAAGAAAACAAGAATCAACTAAAATGAAAATGAATAGAGTTGTGTGGTTCCGAAACGAAACAATAATATTTGACAAATCTGGCAATACAGCAACAACAGCTGTTGCCACCCTATGAAAACACCCGCAGTTCACGTTAGGCACATTGAGGGGAAGTTTTTTAATGCCATCAATAGGCAGGAACGTTTTTGGAAGACATTAAATAATTTCGAAAGCAATTTACTTTTCAACATCCCAAAATTTCAGCGCGGAAATGATGATCTACCCATGGTACAATAAAATCAAGGTGGGGTTATGACACCATATGATTTTAATATTTTTATTTGCTTGGTGCAATTGTTGGTAGTAATTCCACATTACAATTCATTCAGGTAAGTCTCTCTACTTGCAGCTTTTTCCGAGTAAGCCTACCTTCTCTTCGTTGTACCATCCTTGAACGTTTACCTGGTCGAACTAAACTTCTGTTCTGATACAGAACTTGCAAGAATCTAATAGTTTTGCATGATTTTCGGTATCATAAAGGGAAAATCGGCTATCGTATTTGAAACTTTTACATTTCTGCAGTTCTGGAATATGAATATGATTCAGTCATAGGCCGTTTTCATATATTTTCTTTAACTTTGTTCCAGAACTGCAAGAATGTAAAAGTACGATAACCGATTTTCCCTTTAGATATCGGAAAAAGTGCAAAACTAGTAGATTCTTGCATGGTACAATAAGAGGCAGAACAGCTTCGTAAAACTACAGAAATACAGCCCTGAGGCTATGTCCGCTTTCTGTCAGACTCATACAAAATTTTATGAAACAAGTTGTTTTCATTTTTTTCATACCCTCATATTTTAATGAGTCAAATAGCGACAACGAATGAATGAAATGAACGGATTTTTTCTCAAAAACATAATCCAAACTATTCAATTTTTCAATTTCATGGCTAAACTGCCTAATAACTTTACTCCGCGAGCCGCAATGTACATGTCTTCCAATCATTGGTTTTGAAAATATTTTTTTTTTTCATTTTCAAAACAATAAATACAATTAATAAATACACAAAATTGGCAGAAGTCGGGCACATTTAAAAAAAAATCGTAAAAAGCTGATGGCTCTACCTTACCATTTTATTGTACCATGGATTCGAGCAGGTTCTGGAACAAAGCATTTATAGTTCACATGGTAGAAGAATACAGGTAGATGCATCAACGCTTGGGAACATTAGTATGTCAAAAATTTTAAAATATTTGTTCAAATATAAGTAGATTTTTATAAGTTTTCTTATACGACGTCAATCGGAGATTATAATAATATGCGTGTTTTAACAATTTTTACAAATTTGAATAATTTTTCATTCAACATTTTCAATTTTAAGTTTGGTTTGATAGTTCATTGTCCGAGCAGCTGTGTCGATACGACTACCTGTATTCCATGATAGTTCACTTTTGTTATGCTAAGTTCACATGACACGTGATTCGCTTTTTATTCGTTGGTCGACCATTAATTAAGAAAAATATCTACTTAATTCCTCACACAAAATTTTCTGAGCGAACAAAGATTTTTCTTTGTACCATTCAAATCACTCTCAGAACTACGATGAAATGTGTGCCACCCCTGACAAAAGAAAGCATTTATGTCAAAATTAATTATGACATTTAAAAATGCAAAATAGAAAAATTTATGAATTTTTTTAAAATTTTCAGCAAGACCGAAAATTATGAATGAAAGATATAATGTTGAATGTTGAATGAAAGATATATGTTTGTGCATTCAAACGAAAGTAAATTTTGTTTCTTCTCTCATCCGAGATACCCTTTTTGTTCAGGAGTTGGAATTTCGACAGAAAACTAAAAAAGAAAGAGGCAATATTTTTTTTTTTTTTTTGTATCGACAAATTTTTTTTTTGACAAGTGTCTCTCCAACCGAATTTAAAAACAGAAAAATATATGTAAAATGTCAACATTTATACAAAAAGTTCAAAACATGAATGATCTAAATGAATAAAAGCCCAACCAGACAGTCTTAAATCATTCATGAATGAAAATCGTTAAATAAAAGATAAAATAAATCTTTGGAGAAAAAAACAATAATTTCTTCTATTATTAGTTGTGTTCCAGTACTTTTTTAGTAGTAAAACTAGCAGAAGAGAGAACAGTACGAAATGCCATTCTCATTTAGGTGTGCTCAAAAAATAAGGGAACGGAAAATTAGCAGAAATGTGCTAAAATGTCAACATTCAAAATTCCAAAAGAAAACAGTCTAAATCGGACTAGTGAAACCTTACTGAAATGGACGCTAAAATTTAAAAATGAGTATTGAAAATAAATTAAAATTAATAATTATTTTTGAATGGTGTTTATTTAGAAAGTTTTGTTTTCAGAATGCGTTGAAGAGTATTTAGAGGTGGAGTTTTCTCAAATCCCAACCCGGAAAAGCTCACATGGTTGGAGGCGCCGGTTAAATTAATGTTAAGTCTGCAAGAAGACTTAATGCTACAAGTTAGGAAGACAGCCAACCTAAAAAATAAGAAGAAAATGTTCGCAGTAATAAGCAAACGACTTTGATTCTAAGCCTAATTTCCAATTTACCTTTTACTAATTTTGCACTGTTTTCCAATACGTTTTCTTCGTCTGATTCCTCATTCAGCCAGTCCTCTTTACTGCTGGAATCATCCAAAAGTGAATACATCAGTTGCTCCATATTTTCTCTTTTTGTTTTTTGCACGACAAATATTAGTTATTCTTTATTTTTTAAGTTAATCTTTTTTCTTTACATTTGTTGTTACGCGCGAACATTGAAATGTATTAATACATTTTTCAACCTTGTTAGCCCTGCCAATTAAATGTCAAATTTACAATTTGCACATTTCTGCTCGGCCAAATTCATGTAGCTAAAACAAGCAGAAATGTGCACCACTCAGCGCCATTTTATTCTCGAGAGAGCTGCAAGTTTTGCTAGTTTTTGGAGTACGGGAACGCGTTGTAGTAGAATTAGCACTAATTAGTACTAACTTTTAGGTTCTGGAACACAACTATTATTAATGCTAATTTCATATACTTTCGTACAAATTCCCATAAAAATCAACAAACAAAAAAATTGAAAAAAGAAATTATATTACTATGAATTACGAATTGTGCCGTATGAATGGGTACTGAGAACATAGCATTAGTCGAACAATCGAATATGAAAAGTCGAGTACTCGGTTTTAACCCAAGTCCATAGTCGAGTTCGGCAAACGATTGTAGCAACTAGTTCCGCGCTCTTTAGTGAAGATGTTCAATTTTCTCATGTCTCATTCGTAAACAACAGAATACCCCGAGTCTTTGCTTTCGTTTATTTTTATCGGGTATTCCTTTGTGGCCTTCATATTCTTCATATTCGTTTCGTTGGGAAGTTTTTCACTACTTTTGTTTCCAACGCTTCGCTCTTCATTGTTGGAAATACGAAACGAAAAGATACGGTAACAACGAAACGAGAAGTCGACTTAACTATCCCTAATGGCTATTATAAAGTGGACTATTTTTATTTTCATTATTTGTATAATCCATATAAAACTTGTAAAAGGTATATAAACTAAACAATTTATGGTGTGAAACATTTAGTAGTGACAATTAAATAAATTAATATGATCTAAACATCAAAAAAATAAAAATAAACGTAAAATTCCATGTTCTTTATGTTTTATTCTCCTCAATGTGTGTATGTGTGCCTGTGTTGTCGCGTTATGTGTGTATATTGTTTGGTGTTCTAACAGAGGGCGAAGCCGATGTGAAATTCTCGGCGGCGGCGGCTAAGCATAAAAAAGTCGGCGGCGGCTAAAAGTCGACTGCAGCCGAAAGAAAATCGGCGGCGGCGGCTAAAGCAATATACGGCCGGCGGCGGCTAAAAGTCGGCTACAGACGACGACTTTAACGTGAACAAATAATTTCGGTTGTTTTAATAACTGTCAATTCATTTAATTTAAAATAAAAATGAAAATATAAGTTTATATGCACATTTGTTGCTCATTAAAAATTAATAAAAATACTTTAATTTGATAAAAATGGTTCGACGACTGCCTTGTTATCGTGAACAAACAATTGTTTCTTTACTGTTGCCGGATGCAGGCTGCTTCTTTTTGCATTTACACAATTCCCGGCATATGAAAATGCTTGCTCTGAAGATGCTGATGTGGCTGGAATTCCAAAGCACATATTTGCTACAGTAGCAACATTTGGAAAGATCTATAAAAAGTAAATGGTCAAAACGTAACCTGCTTAAAACAAGTTTAAGATGTGAATCTTTAACGTACTTGTTTGTTCTGTCGCCACCAATCTAGAGGCTCAACCGCCTCGACTTTCATTTCCAAATATTTTCTTATTTCTAACTCTACGTTATTTTGTACATTAGAAGGCGATGGTCCCATAAATTCCAACATTCTTTGACGACTAGCTGATATTTTCTGCAAGTAAAATATACGTCAGTTAAGTTTACCTTTACATTTATTAAAACATAATACCTGTTTTTTTGCATTTGGTTCAGTGCTCGTTGATGGCTCATTTAATAATGTGTCATCGATTTCCTTTAATTTTTCAATTTCTTCCATAATCAAGTTCTCCTTGGAAATTGGGGACAGAACATCATGCACAAGTTCCAAGGAGTTTGGCGATTGTTTGGGTATCTGTAGTATATATTTATCTAAAACAGGCCAGTTTTTTTGGCATGGGTCCATAAGCGCAGCTACAACATACATTCTATATACTTTGAATCGCTTCGTGAAGTTTTGCACAGCGAAATTGCATAAATTGATTGTTAATTCAAAAGACGCTTTTTCTTCTTCTTTCTTCAATGAGGACATAATGGATTCCTGAAAATAAATACACGAAGATATCGTCGGATAATCTTGGCCTTGAAGGTGTTTTGTGGCGTCCTCAAAAAATTTTAAAAACGTGCCAAATTCCGTTATAATTTGCTTTTCCATTGTCCCAATCACTAACAGTTCCTTTTTAGCTTTAACTAATGCTACATTTATAGTGGATATATTATTCGTATAGCTTTGAATCATTGCAAGCAGAGAGTTCCAACGTGTTGCAACGGAATTTTTCAAAGAGGTGTGGTGCTTGACGTTTAAAGTTGCTTCATATTGTTCAGTAAAATAGTCATCTCCATGTGGAAATTGTTCGCAACTATCCAAACTCTCCAAAATTATTTCAACCTCTGTAAATATTTTTTCTAAATCGTTTTGTTCCTCCATATTTTGAATATTTGATATTTCTTCATAGCTATACATTAAGCTGCCATAATTTTTTTTTAATTTTGATATTATGTTATTAATATTTTCAAATGACTTGTTGTTTAGTATATCTTCCATCAAAAATCTGTGTAAAACATGAGCCATACAACCATATCTTGGTATATTTTTAATTTTTAAAGCTGAAACGATGTTGCTTCCACCATCAGTAACAGCACATATGTTTTTTTCCAACAGATTAAATTCACATAAAGCTTCTTCAATTTTTTCTACAACTGCTAGTCCAGTGTGAGGTCGTGGAAAGATCTCTGTCTTGAGCGTTACAATTTGCATTTGAAAATTTTGGCAGAAATGCACTTTTATGTTTATGTAAGACAAGTGCTTATGTTTATCTGACCACATATCCAATACAAGTGTAACATTTTTGGGCGACTCTTTAAGGCTTGTTTTTACGTGGTCCAAATATATGTTATAAACATCGTTTAAAGCCGTCGTAGCTATTGTCCTATCTGTGGGGAATATAGCCTTTGGGTTTAAGAAAGATACCAATTTCTTAAATCCTGGCCTTTCAACAATTTTAAACGGTTGCAAATCCCAACAGCACATTTCGGCGACCCGGCGAGCATTTTGTTGTTTGTTGTTACAACTTGTTGAGGATTTCAATGCATTTTGTGTCATTGTTGAACTTTTCAGGTTATTTAAAGATTTCACGTCCAAGTTATGTACAGCTCGTAGATGGTTCATATAATTTGTGGTTGATGTTGATTTTCCAAAACTAAAATCATAAACATTTACACACATGCGAATGGAAAAAATTAGAAATTCTTACCTTTTTAAATTGGTCTTTTCATCCAAACACAATTTGCAAAATTTATATTTTTGAAGAATATGCCTCTTTTTAAAATAGAGATCACCAAAATATTTCCAACACATTGATATACCACCTTCATTTACAACAACCTTTGCCAAATTTTTAAATTCATTTTTCTTTTTAAAAGGATCTTCATATCGAGATACATCTGCATATGGAGAAATATTGATTTCAGTATCAACAGATTCGTCAGAATCGGATTCTGATTTAGTCAAAACTGTTTGACCCTTTCGGTTAGCGGAAAAATAATTTTTAATATTCCTTTGGCACATTTTGCATTCTTTTCTTTGAACAAGCAAAAACACAACGAATCTTTGGCAAAAAATATGGTTGCCACTCCATAAAAAATTCGTAAGTTACAAAAGGTTGCCAAAGGTTTTGTGATAAAAAAAACAAATCTACAAAGTCATAATACCCTTACCACTATGTGGTGTAGGGTATAATTAATATAAATAGCCTACACGTTTTAGCCTCTCGAAGACGAGCGCACAATGTAAATTATCGTCCAATAATGAGCATTATAATATGTTAATTTATCGATAAGATTAAAAGACATATTTATACAAATTTGCTGTATAAATTTATATTTTTCAACGGCTTAGCCGACTCAGTCGGCTAAAAATTTGAGCCGATGAGAGCCGCATACATCAGCGGCGGCTCAGATCACTTAAAAAAAGTCGGCGGCGGCTGCACGCCGACTGCGAGCCGATCGGCTTCGTGCTCTGTGTTCTAATGAGCGGACCGTGTAAAAATGCAATCACAGCCTTAGAATTTGGAACTTAGACTTGTAAATTAATGCAAAACAATTATTACAGATTACCTTTGAGCTTTTGTGTTGATTCCGTTGTTAAAAACAAATTTTCTGATTTGATTCCTTAAAGGTGAAATAAATGGCCAACTACTAGACGAGCATCAAGAAAATATGGATAGAGAAACAGAAGTACAACATACAAACAGCAAGGAATTTCCAATTGTGCCCGCACAAAATTCCATACAGCCGCCACATCCAAGGTAAGGATATATGATTTGTTGGGTAGATATATTCTTATGATGCCAGGATCTGAATAAAAAGCTAATATAATATTGCTAATGTTAATCCTCTAATATTTTGCATTTTTCTTATTACTATATTTCCCCTTTTTCCGAATTACATATGAACCTATAATTGCTACCTACGCTTAAAACTAAACTAAACTTATATAGGAGACATTCAAAAGCCAAAAGACGCATGAAAAGAAGGTAACCCACATTCAATCAGTTTGACCATATGCATTGTTTTTTTCATATTGGTCACCAAGATTTGTTTATGATTTTGAAAAGTGGTGTTTTTTTTTGTGTTGTTGTGGTGTGCTTTTGATTCTTATGAGTTGATTTTTATTTAATTTTGTTATCCTCTTCGAGATTTGTGGGCATTTATTTTTTAACTTTTTTTGTATCAATTCATTACAGATTTAAATGTCTATCATGCGATGCACCCTGCCACAATGCAACCCAACATTCCCACATGTGCCTGAATGCAATGCAGGTTTGTTAAATGATATTCTTACACGCTTCGATTGCTTTATCTTATCTTATCTAACGTTTTGATTTACAGTGCTACAAGTCGCGTATACGTGATTCATTTGGCGAAGAGAGGGTTAATCGTGGCTGCATTATGTCGCCCGAACAAATACCCCTCTATTGTAATCACAATTTGGGTAATAATTTTGGGGGGCCGCGCAAACGTAACACCCAGACCTTTATCAATCTGGAATGTTGTACGGGAGACTATTGTAATGATGGCGACTTTCCAGAACTGCCACCTCCAGCCGATGGTAAGAGAATGGATCTAATGCTTACCGTGCATACTCTAATAATAATATATCATTTTGTTTCAGAAGTAACCCATTTAAACGCCGATAGCAGCAACATATTGAAAATGTCAATTGCAATATTCGGACCCTTTGTGATTATATCAATTTTGGCCTATGTTGCAATTTATTTCATAAGACGTAATCATCGTAAACGTTTGGAGTATTCACGTACAAAACAAGATCCCGATTCATATTTGGTTAATGATGAACTACTACGTGTCACAAGTGCTGGCGATAGTACCTTAAGGGTAAACCAAACCGGAGCCTATATAAAATGTTATTTTTTAAATTAAATTTGTATGTGTTTTAGGAATATCTGCAACATTCGGTGACATCTGGTTCCGGATCCGGCATGCCGTTGCTTATACAAAGAACTTTGGCTAAACAGGTTACCTTGGTGGAATGTATCGGCCGTGGCAAATACGGAGAGGTATGGCGTGGTCATTGGCATGGTGAAAATATTGCTGTCAAGATTTTCTTCAGTCGTGACGAAGAATCCTGGAAACGTGAAACTGAAATTTATAGGTATGATAACAAAGGGGCAGTAGTTATTCATTTTATTGAAATTACTCTTATTTCAGCACTGTTCTTTTGCGTCATGAAAACATATTGGGTTTCATTGGCTCCGACATGACATCGCGTAATTCTTGTACACAATTGTGGCTATTGACCCATTATTATCCCCATGGATCGCTGTTCGATCATTTGAACCGTAATGCCTTAAGTCATCGTGATATGATTTTAATATGCCTTTCCATTGCTAATGGTCTGGTACATTTGCATACAGAAATTTTTGGTACAGAGGTAAGTGAACTCTTCTCTTCGCGTACATTGATAAGAAATGTCATTAATGTTTTGCTTTTTGTTTTACAGGGTAAACCTGCCATGGCTCATCGTGATTTAAAATCAAAAAATATTTTGGTCAAACCAAATGGTACATGTGTTATTGCTGATTTTGGCTTAGCTGTTATGCACTCAAATGTTACGGGCAAATTGGATTTTGGTAATAATCCGAAAGTTGGTACAAAACGTTATATGGCTCCAGAGGTCTTGGATGAAAGGTAGGTCGAAATACAGATGATAAAGCGTCTATTGCACAAAGTCACACACAGTCTTTTCGGAGACACAGTAAAGTTTTCGGACAAATTTCTGCACCATGTAGATCATTAAGCTCGTCTCGGAGGAGAACTAAAAAGACAACTTATTGTCGTATTTTTTAATTGTCATCCGTTTTTTCTTTTTCCAGCATTGATATGTACAATTTTGAGGCTTTAAGACGCACCGATATCTATGCGCTAGGCTTAGTTATATGGGAGGTATGTCGACGTACAATATCATGTGGAATTGCTGAAGAATATAAAGTACCCTACTACGATGTAGTACCATCAGATCCGAGTTTTGAAGATATGCGTAAAGTTGTTTGTGTGGACAATTATCGACCATCCATACCAAATCGATGGAGCTCTGATCCGGTAAATAAATAATTGCAAATTTGTAAAAGAAATTATAAATGTTAATGCATATATGTTTATACCATTTTAGCTTATGGCAGGTATGTCCAAATTAATGAAAGAATGCTGGCATCAAAATCCAAATGTACGTCTACCTGCTTTGCGTATTAAAAAGACTATTAGCAAACTGGCTTCCGCAGATGAAAAATTGCGTCTGGATTATGATGAAGTTTGCGTTTAGGTGCATATATTAAAACAAGAGTTATACATTAGTTGTATCTAAATCTATATAGTGTTGACAGTTTGTAAAGAATTTGTCGTTTAAGACATAGAAATTAAAAAAAAGAAAATTTCAAACTGATCTAAACAAATTGCAATTTTATCATAAGGTACTGCATATATTTCAAGTGTAATAATTCAATATTTTATACTGTTATATAGTTTACACTCAATAGCATTACAAGTATAAGTAAGAAGAACAAGTTATTAAAACTAAACCGACGCAAATGTATAATCAGGTTATTATACTAATTATGGGACTTGATTAACAAAGTCCTTTGAATAGATTGGTACCTATCTAAAAGCAGGAACCCACATCTCTTGAAAATACATAAATTTTTATTTGTTTCATCTAAATATTTTGCCTTACACCGAGAACTAAACAAAAACCAATCCAGCCTTCTATGTATTTGAAATAAGATAAAATACTATTTTGAAATAGTGCCTTTACTTTAAAGCTTAAACACTATATGCCTTACAACAAACAATGATGTATAATAACAACCTAACACTAAGCTATGTAGCCTAACTAATTTTATACCATAGTCATTATTATTTTCGCAGCTTTATTCATGCTTCCATTTATATTTACATTTGTTATCTTACCCCTCACACTGTCTGTCTTCATGTGCCATTTTCAAAATCCAATTTTTCATTGATTTGTGATCAATAACACAGCATTTTCATTTTGCATACTATTTTCTTCATTGTATTTTCAATTCAATAAATAGACATATATATTTAGTTTTATACAATAATATGTATTGTATTGACTAGCAACATATTGAATTAATTAATGATATCATCCAAAAAAACAAAAACATATTTGATACATTTTATATAGAGAAAGAATCGTATTGACATTACTAATAACAATGTATTCATAAATTCTGTACAAAGAAATATACAACTTAATTTTTTTAACTGAAATAAAATACAAATAAATGTTAATAGTAATAGAATAACAACAAGAAAACAAATTAGTGTGTACTTCGATTTAGTGTTAATATAAAAAGTAAATAATATATATACACATTTTTTTTAAGATAAGTAATACCACTTGATAAGAAATTATTATTAATAATAAAATACAGTAGTTGTAATCAGTTAATAAGATAATGTGCCAAAATGTGTTTCATTTGTTTTTTTTTTTTTTAATCGAATTTGAAATATTTTATAATTTAGATTTGGGTAATACAGAGTGGGATAAAAAAAACTGCAACAAAGTCAAACAACATGATTTTTACATTTTTTTTAATTTTTATTGAATTTGATGTTATTTCCGACATATAGCATCAAATTTTAGAACAAGTTTAGATTTGTTCGAATTGGTCCTTTGGCACGAATTATGGCCTTCATACGGAAAATGAAACCGTCACACGCTGCCCGAATGTTGCTCTGCGGTATTTTGGATCATTTCCGGCGAAGCGCTAGCTTGAGGTGATCGACACTTTGGTATTTTTTAGTGCCAACCTTGCTTTCCGAAATACTCCAGACACAATAGTCCAACATATTGGTATCCGGAGATTTTGGTGGCCATTGTGCGCTGGAAATGAAGCTAGGAGCCTCATTTTGTAACCATTATAGCCGAAGAATAGTACATGAGGTGTAAAGAGGACTGCTGAGCGTTGGCCTGGGCGGACCCACTTCCGATGCCCCGAAACAGGACATATGAAAAGGTAAGGTAAAGCTAACAGCTGGCTATATATATATATATGTTTTTTTTTTCAATGAGCCTGAATTTGGCCAATTTTTGCTGGTTTTTTACTGTTACTGCGATAATCGATTTTTCTTTTATCAAAAAGCATCATATTGTAAAGTAAACGTAAACCAAAAAAATTGAAGTAAAAAAACATTAAGTTCGGACGGGCCGAAATACCCTTTTAATACCCTCCACTTTAGGTTAAAGGAAATATTAGAACCTATTATGACCCACAAATACTAATTTTTAGACATATCCGTGAATAAATGTGGCAAAAATTCATCCAAATACCGAATATCGGGTGGTACTGTTATATAGGGGCTATACCAAAGCGTGGGCCGACATATCATCCTAGACACAATACAAATTATTCTGCTAAATTTTGACGCTCTACGTCAAATAATGTGGGCTGTATCGTGATTTCAACAGACAGACAGTCGGACATCGTTAAATCGACTTAGAATTTTATGCTGATTAAGAATATATATACTTTATGGGGTTTACGACGAATATTTCGGGATGTTACAAATGGAATGACAAAGTTAATATACCCTTCTTTCCAAGGTGGAGGGTAGAAAAATTGGCAATATGAGAGTTTTTTAATCACAATGGCATTTTTTATTCCACTCACATTATTTGAGAGTACCTATTGGGTAACGAACAACATCCAGCAAGAATTTGTACAAATTATCGAGTTAACGAATATTCCTATTCTGTGTGTGTTATTTTTTTCGCACAGTTGGGCGCCGAAACATGTAGTTTAGTAAATTTTTGTTTTTTTTTCTGTTATCGCAGTACAATTTACAGATTCTTGCTGGTTCTGGAACAGAACATATGTATTTCATGTAATGTAGAAAACATCCAATGTCAGAACCGTATAAAAGATAGAAAAAACTTGGCATCATTTTTGACGTGTATAAATTTGAGGAGTAGATGGCGCTCAGGATATCGATATTTTCAAAGATTCGACAACAGATGACGGGACATAACATTATGTCAATTGTTGAGTGAAATTACTTGTTATACCCTAGTGGTCCCAAGGACGAACCCTATTGAAATTGGTGATCAGATTTAGATATAGCTCTCATATATCTTCAACCGATTACCGGTTAGTTATGCACCAAATGGCCAATATGAGTACAAATGTCCTGAATTTTGGCACATCCAACAGAATACAGTCTAGAAGCAAGTACATCGAAATCAGAGAAAATCGGTTCAGATACAGCTATAGCTCCCTTAAATAGGTTACATCCGTTGTGGGGGTTTAAGCCCATCGCATTCGTAATATGCATTCGACAACAATGATATATGGTACCTTATATCAGATACAGCCCAGAATTACCTCTGCCAAATTTTATCAAGATCGTTTCAGATTCGGATGTAGCTCTCATATATATCTACAACTGATTTCGGGTTAATTATGCACCAAATGGCGAAAATCAGTCCAAAAATCCAGAATTTTGGTAAATCTGACAACATTCTGTATTAAGCAATTACATAAAATTTGAAGAAGATTCGGATTCGGAGTGAAAAAAATGCTATAGCTCCCATATATATTTTACATCCTATGTGGTGTTTAAGTCCCTCACATTCGTAATATGCATTCGACAATGATATTTGGTACCTGATATCAGATGCAGCCCAGAATTACCTTCGGCAAATGTTGTCAAGATCGGTTCAGGTTTGGATATAGCTCCCATATATCTTCAACCGATTTCGAATTAATAGTGCACCAAATAGCCAATATCTGTCTAAAAGTCCTGGATTTTTGCCATCCGACCGAATTCAGTCCAGAAGCAAGTACATAAAATTTGAAAATCGGTTCAGGTATAGTTCCCATATATATGTTACATCCGACTTCATGTTTGAGTCCCTCACATTCGTAATATGCATTCGACAACAATGATATTTGGTACCAGATATTTTATGGTATGTATCGGCTAAGTGAGTAAGAAGTGATATCATGCACTCTATAGCAATGTTATTTGGTATAAAAGATTAAAATGTCTGTAGTGAAAATCGATTCTGAATTGGATATGCCTCCATATATTAGTTCCCTCTGAAACCAAACTATAACTGCTCTAGAACCAAATGTTTATAGGTAAAATTATTTTATTACTAAATATGCATAGCGGTGTAGGGTATCATATAGTCGGTCCTGTCCAACTTTTGACTTTTCCTTACTGGTTTACACTCTGATTTATTGGGAGGCGAGTTCGGTGAACAATTTATTTCACATTCGGGACTGGTCGATTGGGAGCCTAGATCGTGCTATATAAAGCTCTTAGACTATTGTTTGTAGAGCTATATTATAGCTCATATCTACATGGTAAGATGAAAAAACTCCAACCAACTTCAGGCTGCTGTCATTTCCAAGCCACTCGTCCGACAGCTGTTAAAATTATTCCAGTTACAGCTCATTATATTGTTTACAAGCGCACAAAAGCATTTTGGTGAGAATTTTTCCAGAAAAAAGTTATTGTGATGGAATTCAAGCGTGATAGTCTGATTTCTTTATATTACTCCAGCATTTGAATGTGAATAAATCTTATGTATCTCGTACCATCGCTCGTTACCGTGATAATGGTAGGAGGTGGACGGAAAAAAACAGCAAAATCAGCAGTAATGGTTCGGAAACAAAAGAAGCGACTTGATCGAAACCCGCGTCGCAGTGGCCGAAAATGGCTCGTGAGCTGAACATATCGCAATGTTCCATTCGGCAAATATTGAAACATGAGCTCGGGGTAAAGCCATTGAAATTTGCAAAAAGTGCAAGAACTTACACCGCAACAGAAAGAAAATAGACTCAAATAAGCTAAAGAGTTGCTTCGCTTGGCCGAAAGTGGTGAACTGCCGAATTTCGTTTTCTCCGATGAGAAAACATTCGTTGTCCAGCAGTTTGTAAACAAACAAAATTATCGTGTTTACTCGCCAAAAAGTTCAGCTGAACATGTGCACCTTCGGTTGACCACCAGAGCTCAAGCGCCGGCCATGGTGATGGTGTGGGCCGCCATAACAGCCGATCGTATTAATCGACCGTGGCTTCAAAATAATTGCTGAATATGATCGAGCTTTTTGTTACAGCTTTTTTATTTCACCCTGTAGATCTGATATGAGGGACGGATCACTCTTTCTGGCACTCTTTCCACAACAGGTCAGAATTTTGAATTACTATAACTCTCATAATATGAGAATTAAGTCAACGATTTTCTTAAGGTCAAGTCATTCCACATCCCTCGGAAAGAATAAATGTTTGTGTTTTGGGATGAATAAAAAAACCTTATAATATTAGGAACTCGATATTGTGAGAGACCCGTAGCGTTCCCTTAATTTTTCGCTTTTTTCTCTTACATTAAAGTCTAGTGTTTTTAAATTTAATCAACGTGCTTTAATTTCTAATTAATATTTTACAATAGTATAAACTCCTGGAATGAAAGCCAATATATGGTCTTGTTTCAGTGCGTTCGTTGTTCCTAAGAAAAATATAGTTCTAAATCTTTAGGATACTTACCTTAGTTTCCTCTCAATATATGTTCCAATATGGAGATTACGTCCATATAACCTTTAGAAAAAAAATGCTCATCAATTGTAAATTTTTATATATTTTTATTAAAAAAAAAACATATGTTTCCATTTCTGTTGGAGATGTTTTTCTTCTTCTTGTTCGAGCAGACATACACATAAAATACTCGTGTCTTGAAAGTCTTTAGCCAGCCAGCTTCTTATGATTTGTTTTTTTTTAGTTCTTTTTTTAGTATTTATCTTAGATTACTTTTTTGCAATTTAAAGAAAATTAAATAAAATTTAACAACAAAATATTAAATATTTTTTTCCATTCATTTATGGTCTATGTATGTATCAATTTTTTAGGTTTGTTTGTTTTCTTTTTGTTTAGAAATGATTTAAATCAATTAATGTAAGGGGTGGGTCTAGGGAATGAGGGGAAGAGGTTGGGGGGTGGTTTTAGTGGTAATAGGTTTCGAGGGGAAAAAGGTAAAGAGTGAGATGAAGGTAGGTATGTTCTGAAATATAAGTAACTAAGTTTTTGTTTTGAGGTCAATCAGCAAAAAAAAAGTATTTTGTGTACAGATGGTTTTCGTAATATTTATTTGCAATCTTTGGATAGAAAAATTCCTTAGAGGTTTGAATAAACAATTGAAGTAAAATAATGGATTTTATGAAAGCCGTATGTATTTTTCTTTCGTTCGTTCTTTCTTTCTTGTTCTTGTCTTATTTTCAGAACATACAATTTTTCGATCGTTTTGAATTTTTGTTTTGTTTTGCTTTGCTTTTCTTTTAATAATTAACATTTTGTATTGTTTCTTTCTAGATTTCGTAGTTTACATTCACTTTTTGCTGTTATTGTTTAGAGAAAGTTATTCAAAAATTGTTCTTGTTGTTGTTGTTGTTGCTTCCTGTTATGTTTTTGAGGGGGACAATGATGGCGACGAAAATGTCGCCCAAAAATATATATATATTTGCGTTTACTTAAGCCACATAATTATATTGATTTTGATTATCCTTATCACGTTCCATGTAGTCGCGATCGATAAGTGATTCAATTCGCTTTTTAAGATCAGCAGGCTGTAAAGGGAAAAGTAATTTAAATTAAGATTAAAAGAATATTATAGATCATTTTAGAGTAGTCATGTATAGAAGTTTTTTGGAACCGTCCATGGCCCTATGGGCTAGGTAACTGTATTAATTGAAAATAACTAAAAAAAAATAAAATAAAATCATATGAGGCATTTCCATAAAAATCTTCTGTCTTCTAAACATAACTTCCTCCAAAATTAGTTTTCTCCTAGGAATTAATAATGAAATGCCCTACGCATGTCGTCAATGGAGATTTTTATAAAACTTGTTTCAATTGGAACAGAAGCAACAACTCGCCTACAGGGTGTGATAAAAAAAACTGCAACAATGTCGAACGTCATAATTTTTACATTTTTTTAATTTTATTGAATAAAAGCAAAAAAAGTCGGAAATAGCATCAAATTTTAGAATAAGTTTAGATTTGTTCGAATTGGTCACCTTTGGCACGAATTATGGCCTTAAAACGGCCAATGAAACCGTCACACGCTGCCCGAATGTTGCTCTGCGGTATTTTGGCCCATTCTCGGCCAAGCGCTTGCTTGAGGTGATCGACACTTTGGTATTTTTTTGCTTTCATTCAATAAAATTTTAAAAAAACGAAAATTATGGCGTTTGACTTCGTTGCAGTTTTTTTATCTAACCCTGGATATATAACCTAAATCTACATCTAATCCAATGACACTTCCATCTCCAATAAGCAGACCAAGGCAATTGCAAAAATATATGACCTACCTTAACAGGAAACGTTAACTGATTAAACAGTTCCGTAATAAGCAGATTATGTGACAAAGTTTTACGCATTTTCATAATTCGAACTATAGCTGCATCAATTTGATACTGGCGATCTTGGAATACTCTTTCCTCGGTAGCTTTTTGCTCTTCCGTCTGTAAATGGAGATGAGATTAATGATCGTACGATTGTGAATGCATTTGAATGTTAACTAACCGTCTCTTTCATTTGAATTTGATTGATTTTGATGCGGAATAATTTGTTGACAAATTCATTATTATAATGGAACTGATCCTTATCTTCGACTTCACGGCCTTTTGGTTCCTTTGTTATGACACGAGCACGACCACAGGCCAACGATTGTAATATGCGCCGTAATTCACCACTCTAGATATGGGGGAATATATAACACATAAATTTAAGTTGCAACACAAAATATATGTAGGTCAGGAAAGGAAACACACAGAAAAGCGAGACTTCTTTTCTCTTTTCAACACACTTTATGAAATAACTATGAAAGTTTTATTCACATAAAGAAGTCCCAGAAGTCCTAAAATCTCCTTCTATATAACCTCAAATCTAATGGTACTCCCTTACCTCAATATTTGTGGCTGCCAAAATTTCTTCATACGAAAGAGTGTCCCTATCGTTGAACAATAACAAAACCAGTGCTTGAAACAAAGATACCATCAGCTCTTTGGGCCCCTGATTAAAAAAAAGAGAGCGAATATTAAGAAAGCATTTGGTTGGTTAATTGGTTGCACAACTTACTGCATCGAATCTTGCTTTGAGTACACAATGGCCTAATGTGGGTTGCCATTGTAGTTTTCGTCCACTGTGTTTGGCCAGATAGAATTTATTGAATACCTGTTGCGGATTCACCAACTGAGGTGGCATATTCACCTCGGTCAGGGGATATGTGGGCCAATAGCCCATTGTTAAAATATTAACGGTTAAATCAATGTTGGTAAATTCGCCCTCCATATTGGCCACATATTGTTTGAAGGCAATATTTATATCACGACTTAATTCCATATCCTTGAACATGCCTTCCAGCTTCGATGTAAAACCACCACCACATTCTTGTTTGAGTTTGGACAGCATACTTTTCTCCGCATCCACCGAGGCTGATTTGCTCATTAGCAAACGTTTCGATAGATCCTTCATAAAGTTAACAAGAATATGAATAAAAAAAATGTCAATTATCTAAAAGGAAAGTTGTTACCTTCTTGTAGAATGCCTCAAAGACATCCTTGCCATGTATAAAACGGAACAAGACCATTATTTTGTCTAAAATTTGTTCCAATTCTTCTTCGGTGGCTTCCTTGTTGCCGGCACGTAACTTCATGTCAACATATTTGGCTAATTAGAAATGATAAGATATAAGAAAGGAATGCATTTATATAGCATCGCAAGCATACCAATCAATTCAGCAGGTTTGTTGGCTCGTTGATTGATAAAGAATTCAAACGCCTCACGCAATGAATTTGTAAATTTCTCATTACGTTCGAAACATGTGCGCACAATCACATCCATTTTATCTTTGAAATCCAATAAGTCCTGCACCATATTCTTATCCTTTTCCGGATCAATGACAATGGTGCGACCTTTTTTCTTGATATAACCATTAAAATTGCCACATAATTCGGCTGTGCCATTTTTGACGCGACTTAATAAACTATATAATAGTGTTAAATCATTCAGTCTGTGTTCCTCCATGAGGGTGTCTAAACCTTTTTGCAAGATTTGCGTTAAATGTTCGGCAAGTAGTTCCTTTTCAACGGTATATATTAGAGGGTGTCTAAAAGAAAAAATGGATTAAAAACAAATGTTCTTTGTAAGGACAATAACTTATGGGCTGATTCTATAAATTTGATTGGACTAATTTCAACACCCAATCAAATTTGGTTTTGTTCTAACTACTCTATTATGGGACTGTTTCACTTTGACGATAAAAAGTGTACTAAAAAAAACACTAATTCTAGGAGAAATTTTAAATTAAATAAAAATCAAAATATAAAAAAAATACAAGGAATGTGTGCTTTTCTTCGAGTTCAAATATGTACCGTCAAAGAGAAACAAGTCATAAGTTTATTTATTTTATTTTACAAAACCTACTTGGTCCCCGAATCCAAATAGTGTAGCAAACGTTCATTTTCTTCGGCCAAACGTTTATCGACATGTTGCAGATATTCGGGTACATCCAGTTCCTGCATTTTTCGTTGACCCTCGGCCTGATACAATTGTCTAGTGGCTATTAAGAATTTCTCCTCAAAGGCGCTTATATAGATTTGTAAATCGCATAGCATGCGTATAAGACTTTTTAATAAGCCACGATCTACAGCATCACCATTGCGTTCCTTTTCAATGAGCATTAGCAAACCTTCAACGGTACGTTTTTGTACCAGGCTATTGAGGGCTATGTGGGTGCGAAACAAGTCCAAACCCATGTCCCTAAAAGCATGCAAAACAAAGTCAATTTAGTCATTTGAAAATTGTAGAGTTAAAAACTGTGCTTCCATTACCATATAGACTGTACAGTTGGATTTTGTAAAACATATGTACGATCTAAATATAGAAATATGCTACGCATCATAATCATTTGTTGGCAATATGACAACCACCAATCATTGATTTTCTTTAAGAAAACCTGCAATGATCATAAAAAGAATGTTGAAATTAGAAAAAAAAATCACAAATATAATTGAAAACATATTTACCAATTTATCCATACTACCACCGGTAAACGTCTCTACATTACGTTTAACATGGGCCTCGGTCAAATCTTTTAATTTTGTATAGAGTTGAGCATCCATTTTATGACTACACATATTTTCTACCGCCTGGTAAAGTTCTTCCAGAGAATATTTAATAGGCCTTGACAACTGAATGGCCACAACAGCTTCTTCTAGTTTCTGACATGTTTTCTCCGAGTAGTTTTCGGGCAGTGTGGGTTTAACTGAAATAAGAAAGCAATTACTACAGTTTTTCAAAAAAAAAGAAAAAAAAATAAAAACTTTGTGAACTTAGTCCATCATGTGATTTCCTACAAACCTATTTGGAATATATGAACATCTTGTGATTATTTTTGCAACATAAAAAGTTAATCCCATATGAAAATCTCAATCAAATTGCCTCGACATCAACGCGATTCGTTTTTGGACCAGAAATTGAGAAAATCATATTTCAATCCCAATTGAATAACGAAATGTCCTTGACCATGTAAATACATGGACCGATGATCATAGAATTGTAAATCGAATTATTTAAGGAATTACAAAACAAAATAATTGACTGATTTTGTATATATAAGTCAATAACATCGGGTAAATCATAGAGCAATATTAAATATACCTTACATATTGTACACCCAATTAAATTACCACCTAAACTACTTCCGGCCAACCTTGGTGGCGAAATACACATAACCTTCGTATTCATACATACCTTTAAAATTTTTTATAACAATTTTTTTTACATCGCCCGGCTTTGTCGTATTATGGGCTCCCAATTTATTGAAATATGCTGAGGTAGTTGTTGACGAACGATGATCGTTTATATGGGCCGCATCCAACATGGAAAAATTGGCACGACGTTCCCCGTTGGTACCAATAGCTCCATTATTGGAGCTATTTACGTTTGAACTATTGCCGGAACGTTGCATATTTGTGCTCTGTCCCAAGGCAATACGGCCACTAACCGAAGGTGATGATGATGCTGCTGCCGCCGCTGCTGCCGAAGTCGATGGGCCAAATAAATCGGTTGCTTTACGAAAACAGTTATTTATATTCTCAGTATCCTGCTGATGTAAAATCTCTGTTGCTATTTCCGATTTATATTTTTTCGAGGCGCTCATAGCTTGCCGCTGTATGATACGCTTGGTACAGCGCAGTCAACGCTTTCGTAACGACGTATTTTTTTTCTCTGTCCGTAGCAAGAAAACCACACTAGCGTAAATAGTTTTTCGGGAAATGTATGGTTAAACACCAGCCAACGTCACCACGCTGGACGAACTAAATGTATCTCGTTCCAGAGATCAAGGATATCCTGAAAACACAAATGACATATAGTTTGTTGTATTTGCATCTTTGTCACAGTCTGCACTTACCTTTACAAAATCTGGTCGCAATCAATGTTTTGCTATAATGCCGCAATAGAAGAATTTCTTCAACGTTTGGTCACTTGGTCACTACCACAAAATCACCTAAATCGAATCGAGAGTGGTATTCTTGAAGGATGATCTTTCTTCTTTGTCTTTTCAACTCTTGTATCTTCTTATTCCGAGTTACATTTGCCCGATGTAAATCGAGGCACCACCGTGTATGTCTTTAAGTCGATAATTTCTTGTTTTTATTTTGAAATAGTGCAAAATTAAAAAACAATAATGGAATTTCTTTCTGGACGTTTGATAAATTTTCCGCTGCTTCTTCTTCATAAATTGAAATTCTCTGAGAATTGCAAAAATGTTTGTTGACATTCGTCTCGTTTGTAGTGTGTTTTCAGGTTGGGCATGTTCAGTGAAAAAAACAGGCATGACATATTACATTTGCAATGTGTGCGATAAATCGAGGATACAAAACATTGTCTTACATTTACACCGAGTAATTTGTTCAAATATATGATTATGTTCTTTGCATGGCAGAAGAATACAGGTAGATGCATCAATGCTTGGGAACATTGTATGTCAAAAAAATTTAAATGTTTTTTCAAATATAAGTAGAATTTTATATGTTTTGTTATACTACGTCATTCGGAGGCTATTATAATTCGCGTTTTTCAATAATTTTTACAAATTTAAATAAGTTTTCATTCAACATTTTCAATTCTAAAATTGGTTTGACAGTTCATTTTCCCAGCAGCTGTGTATACGCGTCTACCTATATTCTTCTACCATGGTTCTTTGGAAACATCCATGGTAGAAAAATACGTCAACGTCCAGCATCAACTTGAGAGCATTGATATGTCAAAAACATTAAAATTTGTTTTCAAAAATAAGTATATTTTTATGTTTTCTTTTACGACGCCAATGGGAGGTTGCTGTGATATGCATTTTTCAACAATTGTAACTAATTTGAATAGTTTTTATTACTAAATTGGTTTAATAGTTCATTGCAGCTGTGTCTGTGCCACTACCTGTATTCTTCTACAATTTAAGCGTCTAAAATTATTAAAAAATTGATTAAAAAATGTAGCCTCATTCGCCAATTGGTAGTAGCATCCTTTTCATATTTGGAAATTATCTACCATTTTCAAATAATTACATAACCAAATATATTTGAAACGGCAAATGCAAAAAAATCCAATTTAATTCAACTAATTAAAGTTCTTAGACTAAATTTCCAATCATAAATACAAGTCCAATTTAATAAAGTCGCAGAGGAGGCGAATTGAGACCTAATTTAATTTTTATTATGTCTTTTTATCAAAAAACAAAAAAAATTGACAGCAAAAGAATACCTTCTTTTGCAACTGGCCTCGTGACACCTTATAAAACCACCTTGCTTAAATGTACTAACATCGATTTCCATACCAGAAATAAACTTCCTCCCTGCAGAGAATCTCTTGTTGGACGAATTTCCATTCAATGGGTGTTCTGGTTATGGGATAGCCTCATATATCCAAAAATGTAAGGATTCCGATGCTATCATGGTACAATGAAATCAAATCAAGGCAGGACAAAACTACCATATGAATACAGGTAGTCGCATCGGCACAGCTGCTGGGACAATGAACTGTCAAACCAATTTTCGAATTATGAAAAAATTTTTAAATTTGTAAAAAATGTTTAAAAGACGTGAATTATAATAACCTCTGAATGACGTTGTATAAGAAAATATAAAAAATATGCTTATATTTGAAAAACATTTAAAATTATTGACATACCAATGTTCCCAAGCATTGATGCGTCTACCTGTATTTTCCTACCATGGTGTGTATTGTTTTCAATTTATGAAAATTGTCATGCTAGAACTAAGAAGGTAAAGTCATGTAATCATACGTTTACATACATTTGACAACATCTCATTGTCAAAATCTATATTCATAAAGCTATTGTATACACACAAAAACAGAGATGGGAACTGTATTTTATGCCTTAAAATTTGACAAGGTAAATTACAGAAAATGCAGAGATGGGAATGCTAATTTGAAATGAGGTTATCTTTATTTCCTTGTACCATGGAAATTGTTAAACAAATATTCAAATTCGGTTGATTTCAAAATGCATATTTCAATTTTTTTTAGCGAAATAAAATTGCACATATCTGTAGAACTTGATTTTAAAAAGAAAGTATGAATGAATGAATGAACTGAATGATAGTTTTCGCGTTTTTTTATTATTCATTCAAAATCAATGCAAAAAGTTGCATTTGTTTTGATAGCAATTCTGACATTACAACCAATACAGGTAGACCTCCTTACGTGCAACTTTTTCGAATAATATGAAATTTATTATATCACTTGCACATGTTTTCGTGTAGCCATAATTAACTAATATATTGAGTTTGAAAATATTTTTATATCACATCATGTATCAGCAAATTGCAACTTCCAACAATCAACATATGCAAACACAACACTTTAATTTTTTAATATTTATACAACACTTTAATTTTTTAATATTTATTTTAAAACTCCCTTCGTCGGGATATTGGTAGCGATCAGCAAATATAAAAAATCTGTCAGTTTCGTTTTGAGTAACATTGTTCTCTGTAATTGGGAGTAATATGAAGTTAGGCCATGGGGGAATATTACAGACTAGAGCAATCAGATGGTATAAAACTTTAAGTAAATATTAGTCAAGTCCGCTGACAAAAACAAAAATCATTTACGAAACAGATCTTACTATTTCTGTACAATTTATTTATTGGTTACCAAGAAAATGGTAGCTTAAAAACTTTAATTCATAAACAAATTTTTCGTCTGAGAGAAAGGTAACAAACGCTAAAACAGTAAAATTAAAGTAAATCTATTCCTTCTCCCACACATTTCGTTAGTTTCACTTAAAAATGTCTCCAAAGCCATTGTATTATAAACGCCAGCAGTCCCAATATTAATGCAATTAACATTTTACTGTGTGACTTCTGAGATTGGACGGAGGACTGCTGCTGCTGCTTGACTGGAAGGCTACACTTCTTCCACTCATCTTCGTCATCGATGATTTCACCCATCATGCTAAACTTTGTTGTACTCGTAATGCGCACATTAACACAACTGCCCAAGAGATTTTTGCGCATTGGTAACAGGATTTGCTCGTAGCTCTTGTTATGGCCCACGTAATGTAAGTTGTCATGCGATACCTCAGTAACAAGAACTTTATAAACTTGTCCCTCTCGGCCAGCGTAGGGGTAATAACTATTGAAGAGGTCAGTCAGACGCTTTGTGCGCTTTTTCACCTGATCAGCTGGGATTCTGGTCATCCTTGCTGCCGGAGTTCCGGGTCTGGGGAAAAATTGATTGATGAAAAGACTGGGGAATTCATACTTTTTGCACATTTTCATTGTGTCCTCAAAGTCCTCCTCTGTTTCGGTGGGAAACCCGCAAATAATATCCGTTGCTATAGTCAACCCCTCGACCCGTTCACGTAAAAAGTCCACCACGTGCTCGAAATCACTCCGACAATATTCACGTTTCATATCCCCTAAGACTGCATCACTGCCACTTTGTACAGGAACATGCAAGAAAGCATACACCCTCGGATGTTTTAGAATTTTTGACATTTCTTCCAAATGTTCCAAGATATAAGGAGGGTTTGTCATACCAACGCGAAGCATACAATTCTCCGGTATTACTTCGACAAGTTTCCACAGCAGCTCAGGTAAAGATGTTCCTATATCTCTTCCATATGCCCCTGTGTCCTCTGAAGTTAGCCATATTTCACAGCATCCTTCCTCAAAGGCCTGTTTTGCACGAGCCACAATCTCCTCCGGAGCATAACTTGCCAAATCACCTCTAGCATGTTTTGTCTTGCAATACGTGCACTGATTAAGACAACCAGTGTTGATGGCAATAATTTCAATCAATGGATTCTTTCGTATTTTTGGTAGCGCCAGTTTTGCCCCAGCAACTCTATGGCCATCTTCCTTCTTACTCTGTAGTAAACGCACAGTATGTCCCTTTAAAGTCTCTTCCACAACCTCTACCACTCGATCAATTTGTTGCACACCAATGACTGACAGTCCTTTCAAATACGAAGATTTCGGAGCACCTTGGGGAACACATCCAGCCACAACCACATGTTTCCCCGTAGACATTCCATGCTCGATTTCATTACGAAAGGTATCTTCTGAGGGATTTTTAACCGTGCAACTGTTGAGTAACCACAGATCAGCGTTATCCTTTTGTTCAGTCAACTGATAACCGTATGCGGATAACTGTCCCATCATATATTCTGTGTCGGAACTGTTGTGAGAGCAACCCCATGTTTTCACGTATATTTTTTGTGTCCCCGGAATTACGCTTTCATAAATCTTCTTTGCCTCAGGTTCTGTGGTGGCATTTGCAACGTTTCCATTCACAGCCTTCTTTGGTCTTACAGTAACATTTTTCTTATTTCGATATCTTTCTTTGGGTTTAATATCTTCGGAAGATATAAGATCTTCTATATCAGCTATATCGTTTTCTTCCATGAAAACCATTTGGAAGAATTTATTTAAATTAATTAAAATTAAACTAAAATTCTATCGAAATCAAACAAATTACTCGACTGTGGTGCACGTTGGATAGGGATCTGTAAATCGATTTATCTCTTGTTCACCCAGCAAAATTGTTGTTGTCAAAATACATTAGCATGGTTTCCTTACTTACAAGAATCTTCCATTCTTAGAATAGAATACAATGCATCGACACAGCTGCTGGAAATATCATGGTAGAAAAATACAGGTAGATGCATGGTACAATGAATTCAAGGTAGGGCAGAACTACCATATGATTTAAATTTTTTTATTTTTCTGGCTTAATATGTCAACTTCATTTGCTTATGTGTGTGTCTTCTTTTCAATAATAAACAAATGTTCAGAAAATATTCAAATTCGGGTGTTTTCAAAATGCTTATTGCAACGAATGCATCGACAAAATCTACAGTTTTTGTCGCGAAATAAACCATAAGAGATATATAGTACATGATATTGAAAAGAAATTTTGACCATTCATTCAGTTTTCGCGGTTTTAAATTATTTATTCAAAAGCAATGCAACAAGTTGTTTGCTTTTTTATTGTTTTGGTAGTAATTCTGGCATTACAAGCCAAACAGGTAGACCTCTATACTTGCAATTTTTTCAAAGTTGACCTACCTTCTCTTCATCAACGCTTGGGAACATTGATATGTCAAAATATTTTAAATGTTCTTTCAAATATAAGACGATTTTTATACGTTTTCTTATACGACGTCATTCGGGGGTTGTTATAATTCGCGTTTTTCAACAATTTTTACTAATTTAAATAATTTTTCATCCAACATTTTCAATTCTAAAATTGGTTTGACAGTTCATTGTCCCAGCAGCTGTGTCGATGCGTCTACCTATATTCTTCTACCATGGTGTACAAAATACTTTGTACATACTTTTGAGTGCGGTTGAGGCGCTGGGAAAATCTAGCAATAAACAATAAATATTCTAAAATTAAATATTTCCCAGCCGCCATAAAATATCACATGTGAAGTATTCAGTGATCTTGTGCGCTGACGCAAACGATAATGTGTGAGATAATAAAGGTTATGACCCACACGCACAGATATCGATGCGCTCAGTAGATGCACAAGACCACTTGAATGAGATGTCAAGCAGCCCTGCAATGTTCTCCATTCAGTATTAGAATAGATAAGAACAGTTGTGTGGCTGCGACTAGGTTAAGTTAGATTAGTTTCAGTAGTACGTAAGGAACATATTTTAGAAATAAAATTAGAATTGAATCAACAGCCTAACCGTTCGGTTGGTTTTCTCTTCTCAATCACATGGGATATATGAACTGTCAAACCAATTTTGAAATTGAAAAATTTTAATGAAAAGTAACGTATATAAATGGCTTTATATACGTAAAAATTCTTGAAAAATGCATATTATAACAACATCCGATCGGCGTCGTATAAGAAAACAGAGAAAGTTGTGAAAAAGCAGACCTAACTGAATGGGTTATGCTAATTAACATAAATACATATGCAACTCTTCTTTGAATAAACAACATCATGTTCTTTATATGTTAAAGTACGTTAAAAAATCAAAATTTTGTCAAAAATGTTTAAATGTTTTGCCAAAAATAAGCAGATTTGTATATTTTTTCTTATACAATGCTAGGTTGTTAGCATTGTCGATAATGAACTGTCAACCCAAAATTGGGTTGACAGTTCATTATCCCAGCAGTTGTGTCGATGCGACTACCCGGATTAACCCTGAAAAGAGACCAATAACAATAATAGCATGTTTCCATTGGAAACCGAACAACGTTGTTCGCTCTCAGAATTATGTACACGAATTAACCCGTTCATACGGCACGATTCGTAATTCATAGTAAAATAATTCGTTTTTTCAAAAATTTTGATTGTTGATTTTAATGGGAATTTATACGTAAATACATGAAATTCTCACTAATATGAATAGAAGAAATGATTGTTTTTCTCCCAAAGATTTATTATATCATTAATTTTATAATTTTCATTCACGTTTTCAACTTTTTGGGCAAATGTTGACATTTTGAACATATTTTTGTATTTTTCTATTTTTAAATTTTGCTGGAGAGACACTTGTCAAACATTTTTTCTGCCGATACAAAGTTTTTGAAAATATTGCCTCTTTTGTTTACAGTTTTCTGTGGAAATTTCAACTCGTGGATAAAATGCGTACCTCGAATGAGAGAGAAAACAAAATGTACTTTCGTTTGAATGTACATACGCCATTCAACATTGTAGTTTTCATTCATAATTTTCAGTCTTCCCAAAAATTTTTAAAATTTCATTAAATTTTTCTATTTTTAATTTTTAAATGTCATAATTTTTTTTTCGATAAATGCTCTCATTTGTTAGGGATGGGACTTATTTTTTCGTTGTTCTGAGAGTGATTTGATTTGAACATCGTACAAATATGAGTGTTCGCTCAGGAAAGCTGCCCATAAATACAATTTTCTTATTCTATCAAAACATATACACATTTTGTGTTTGTGTGTGTATTGTTTTGAATAGAAAATACAATAATTTGAAATTATTTCAAATTCGGTTGCAAATTAAATGCATATTTCGGGGTTAATGGGCAATACATTGTAAAATTTTGGGATAAAACTGTATTGTCATACTTAGATTCAATGTTGTGGAATAACCCCAAAATTCAATCCTTCTTTCAGGGGATTTCCCCAGTACAAGAATTTTACCAAAAAATGAATATTGAACAAAACCAACTGTTGCATTTTAAAATATTTATTTGACATTATAAGACTCCACACATAATTGATTTTTTCTAGTTTCTTTGAAGTTGAGCTACCTTTCCTTAATTGTGGCTAAAAGCATAAAAATATAGGATATGGGGGTACCGTTATGTGGGGGCTATAAGATGTGTATCAGCATTGGCAATTTACTGTCATATGAGGCAGCACTCATGACGAACTTGAAATACCAAAGTTGAATACATTCCGGAAAAAACTGGGTCTGAAATCATCAAAATACCAAATATCGTGGAGTACAGTTATGTGGGTCCTATACCAAAAATTGGACCTATATTGATATATATATTGACACAAAATGTCATTTAAAAAACAACGTTTAAACTTTTGACTGAATTACCCAAAACAATTTAATTCTGTTATAACAGTCATATGGGGCTATGCCAAAACGTGAACGATAATTTCGTTCGGATGCTGCAGTGATTTCCACAGATGGGTGGACAGACCGAAAAACAGACAGACAAACGGGCCGACTTGGCTAAATCAACATGGAATTTTAAGCTGATCGAAAATATACATACTTTGTTGGGTCTAAAATGGATATGGGATATGGAGGCGTTACAAACAGAACGACGAACTTAATGTACCCTCCATATTTGGTATAGGGTACAATAGATCAGTCAAAAACGTAACGTAACGTAACGTACCGCCATTTTCCATCATCTCAAAAGGTATATAAACATGGTAGAAGAATACAGATAGATGCTCTATCGGAACAACTCTAGTTTAGTAAAAACTCTTAGATTTTTTCGAAATTTTTTCCAGAGGTAGGTATTTTTACGCTGATCCCGTGAAACTATTTTTTTCTTGGGGGACGGACCCGGGACCCCAGATTTTTGACCCGAAAGTCCGGGATCAAGACCCCGCCTGGACCCGGATCCACTTAACCGATATAGACAATATGGGTATCGATTGAAAGCTTATGGAAATACCTATCCAACAAGTGGTCACATGAAGGGGTAAATTTGAATGGTTCGGAAGTTATAGTCAAATTATCGATTTTTTGGACCCGAATTTTTTATGAAACCCCCAAAAAGTCAAAAAAGGGCCCATTATGGGGGTCAACAAAATTGTTTCCAAATTATAGCTGATATTCTTACCTTTCCAAAATGCTACAATTTGTGCTAATACCTTTTTCGGTTCCAGAGATATGGGTCTTTCCATCCGCATAACCCGATTCTAACCAGTTCATTAAAATGATGTTTTTAATAAAAAAAAAGTGTTTGTTTCGCGTAGCAGTCGTCGGAATAACAAAAGTTTTCTAAATTTGGCACTTTTTGTAAGTAGCCGGCCTTCGGCCGGGGCTTGAGATTTTCTCCTCTGGGTATGTCCCACACGGGCTAACGCGAACCAAAGTTTTCTAAATTTGACACTTTTTGTAAATAGCCGGCTTTTGGCCGGGGCTTGAGATTTTCTCCTCTGGGTATGTCCCACACCGGCTAACGCGAACCAAAGTTTTCTAAATTGGATACCTTTTGTAAGTAGCCGGCCTTCGGCCGGGGCTTTTGATTTTCTCCTCTGGGTATGTCCCACACCGGCTAACGCGAACCAAAGTTTTCTAAATTGGATACCTTTTGTAAGTAGCCGGCCTTCGGCCGGGGCTTGAGATTTTCTCCTCTGGGTATGTCCTAAACCGGCTAACGCGAACCAAAGTTTTCTAAGTTTGACACTTTTTGTATATAGCCGGCCTTCGGCCGGGGCTTGAGATTTTCTCCTCTGGGTATGTCCCACACGGGCTAACGCGAACCAAAGTTTTCTAAATTTGACACTTTTTGTAAATAGGCGGCCTTCGGCCGGGGCTTGTGATTTACTCCTCTGGGTATGTCCCACACCGGCTAACGCGAACCAAAGTTTTCTAAATTGGATACCTTTTGTAAGTAGCCGGCCTTCGGCCGGGGCTTGAGATTTTCTCCTTTGGGTATGTCCTACACCGGCTAACGCGAACCAAAGATTTTTGAATTTCATTCTTACGCAAAATATACCTTTTTTTATTGTTATGCGGATGGAAAGACCCATATCTCTGGACTCAGTAAAGGTATTAGCACAAATTGAACCTTTTTGGAAAGGTAGAAGTGTCAGCTATAATTTGGCATCAATTTTGTTGTCCCCCATAATGGACCTTTTTTTGACTTTTTGGGGGTTTTATAAAAAATCCGGGTCCAAAAAATCGATAATTTGACTATAACTTCCGAACCGTAACATCTTACCCCATCATGTGACCACTTGTTGGATAGGTATTTCCATAAGCTTTCAATCGATACCCATATTGTCTATATCGGGTAAGTGGATCCGGGTCTAGTCGGGGTCTTGAACCCGGACTTTCGGGTCAAAAATCTGGGGTCCCAGGTCCGTCCCCCAAGAAAAAAATAGTTTCCCGGGATCATGGTTAAAATACCTACCACTGAAAAAATTTTCGAAAAAATTGAAGAGTTTTTACTAAACTAGAGTTAAGCCGCTCTATCAAATATAAGTAGATTTTTATATGTTTTCTTATACGGCGTCATTCGGGGGATATTAAAATTAGCGTTTTTCAACAATTTTTGCAAATTTAAAAAATTCTTCATTCAACATTTTCACTTCCAAAATTGGTTTGACAGTTCATTGTCCCAGCAGCTATATTCCTATATTCTTCTACCATGTATGTAAATAACTGCAATGCATTTCCGGATTTCGCAAATCGAGGTGCTTAAAAATCGCACATGTAAACATGCTTTACAGCTCTGACCGACAGACAACAGCTGTGCTTGCATTCCCCACACAAAATCTATAATATGTTAAAAAGAAGAAGCATTTTTGCTCGTTTTCTTTGGTCTCTCATTCGTAACAAAACCATTTCGCCTTTTATCTTGATCTTTATTAATTCTCTCTCCTCTCCACTACTTGCAAATTAAATTGTTTATTTGGTATTTAAACACAAACGAGATATGAGATACAGTGACTAATTTTTTTAAGCGGACACGACACATCGTTAAGTTTTATCACAAAACATCCCCCCCTGCTTGGGTGCAAAGACGGCCATTAGGCAAAAAAGTAAAGAAAATAGAGATAAGAAAGATGAGTTCGGATAAAGAAAAGAAAGGATGGTTTTCCTCATTGACAAGACGAAAAAAATCCCAGTCACAGAATTCGATTAATCTGAGTGCCACCACATTCTACAACGATGAAAGTGAATTGCTACGTACATCCACTGCCGCTTCCTGTTCCTCTGTTATACAAAGCAATAACAATAATACTATTGGCACCACAGCTGAGGAAAATAGCAATGCCTCCTCATCATGCAATGTGGCTAGTGGAAGTGGTCGAAAACGCAAGGAAGAGAAAAATGCATTTCAACGATTCCGTAAGAAAATGGGTTTGCGTTTCTCGCTGCGCGGACGAAAATCGTTACCGGACGGTGATGGAGCAACAACGGATGCCTCATCGGAATTTACGACCACCTCGCCAATACACGAGCCGTTGAAATTCAATTTTAAGCGTAATTTAACAACCGAAGATGCCGATGTCAGTACGCCATTTTCCAATGATTTCAAACGTTTTATCAAAAAGAAATGGTTGGAACGGGAAGACGGACCGAACTGGATTATGTATTGGGCCAGTTGTGAAATGTTAAAGTAAGTATCAAGTTGTTTTTTAAGTTGTATAATATCAGAATAACATTTCGTTTTGTGTTTCAATTATTTACAGTCAAGTTTGGTATTGGGGTGAAATCTCCCGTCGCGATGCCCAAAAACAACTCACCGATAAACCAACCGGATCGTTCCTAGTACGTGACTCGGAGACAAGTGGTTGTCAATTTACATTATCATTTCGCATTATGACAGTTACTCTCCACTACCGACTCGAGTATCGCAATGACTATTGGCATTTTGAGGAATTGCAATATGAATCGATTGTTGAAATGATCGAGGATATATTGCATCGCTGTACAAATGATAATTTTGTATGCTTTGTTAAGGTACCCAATGAGATGCAGCCACCATTTCCGGTTATATTGAAATATCCCTTAAGTCGTTATTTAAATATGCCAACATTACAAGATCTATGCCGTCGAGTAATACAGCGTACAACCAAATACGAAGACATAACCAAATTGTCTGTACCACCTAGTTTACAAGAATATTTAGCGGAAAAAAGAGAACTAGTATTTTAGAAAAACTAGAGACATGATGATTTTTTTAGAAGTCAACAAAATAATCTCTATTATTACAAGAAAAAAATATTAAAAGAAAAAAAAACAACCAAAGATTTTACTATTTTATGGACACAAACAAACAAACACTGATATTGCAAAAGTCAAACTTATTTAAAAAAAAAAAAAGATTATAGAAAAAAATACGTTTTATTCTATTCACTGAAATGTATTCAAAAAATAGAACAATAGATATAATTTTACTACATCACTATTTAGTATTATTTCAACAAACAAAATATGTATTTTACAATGAATGTAATTAATGAACAACAACTATTGTTTTATGTCACAAACACACAAAAAGAAAGAAACTAATACATTGTCTTCCTTATGAAACAAAAAAAGAACAACAGAACTCTCGCAACAACACTAAGTTTTGTTTTAATATTAACTTTATCCTAATTTTTTGATACTTTCCAAAAACAAAGTAATTTGCAGCTTTATATTATATGATGGCTACTAACATTTTTTCTGTTTTATTATCGCTGTAATAAAAACAAAAACATTATTATTCATAGTTACTCTGTTACTAAATTTAGATGAAAAAACAAAAACATGTTAAGATTCTCGTTTAAAATACCGATCAACTTAGAATACGCCGTCGACATATGTTTATGTCATTAATTACTATTGCATTTGGTAAATATACGTACATAAATCAGATTTTGCTTTGTTTTTCTATATTTTATTTATTCTAATCGCATGTTGTGTCATATGTCATAATCAGTCTTATTTTAAATATTCGAATAGAAATTTTCACGTGGTAAAAGAGCTTTCTTTTTCATTCAAAATGTAGAGGGGGAAGCAAAAAATAATACCTAATTTTGTATTCCCCACTTATCAGTTAGGAAGAGGTAAAAGAAACCCATTTTTAAAAGTTCTAAAATTTGTTAAAGAGGTTCTATTAGAGAACTATAGAGCAGCCAATTATGTAAATTTTTTTCAGCACACCTTACTCGTGCATTTATGAGAATATCGACAGAAAAAAAAATAGTATATTTTAGATTGAAACCATGCAGCTGATTTGCGATGGTGTAGATTAAAGTGGATGGATCTCGACCAATAAAATTCGTATAAGACTGCATCCTACATCGGAGCTACTTGGAACCTATCTATCCAATCTACCCCTCCAAAAGAATATTAAAATGCCCATCTTTTATTAATAAATTGCGGATCTTGAATCTCACGATGATGTTGCACCTCCTTAAATCTATAACGTTTGAATGACGTTTACATCTATGCTGTCATCGGACAGAAATGGACTGTCATGTCCTAGGCTTTTCTGCAGAAAGACGTATTTGTTGAATCTCATGAAAGTGCCGAAGCAGTTGGCCAATATTGACCAATTCGCATCTGTCCTAAGACTGATAAAAATATAACAAGTGTCAGATTTGGAGTATATAGACTATTTTACTTTATATGAAATATGTGCAAATTTTTGGAAAATGTGGAAACACATGGTGAGTTGAAAAAACCGCAACCAATTTTAGACTGTTTTCATTTCTAAGTTAAGAAGCGACTTGATCGGAATCCGCGTCGAGTGGGTCATGAGCTGAACATATCGCAATGTTACATTCGGAAAATATTAAAAAATGAGCTCGTGGTAAAGTCATTGAAATTCCAAAAAGTGCATGAACTTACACCGCAACAGAAAGAAAATAGGCTCAAAAGAGCTAAAGAGTTGCTTCGCTTGGCCGAACTGCCGTGAACTGCCGAATTTGGTTTTATCCGATGGGAAAACATTCGTTGTCCAGCAGTTAGTAAACAAACAAAATGATCGTGTTTACTTGCCAAAGAGGTCAGCTGAAAATGTGCCCCTTCGGTTGGCCGACAGAACTCAAGCGCCGGTCATGGTGATGGTGTGGGCCGCCATAGCAGCCGATGGTCGCTCTCCGCTTGTATTAATCGACGTGGCATCAGAATAAATGCCGAATATTATCGCGAAAATATACTGCAGGGTGTATTAAAGCCTTGGGCACGCAAACATTTTGGCCACAGACCTTGGACATCCAACAGGACTCAGCACGCGCCACCCAAGAATGGTTACAAAATGAGGTTCCTCGCTTCATTACCAGCGCACAATCGCCACCAAAATCTACGGATACCAATCCGTTGGACTATTGGTCTGGAGTATTTTGGAAAGCAAGGTTGGCACTAAAAAATATCAAAGTGCCATCACCTCATTCAAGCGCTTCGCCGGGAATGGGCCAAAATACCGCAGAGCAACATTCGGGCAGCGTGTGACCGTTTCATTGGCCGTTTAAAGGCCATAATTCGTGCTAAAGGTGACCAATTCGAACAAATCTAAACTTAATATGATGGTATTTCCAACATTTTTTGCTTTCATTCAATAAAATTACTTGATGGAGTGGATTGTTATTGTCCATTTTCGTCCCTGGCCTAGCACTGCAAATATTACGATTCGCAAAGTTGGAGCAAAATTGGACTATCCGAACTCGCTGTAACTTTGACAATAATATTACGATGTGCCAAGATGAAACCAAATCGGATATTCTCTTCTAGAGTTATCGTGCGCACCAGTCAGACAGACGGACGGACATAGCTAGATCGATTCCAAATGTTCTGAAAAGGGTTTGGTCCAAAGAGACGTAGGTTCTAAAAACCGTTATTTCGATGAGGCACGTTTTAGTCGTATCAAATAATATACACCCTCTCCAGCCATATAGCTGAGGGTATACAAATAACAGTCTGTAATTCAAGTTTTAAAATAATTTGTTGGGAGCGACACATATTGTGAACTTATTATAGTAATATATGCTGATAAACATACTTTTAGGCGGGGTAAAAAAAAAAGAATTATTTAAACAGTAACTGACATCTCAGTAAAAGGGAATTACATGCGATTACTTTGGTGGAAGACTAAAAACTTTTGTCAATATTGGTCTAGTTTTTGAGTTTAAAATTTTCCTATTTTCCTTTTTTATTCTTAAATGAGTCATCAAGGACATCACACTAATGTCCTTCAATAGTTAAGATATCAATCGTATCGGACTTAAAAGTAAATACTTAACAATACTCGCTGTCGAGATTTTAAACTAAAACAATTTCTTGATTTCTTAACTTTAAACTAAGAACAACCCTAAAAACGGCACTGGGAAAGAGCACAGGCCCGGTATATTTAGATTTTGGTTGGCATTGCCATAGAACATGTACCTTCTATTCAGAAACTATTTTATGCGAGTATCTACAGAGTGGGATATTTGATCTATTATCAAATATATGTATTTTAATAATAAAAGAACATTTACAAATAAGAGGTATTTTCTCATTTATAAATATATTTTATTGGCTTTTTTAAACTTATATTTAACATAAATAAATTTAAAATCTGTTATTTATATAAGTCCGAGTCAGTAAGAAATAATCAAAATACAAATTTATTACAATTTTAAAGCATGCAAAAATATAAAATAGTTTATGTCTTTAATTGTCACGATTCAGCAATGAAAAAAAAAAACTAAATCTAAAAAAACACTAAACATTACAACAGACTTTGCTTATTCTTGGGTAATAATCTTGGCTGTATCATTTCATTGAATTTAATTTGGACAAATTTTTCATCGCACATTGAATTATCCAAGTAATTATTAAGATATTGATTCGATACAAAATGCAACTCTGAGTGACCATCTGCAAGGGAAAAAGTTTTATAAAATGTAATTTTAATACTGTTTTAAGCGAAGCTTACCTAAGATTAAAAACTTAATCGTTTTAGTACGATGTTGAATGCGTTCAGCTTTTCCAGCCAAAAATTTCGTGCAATCCGGATTACCATGGCGATTGGTGAAGGGGATCTTTAGAAATATGATAATGTACTATTAAAAATCAATACTTGAAAATGTTATATTAAAGTATACCTTGAATATCATAATATCACCAACATTGGGCATTTCTTTTGTATCTTTACACCAGGAAATAATTTGGCTTATTTTTACTATGCTGGATGTCGAGGATGATCGATTAAAAGTTGACGACTTCCTTTCAACTGTTTTATTAGAAAATGTTTGACTTTTGTTCACATCATCTGTCTCATTTAGATCAATGACTTCCTCCACGTCGGATGTGTCTGATATACACAGATCTTCAACAACTTTTTTGCTATTCTGTATTGTACTGGCATCATCTTCCTCTGTACTAAGATCTACACAATCTACTGAAAGAATACTAGATTCATTATTATATTTCGAATCGCTATTGTCATCCTCCTTCATTTCACAGGCGTCTTCAATATTTGTTATTTCCATCTCCGAAACCTCTCTATCATTGTTTGTTGTTGTTATTTCTTGTAGGACACCGTTTCCATTCGAAATTTTGGATACATAGACTTCTTTAGATTTATGGTCGGTGGTACCAATAGAGTTATTTGAATCAACCACACTTTCATCTTCATCTTGGACAATGCTATTATCTGCCATAGTTTGATTGTTGGGTCGTGATCCCATTTCTGTGTCATTTGCCTCCTCTAATATGTTCTTTGATGTCACAGATTTTCTCACCACATCAACAGCTTGAATAAGAATATTTTCTTGTATCTCTATTGTTTTTTTCTTTGATTTACTACATTCTTTCATATTCTTGTTTTTAATGTGCAGGATTCTAGGTATTTTTGTATCCATACTTTCCATTTGACATCGGAACACAATATTAATAGGAGGATTTTTATTTTCTTTTTCTTGTACATTGACTGTTGTGTTGGTAGTGGTGGATATTTCTCCAGACTCATTAAAGAATAAATGCCTAGAATTAGAAGATTTCGAGTTTCTAAAGGGATTTTTTGATGATCTCTTTGGTGGTTTGTTAGATTGGATCGAATTGTTTATAAATGTTGAAGACGGCAGATTACTATTGCGGGCTGGAGGTGAAGATTTGTCCACTGGAATAAATAATATACATGTCATAAATTTGCTTGGAGTTGTATAAATTATGTACTTACTAGAGTTTTCTGTTAGGGATTTTAATTCCTTCTGCTTTCTTTTGCGTATCTCAGAAGTTTCGTGTTTATCAATAACTTGTTCGACCTGATTATCAACCATAACAGATATATTTTTGGATATATTTGGCCCTTGATTTGTAATTGTAGTATCGTCGTTTGAAGACATTGTATCATCGTCTGCATCCTTGTCCAATCCACTATTTTCTACAATTGAAATAGAAGCCTGTTTTGATTTTTTACTCTTCCTACTCGATTTCGATGAAACAGTAGATGGTGGTGGCATCTGTTCATTACTAGTACTGGTTATTTCTGAAGATTTATTGACACGCCTTTCATCTTCCCGAATTGTAGCATTTATGGCTATGCAGTTCTTTACACGTTTAGAGCAATTGTTCGGTGTGGATGTATTAAAATCACCCAACGAACGGTATTTACGTTTCTTTTTTACATCAACACAGTCTTGTGGTTCCAAAGCACCACTTTGATCATTGGCACTATCACTGTGTGCAATCTCTTCTTTGCCGCTACATGATTCTTTATGTTTAGCAGATTTTCTACTTTTCCTCTTCTCCAGTGACTCCTTCGGTACAAATGCCCTGAAAACCAGACGGATATTAACCGAAAACAATCAAAAGACGTCATAACTCACTTCAGCTCCTTGCAAAATTTTAATATTTCAATTGGTTCCTGTAAAAACATAAATTATGAATGGACATTAACAATATTTTTTATGATACCCTTACATTCGGATGAAGAAAACAACCTTCATTCAAAAATCGGACAGAATCCACTTCGAAGAGCGACTCGACCCGCTTTTGTAGACACTTTACATGAGTCCACACAGATGTGTCAACCATAAGGAGTACCATTTGTCGTTCGTCCTCGAAAAATGTTGAAAGATCAATTTTAATGCTAAATTTACTCATTTTTAAAACATTTAAGACAACACAAATATAGTCAATATAGTTTATATAGTTTAAAAGACAACTTCGTTCTAATAGACCGGCAGCGTCAAATGCATAAGAAGATTATTTTTTTTTTAATATCGATTCCGATATTTTCTATTATCGAAACATATCGGAATCGATATTTAAAAAAACTGTAAAATAATAATCGTATGCGGTTTATGTGGCGTTTCCACTTCACTTGATTCTCTCTCTATTCCATGTTTGACCCTTAACTTATGAGAGCGCTGGAAACAAAAATGAAAAACGTCAAAAAAAATGTAAATGTTTTTTCAAATATAAGTAGACCTTTATATGTTTTCTTATACTACGTCATTCGGAGGCTATTGTTATTCGCAGTTTCAACAATTTTTACAAATTTAAATAATTTTTCATTCAACATTTTCAATTCCAAAATTGGTTTGACAGTTCATTGTTCCAGCAGCTGTGTCGACGCGTCTACCTATATTCTTCTACCATGGTTTGGGACATAAAAAAGGATGTGTGATGCATTTTCATGGCAAGATTCGCATAACAAGGATGGTTTAACATTCATTTTTGCTAGTGTTTCAGGGCAGAAGCAATGTCCGCTGAGGATTCTATTTATTTTATTATATTATAGGAGGTCCAGTAGAATTATGCAACTATTTTTTTCTTGACACTTTTGGAAACATCTTGTAGAAAAGAGAACTACTCCCGTCTGCTTCGGCTTGATAATTTTCAACCCATTGCAATGGAATCAGCTATTGGCCAAGACAAATTACAACGAGAACCGATATTTATCGATAATGCTATCGGTAGTTTGCCGGCTCAAACACTCTACTTTGCCCGTAAAGACTCAGCTGGAAAGGATGTTTGCACACAAATTTGTAAAAATTCACAAAAATCTGAAAATTCTGAATGATGCCGGCATCATTAAACGTTTCTACAGCAAGAAGAACCTCCTGGCCCTATCTGAAAGAGGTTTCTTTCAAGATTTGTTTCCCGATACTGCAGGGTGGGTACAATTTCCATTGGGTCATAATCTAACCCTTATTGTGTAATTATTTATTTTCATTACAACTCCGCAGGCCTCAAATGACCAAAATGTTTGAAAAATCTCCACAAACTATTTATGCAGGCTTCGATCCGACAGCAGACAGTTTACACATAGGTAATTTATTGGTTATTATGGGATTGCTACACTGCCAAAGGGCCGGACATCAACCAATTGCCTTGCTGGGTGGTGCGACCGGTCTGATTGGAGATCCCAGTGGTAGAAAAACAGAACGAAGCCAGCTACAAGAGGCTATAGTGGAAAATAATCTAGCATCGATAAGACAACAATTGGAAAAAATATTCCAAAATCACCAAGATTGCCTTTGGGATGATCGGAAATACAAAACACCGAGATGCCCCTTAATGTAATGACTATCAAACTAAATGCTTGTGATGTGTTGCTAACTTTCAATATTTCTTTTAGTATAGTGAACAATGCTGACTGGTATCGGAACTTAAATATCATAGATTTCATATCGAATACCGGCAGACATTTTCGTCTTGGCCAAATGCTTTCCCGGTCTTCGGTACAATCACGCCTGGAAACCGAAGGTGGTATGAGTTTTACAGAGTTTACCTACCAAACATTTCAAGCCTACGATTGGTTGCATTTATTGAGGACATATAATTGTCGGTTTCAATTGGGCGGGTCTGATCAAATGGGTAATCTCATGTCAGGCCATGAACTCATTAGTCGAGCCGAAAAGAAAGATGTATTTGGCCTAACATTACCGATTGTAACAAACGAAGAAGGTGACAAATTTGGCAAGTCAGCCGGCAATGCAGTGTGGTTGGATGATCGAAAGACATCCGCATTTTCATTGTATCAATTCTTTGTGCGACGACCCGACTCCGAAGTAGAAAAGCTATTGAAATTGTTCACATTTATACCACTGAATGAAATTGAGTACCTGATGCAGGAACACCAAAAAGAACCCGAGAAGAGGAAAGCACAGACTATGTTGGCAGAAGATGTGACATTGTTGGTGCATGGAGGTAAGATTTTATAATAATTAAAATTTAACACACATTTTGATGGAATTTTCCTAATTGCAGAAAAGGGTTTGAAACAAGCCGAAACAGTGACTAATGCCCTGTATCACGGAAATGTTGATGGTTTGGCCGAATTGAATCCTCAAGAAGTTCAACAGACGTTGAGTGGAGCTACATTGGTGGACATTTTAGCAGAACCTGAAATGACAATGTTAAAACTGGCTATGCAAGCTAAATGCTTTCCAACAGAATGTAAGTATTTTGACTTAACACGCATTAGTTTTTTTACTATGAGCTTTTTCCTTTAGCCGATGCCACACGGATAATATCTGCTGGCGGATTCTATGTCAATCAAAAGCGTTGTCAAAATATATCCGAAGTGATCACCAATGGCGTTCATGTACTCAAAAATGGCATTACTATCTTGAGAGTGGGAAAACGTAATTTCTATGTTGTTCGGTGGCTAAAATAGTTAATAAAGTTCAATGTTGTTTCTTAAATTAGAATTGCATTTATTATTTGGCTTTCGGTGGACCTGCAGAAATTTTTTTCTGTCTTCGTTTGTTGGCCAGTGGCTTTCTCGTCTTATCGTAGAATTTACCACTTTTGGTAAACAATTTATTCTCATTACGCATTTCAGCTAGCTTTCGATTTTTCTGTTTCATAATGTTTTTCTTATTGGCGGATTTCTTCTTTCCTGCCTCGGAGAATTGTACTTTTATCCATTGGCCTTGCAATTCGGTATTGTGCAGTTCCAAAGCTTTGCCAAACGACTCGATATCATTCATTTCGACAAAGGCAAAGCCCGAACTTCTCTTTTTGGGTATGCGAACAGAACGCACTGTACCAGCTTCACTGAAATGTTCTTCCAAATCGCTTTTTGTGGTTTCAAAATTGAGATTGGTTACGTAGAGAACATATCTGTTTGTCTTTGAAGCACCTTTCATCAGTTGAGCCAGTTGATCTTTTGAAATGGATTTCTTGCCAAATGGATTAACATAACCAGTTTTGGGTGGAGCACCTAAGCCATCTACCTCGGGTTGGTTCCCTTCGCCATTGTGCATGTCTGTGTCTTCCTTATCTTCGCTATCATCGGAATTTTCTTCATCCATGCTGTCATCTTCATCAGCTTCCGATGCGCCTTCCTCATCACTTTGATTCTTTTCTTCATATGTTCCGTCCAAAATCTCTTTCCGCTTTACATCATCAAAGTTTCCCAATAAGTCAGCAGAATCATCATTCACAGGTTTCCGTATTTTGTCGGGCTTGACGAACTCTTCCACATTATAGTCACTATCGTCGTCAGACTGCAGTGAAGAAATTGTTGTAATTGTTATTGGTTAAATATATGATTCAATTGTCAACCATGAGGGAGGTTTTGCTCACCATTTTATGTGATTTTTAATAGATAAAATACAATAAATTAACAAATTAATAAAAAATCCAACCAACGCACGTTTCCGAGAATAATAAAAACAACGTGGAAAAGCGATATGGCATCTTTACAAATGCGAAATTGAAAGAAAGGTAATAGATATAATAAAGATGTAGAATCAAAACAGAAAGGCCATCGACATTAAGAGGTCTTTAGATCGAAAACCGTCTAATATGGCATCTCTAAAATGATCAATAATTTAATCAATTTTATGTGAAATTGTTATGTGAAAATGTAGAAAATTAAATTTGCAATAAAAATTCATCCATTAAATATTAAAATTACCTTAAATTCGACATAGCGTACACAAATGGCCAAATATATTAATATTTTTGTATTATTAATTTTTTTTAACATACAAAAAAGTTATGATTCAATTTTTTATATTGAAACTATTCAACCTTTAAATTTCGTGTGCTCGACGTTTTTGTATAACATTCATATAAATTCAGGTGATTTACTTGTTTGGCGATAACGTCGACCGAGTACACCGAATTTTAAGTAACGCAGTAAAATTTAATATAATCACATTTTAATCAGAGAAAATAAAAACACATATGCTTCTTTGTAATAGCAAAAATCGTGAGTCGTATCTAAAATGACAAACATGGTGGCAGCCCATTGTACAATTTTGGAATAAATCAGTATTGTCCTACTAATTTAGTTTCAATCTGGTGGAATAACCCCAAAATTGCATGCTTGTTTCGCGGGTTTTCCCCAATATAATAATTTTGTTAAAAAAATAAGATAAAAAACCAACTGTTGCATATTTAAAAGTTTATTTGACACCAATAAGACTTCAGCACCGAGTTGAATTTTTCTAGTTTCTTTGAAGTTGAACAAACTTTCTTTGGGCGTACATTAAAGGTAATAACCTTTTTGCCGTGGAATTGGAAGAATGATCAGTGTAGATCATATTGTTGAAAGAAAATCCAGGCATATAATTCATCTTTCGCGCCTTTTAAACAATATTCAAAATAATGAAAAATATTAAATTAATTAGAACCACCTGGGGCTGGATTCTTGTTCTATGAAAAAATTAAATGAAAAATATTTCCTTTATAAAATTTTTCATTTGACATTTCTTTCCTTTATAAAAGTTTTCATTTCACATTTTCATAGAACAAGAATTGAGGCCCTGCTGCATCCACTTTTAAATAATTCTGACAGAAAGCGGGAAAGCAGAAAGCAATAGGTATACCCTTTATTGATATAAAATTTCACTTCAGGGCAATGTGAACATATTTGGTCTGTTCCAGAACTGCAAGAATGTAAATGTTTTTACTACGATAACCGATTTTCCCTTTATGATACCGGCATATATTGCAAAACTAGTAGATTCTTGCTGGTACTGGAACAGAGCATTTATTGCCTAATAATAGAAAAACAAACGCCGTTGTACTTAACAAAACGCCAAAGGCGATGGTTCGGAAACTTTTTTCGGTTAAGGAACAACGACACCACGTTAGATAATATATTCGTATATTTCATATTTCCTAAAATTGCAAAATGTAGAATACTTTATGTATGTTTGCTGTTTGGTTTCAACTTGAAAGGGATGTTGCCTTTTCCACGATTTTCTAGCGATTGCTTGAAGTGTTGAGAGACTAGGACCAACAGCTAACAACTGTACATTCAGGGGAATGATGTGAAAGCATTAAAATTAAATATTTTAAGAACTATTCTTCTGCATTTTCAATTTAATGATCGAAATTCCAAAAATGTATATTTTTCAAATCAAAATAATTTATTGAAAATTAATTATTTTGCTTACATTTTTGGACATTTAACTCTGACACTTGTATTACGTACAAAAACAAATTTGTATGTGGTTGTTGTTACGATTGTTGTACAACAACACTTGCTGTTACCTGTATTTTTCTACCATGGGTCTGTTTCAGGGGCTGGATTCTTCTTCTTTATAATTTTTTTCATTTGACATTTTTCTCCTTTATAAAAGTTTTCATATCACATTTTCATAGAACAAGAATTGAGCCTCAGAACTGCAAAAATCTAAAAGTTTTTACTACGATAACCGATTTCCCTTTATGATATCGAAGAAAGTTGCAAAAATATTAGATTCTTACAGGTACTGGAACAGACCAATGAATGACGAATGTGCCGTTTGAACTGGTTGATTCGTGTATGTAATGTGGCGTTTCCACTGCACTTGATTCGGTCTCTATTCATTGTGTGACCCTTAACTATCTTAACTATGAAAAAACTACCGAATTCTTCACACAAAATTTCCCGAGCGAACACTCATATTTGTACATTGTTCAAATCAAATCACTCTCAAAACAACGAAAAAATATGTCCCATCCCTAACAAATGAGAGTATTTATCGAAAAAATAAATTATGACATTTAAAAATTAAATATAGAAAAATTTAATGAAATTTTAAAATTTTTTGGGAAGACTGAAAATTATGAATGAAAACTACAATGTTGAATGGCGTATGTACATTAAAACGAAAGTACATTTTGTTTTCTCCCTCTCTCATTCGAGAACGCATTGTGTCCACGACTTGAAATGTCCACAGAAAACTGCAAACAAAAGAGGCAATATTTTCAAAATGTTTGTATGGGCAGAAAAAATGTTTGACAAGTGTCTCTCCAGCAGAATTTAAGAATGGAATAACAAAAAAATATGTTCAAAATGTCAACATTTACACAAAAAATGGAAAACCTGAATGAAAATTGTAAAATTAATGATATAATAAATCTTTGGGAGGATATTTGAAAAAAGGAATTGTTTTACTATGAATTACGACTCGTGCCGTATGAACGGGTTAATTCGTGTACACGATTCTAAGAGCGAACAAAGTGATTGAAAGTGTAACGAGAACACAGCATAAATCTGGTGCGATGACAAATTCCAGTGGAAACATGTTATCATTTCATCCGATAAATCGAAAGAAACAACTATTACTCGATATCCTCTTTTTTAATAAATTATCTATGCTATCGATATTAACATCGGTTGTTTTCCACATTCAACCTCGACGTTTTTAATATTAATATTATTAATATTAATAATTAAGTGTAATAATACTATTAATACTACTAAGAACGGCTTCCAAATATTTGGTGGCTACATCATACATCCACGTGCACTGAACTCAATTGAGGGTAGATTGGAAATTGCACTGATTCACTACAATGCAGCAACAACAGATTATGCCCCGAGTTGGACCACCTGGGACACCAACTGGTTCCTCGTCGCGTACAATGTCGTTTGTTGACAAGCAAAAATACATTGAAGACTATGACTTTCCCTATTGTGATGAATCTTCGAAATATGAGAAAGTTGCGAAAATTGGTCAGGGTACATTTGGCGAAGTATTCAAAGCCAGAGAAAAGAAAAGCAATAACAAATTCGTGGCCATGAAAAAAGTTCTTATGGATAATGAAAAAGAAGGTGTAAGTATGGAAGCAATCTATTTTTGTGTGTTTTAACTTAAAATGTATGTTCTTTCTTAGTTCCCCATCACTGCCCTCAGAGAAATTAGAATCCTGCAGCTTTTGAAACATGAAAATGTTGTCAACTTAATAGAGATTTGTCGCACTAAGGCAACGGTCAGCAATGGATATCGTTCAACATTTTATTTGGTTTTCGATTTTTGTGAACACGATTTGGCTGGTTTGCTGTCAAATATGAATGTTAAATTTAGTTTAGGTGAAATTAAGAAAGTAATGCAACAATTGTTGAATGGTCTCTACTATATACACAGTAATAAGGTATGTATTGCATTTAAAAACAATGCAAGGTGTCCATCTCAACAAAACGTTTTCTTTTAGATATTACATCGTGACATGAAGGCTGCCAATGTTCTTATAACCAAACATGGTGTCCTCAAGTTGGCCGATTTTGGTCTGGCCCGTGCCTTTAGCATACCCAAAAATGATGCAAAAAATCGTTATACAAATCGTGTGGTCACATTGTGGTACAGGCCACCGGAACTGCTGTTGGGTGACCGAAATTATGGACCACCTGTGGATATGTGGGGAGCTGGTTGCATTATGGCAGAAATGTGGACACGTTCGCCTATAATGCAGGGAAATACTGAACAACAACAGTTGATATTAATTTCTCAGTTATGTGGTTCCTTTACCCCGGACGTGTGGCCTGGTGTGGAAAAACTGGAGCTATACAAGACCGTTGAATTGCCTAAGAATCAAAATCGCCGGGTTAAAGAACGTCTAAGGCCATATGTAAAGGATCCCTATGGCTGTGATTTATTAGACAAACTGTTAACTTTAGATCCGAAAAAACGTATCGATGCTGATACCGCCTTAAATCATGACTTCTTCTGGACTGATCCAATGCCCTGTGATTTGGGTAAAATGTTATCACATCATTTGCAAAGTATGTTTGAGTATTTGGCCCAGCCACGGCGGACAAATCAAATGCGTAATTATCATCAACAAATGGCGACAATGAATTCAAAGCCTCCCGATAATACCATGATAGATAGAGTGTGGTAAAATCTTTTAGAATATGTTCGTCTGTTAGTTGAAGGTCAGCTAATATCATATTTATAGAAGTTATATGAAACAAATTAATACTGATTTTGTCATTGAATTTTATACAGAGTGTTTGGTTCGAAAGTATCCCAAACAGAATATATTTTATTACAATTATTTCTAAGTGTTCTTGTACTACCTAATAGCTTGTAAGAAAGTGTTATAATTTGAATTTAGAGTTTTTTTTTCAATTCCATTTTTAAAGAAATTTATTTGTACCAAAAACAAATAAAACCAACATTAAGTGAACAATTTGAGAATGTCCCGTTTTTTTATTTTACCAATTTAGGTTTGATTTATTAATGATTATGAGGGATTTCTAAAAATTACAATAATTATAGGTTTGATTTTTAATTAAGATGAAAAATTGGATTTTCAATTTACCAAATAAACAATCAGCAAATGTGGTACTTTTCTTGAATTTTCAATTTAATGACCGACAATTTAGATCAGTCGACAAGTGCGTAGTACAACAAAAATCCAAAAAAAAAAATAAAATTCTCTACAATGTATAGTTCAAATCAAAGCATAATTTTAGGCGCTCTTCCTTTAAAAGAGCATAGTTTTAATAGAATGCCTTTGAGAACTCGAATAACAAAATACAGGGTGAGATGAAAAAACTGCAACCAACTTCAGACTGTTGTCATTTCTAAGCCATCCGTCCGAAAGCTGTTAAACTTATTCCAGTGGCAGTTCATTATATTGTTTACAAGAGTACAAAAGCATTTTGGCGAGAATTTTCCAGAAAAAAATGTTATTCGTGATGGAATTGAAACCCGCGTCACAGTGGGTTATTATATCCCATTCGTCAAATATTAAAAAATGAGCTCGGGGTAAAACCATTGAAATTCCAAAAAGTGCAAGAACTTACACCGCAACAGAAAGAAAATAGACTCAAAAGAGCTAAAGAGTTGCTTCACATGGCCGAAAGTGGTGAACTGCCGAATTTGGTTTTCTCCGTTGAGAAAATATTCTTTGTTCAGCATTTTGTAAACAACAAAATGATCGTGTTTACGTGCCAAAGAGCTCAGCTGAAAATGTGCAACTTCGGTTGGCCACCAGAACTCAAGCGACGGCCATGGTGATGGTATAATAGCCGATGGTCGCTCTCCGCTCGTATTAATCGACCGTGGCATCAGAATAAATGCCGAATATTATGGCGAAAATATTCTGGAGGGTGTATTAAAGCCTTGGGCACGCAAATATTTTGGCCGCAGACCTTGGACATTCCAACCGAACTCAGCACGCGCCTCCCTAGAATGTTTACAAAATGAGGTTTCTCGCTTCATTTCCAGCGCACTATCGCCACCAAAATCTCCGGATACCAATCCGTTGGACTATTGGTCTGGAGTATTTTGAAAGGAAGGTGGCACTAAAAATATCAAAGTGTCAATCACCTGATTCAAGCGCTTCGCCGGGAATGGGCCAAAATACCGCAGAGCAACATTCGGACAGCGTGTGACGGTTTGATTGGCCGTTTGAAGCCCATAATTCGTGCCAAAGGTGACCAATTCGAACAAATCTAAACTTATTCTAAAATATGATGCTATTTCCGACATTTTTTTTGCTTTCATTCAATAAAATTTAAAAAATCTTGTAAAAATTATGGCGTTTGACTTTGTTGCAGTTTTTTATCTCACCCTGTATTTTGATAGCACCGAACCGTTATGCTCTGCACACTTCCCCCTCTAGCACATCTTAAAGAAATGAAACACACACAAATTTATTATTGTTGTTAGAATTCAATTTTTCAAAACTATTTAGGCAATTTATTAGTATTCATATTATTTATATCATTTTATTTCATTTTTTTTTTAACTTACATCAAAGTCCTTTGTTTAAAAAAACGCACACAGACACACTACTACAAACATTTTCTAAAAATATGCTAATTTTTTTTGATCAGTGAGACATTTTTGTTTGTTTTTTCTTCTCTTGGTTTTTTGTAATATTTCTTAATTCTGGTTTTTGTTTTTCATTATTTGATCACAAAACAGTCAGTCAGTCCGCTTAAGGTGTTGTTTCTTTCTTTTTTTGTTTTATTCTTTATTAAATTTTTTTTCGACTGGCTGGCGCTTTCTTCATCATCATCCATTCATGTTGTTTTTAGTGTTTTTTTTTCAATTATTTTGTGTTATACTAATTAAAATAGTTGTAATATAATTAATTGTTGTGTATATATGTATGTATATAATTTGTTGTAATATTTTATGAAATACTAATGATTTGTTGTTGTTTTTATTTGTTAGTATTGTACATTATTTTTTTTGGTGTGTTTGGATTTGTTATAATTTTTTTGGGGGGTTTATATTTTTTAAATGTATTCTTGATATTATAATAATTAATATTAATTAATTAATTTAAATAAAAAAAGGCTCATAACGTAATCACAGAAATGCTTTTGTTATAAAAAAATAAAGAATTGGTTCCGCAAAAAAGGGAAGCGAACAAATTTTATATAGAAAATGAAAAACATTTATGAAGAGTTGTAACTTTCTCGATTTAGCCGCTTAAAGTTCGATTACACATTATGTTAAGAGTCATGTGTAAAGTGACTTTTCTGATTTTATATATTACATTTCTATGACATACTTTAAGGAGCTACCAATAAATACTATACATAAATACAACTCATATGCCTTAATGAACCCGCAATGATGATGAAAACTGAAAAACTTGTTTGGAAATTCACATCAAGTAGGTTGTAAAATTATGGGTTTGAAAGTGGGAGAGATTAGAATTTAAAATAAAAAAAAATAGAAACAATTCTTAATATACTTATAACTATTATTGATATATAACTAACTATAAATGAATGTGCACAAAAATACTTTGAGCACGATATGAGCCTTCCTTTTTGTCCTTGTGTAAAATTTTGGTTTTATTCAAATCTTTTTTATTTATTTTTTTCAGTTTTATCAGTAAAAGCGCACAATGATTGTTAAATAGAAGTAAATGATAAGAATAGGGCAGAGAGGGGATAAAGTGGAGGTGGATTTAAATCATAAAACCAAAAAAAAGTCAATACCAAGCATACAGGGTGAGATGAAAAAACTGCAACCAACTTCAGACTGCTGTCATTTCTAAGCCACTCGTCCGACAGCTGTTAAAATTATTCCAGAGACAGCTCATTATATTGTTTACAAGCGTACAAAAGCATTTTGATGAGAATTTTCCAGAAAAACAGTTATTCGTGATGGAATTCAAGCGTGATAGTGTGATTTCTTTATATTTCAGCATTTAAATGTGAATAAATCTTTTGCGTCTCGTACGGGGTAAAGCCATTGAAATTCCAAAAAGTGTCAGAACTTACGCTGCAACAGAAAGAAAATAGTCTCAAAAGAGCTAAAGAATTGCTTCGCTTGGCCGAAAGTGGTGAACTGCCAAATTTTGTTTTCTCTGATGGTAAAACATTAGTTGTCCAGCAGTTTGTTAACAAACAAAATGATCGTGTTTAGCTGCCAAAGTGGTCAGCTGAAATGTGTACCTTCAGTTGGCTACCAGAACTCAAGCGCCGTCGCTGCTCTTCGCTCGTATTAATCGACCGTGGCATCAGAATAAATGCCGAATATTATGGCGAAAATATTCTGTAGGATGTATTAATGCCTTAGGCACGCAAACATTTTGGCCGCAGAGTTTGGACATTCCAACGGGACTCAGCACCATCGCACTCTGCATGGGCCACCCAAGAATGGTTACAAAATGAGGTCCCTCGCTTCATTTCCAGCGCACAATGGCCACCAAAATCTCCGGATACCAATCTGTTGGACTGTTGTGTGTGGACTTTGTATTTTGGACAGCAAAGTTGGTACTAAAAAATACCAAAGTGTCGATCACCTCAAGCAAGCGTTTCGCCGGAAAGGGCCAAAATACACAGAGCAACATTCGGGCAGCGCGTGACGGTTTCATTGGCCGTTTGAAGGCCATAATTCGTGCCAAAGGTGACCAATTCGAACAAATCTATACTTATTCTAAAATTTGATGCTATTTCCGACATTTTTTGCTTTCATTCAATAAAATTAAAAAAAAAAAATGTAAGAATTATGGCGTTTGACTTTGTTGCAGTTTGGATCATATCGGAAGGGTCATTAGATTCTGTTGCATACCAAAACATTACGATGTAATTGGAAATGTAATACAACAGGGTTCAATTCAACCCCGTGCCTAATAAGGAGTGTTATGTTAAACAGCCACTCTCCTATTTCATTGATAAACTCAACAAAAGTTCTATCAGAACGATGTTAAGAACTCCACTCCACTCTTCACTTTTCTCAAAGACCTAACTGAATAGAAGGCGTTTTATCTTCTTTGGATACAAAAATGACTTCAACAGGATCAGAGTTGCGTTTCAGAACCTCTAAAATAGAGGTAAAAACTAGGTAAACTGTTAGGCCTGTGACCTGGTATCTAACAGAGCAGTTCCTAGGTACTTCAGGGTTTATTTAGACATACAGACCTATATTTGAATAAAAGATCGAAGAGGGTACCGGCGCCAGGGTTTACTATTCAAACTTGTTTAACTTCCAGGCAGAGGTTTTTGCTTAATTTTCTTTGGTGTCATTCAAATTTTACCAATGTAGTCCTCTAGTGTACTAGTTAGAAAGCCCTACAAATATGTAGATGGATTTCCACGTCTAGGTTTATCACCTTTATAAAGTTGCGTCCCAGTTTCAGTTATTTAAAATGTTTCAGATTATTTACCTACGTTGTTTTATATATTATCCATGTATTTTAGATCACCATACTTCCCCGTGCTTGCTATATTTTGAATAAATACTTTTTCCCTCATTCTGCATAAAAAGGTTAACTTCACATCTCGGTTTAAAATCCATACTTAATTGTTTTCCGTGGCCGTACAATCTGTGTGAAACAGCTCTCTCAGAGCGAATATTACATTTCTCTCTTTTGATTACAAACAAGAGAGGGAACACAACAAATAATGTTTTTACTAAAACATTATTCTTTTTAAGATAACATTTAAATAAAATAATAAAAACAAAATCACATATATTATTAATTATTATTTTTCTTTGTAAAGAAACAAACGTGTATTTGATTTGATTTATATATTGGTATTATTGAATTCATTTAGTAAAACTCAAATAAAATTTGACATAATAGTAATAATAATGATAATAAAAAGTGGGCGTGTAGTATTACATTAAATTAATATTAATTTAAAAAAATATATTGATATACATCTATATATAAAATAAAATAAATAATATACATAAAAAAACATTTGCTATACATATTTAAAAAAAAAAAAAAAAAAAAAAATGGGGGCGTGTTGTAATTCTATGATTGCAATTTTTTTTTCTTTACTTCATTTTTATACTGGAGAGGGTCACAACAACGACATAGCTTTTGTTTATTAGCCCTCATTTGTTGGACAGACAACCAGCAGAGTGTACATACATACACATACATATATATGGTACATACAAACAAATTTGATTTATTGCATAAAAGAAAGATATGGATATTCAATAAGAAAATTTAATGGGGAAAACGTTTTAACAACAAATTTTGTAATCAAAAACAAAAAAAGCGTTTTTCTTTTCTATCGATATCACGTAAATTCGTAACTATAATTAAGAAAACATCGAAAGCTGCCATATACCGTATCAAAAAAAACGAAATTTTTGACAATATGACAATGTTTTTGTTTTTGGCAAATATAAATCGATTGATTTTAAAATGTAAAATAAAATAGATTGGCAAAAAAATGAACTATATTTAGATGTTTTTTTTTTAATTTGAATTTAAATTCAAAAATTGCAGATTTAGTTTTTTTAATTAAAACAAGTGAAAATCCTAAAGTCGAATTATACCGACTACATAATAACCTACACCACTACTATTTTAATAGAGGAAAATTTAAAAACATTTTGCAGTAAATTTTGAAGAATTATTGCTTGAGTTTATATATGTAGAAGAGAGAAAACCGAACAAAATTTGTGGAAAAAATGTTAAAAGTGTTTCCACATAACAAGAAGAGAGCTGAATGTATCATAAACGCTCTTATTTTTTAAAAGATTAAGTTCTAAAGAACTTTATTCGGCACAAGGCGAATACAAGGGCGTTTTTGAAAGCCCGGTAAAAAGATATTTTCTTTCAGTATAAGACCTGTTGAAAGGACTTTGGAAGAAGACCTGTAAAAATACTTCATGGTTACAGAAGACTTCTAAAAAGGTAGTAAAAACTGTCTTCTATCTGTATAAGACATGTTAAGAGGTCTTTGGTCAACAGAAGTCCTGTGGAAAACCCTCTTGGCTTAAAAGAGGTTTATTGAAATAAAACTCAAAAATAAAAAAATAATAAAATTAAGGAGTTTATCCTGGCTCTTGGTGTGTATAAGAAAGTGTATGTAGTGTAGGCCAAAAACAAAATCAAATGATGATTTGATAAAATTCCTTAAACAAGAATAAAAAAAAAATAATAACAAAAAAATATAATTTTTAAAAAATTTCTAAAAACCACAGAATTATATGTATTTTTTTTGCATCCGGAACAAGGCATATTTGGTGAGAGGCAATAAAGTAAAAAAAAAAAAAAATAACAAAATCGGATTGAAATTGCAAAAGATCGGCGTAAGCTAGGGAAAGGACAAATGACTAAGAAGAAACTTCTTGCTAAAGTTGAACTATTTTGTTGTTGTTGTTGATTTTTTTCTTTTGCTTTGCTTTTTTGTGTACAGATCAATATTGTTTTTTTTTTTTAATTTATATATATTTTTTGATATATAGTTAGTTTTACTTAATAAAAAAGTGATTTTTTTTTTATAATCCAACAAATCGTATGGGCAGCATTGTAATCTTGTTAATTCGTTATTTGTTATATATAGTTTTTGTAGATGTGTTGTTGTTGTTCTTGTGTGTGTTGTTTCAAACCCATATCTTTTGCCAGAACTTACGTTGCAAGTGTTGCAACAATTCGACTGGCACACATGCAGCTTTCAACAACTACTAAATCTTATTACTCGCTGTCTGATCGTGACGGGCACTGTATTTGGGATTTGTTGGCATCACAGTTTTAGTTATAAGTTCATTGGGTGCCTCCAGAACGCCTTTGGCATGAGCGGCAGCTGTATCGCAATCGGTTCGTCTTGATATCAATAGGCGTATGTCGGTGTGCAGCATTAAACGTCCCGAACGTGAGGTTTGGAATCTGAAGTGGAGAGAAAGAAATATAATTATGTTAAGAATCTCAGATATTAAAATAATTATAAACAAAAAAAAAAAAAAATAATAATAATAATAATAGTAAAATATGTTTAATATTTTGGGAGGGCTATCCTAGCTAAAATCAGGGAGTTTTATTTTTTGAATAAAATTGTGACCTATAATAGTGGATTTTAAAGCAATTATTTTGAGAATATAAGGGGTGAGTTGGAAAATGGCTCGTGAGCTGAAAATAGACTCAAAATAGCAAAAGAGTTGCTTCGCTTGGCCGAAAGTGGTGATCTGCCGAATTTGGTTTTCTCCGATGAGAAAACATTAGTTGTCCAGCAGGTTGTAAACAAACAAAATGATCGTGTTTACTTGCCAAAGAGGTCAGCTGAAGATGTGCACCTTCGGTTGGCCATCAGAACTCAAGCGCCGGCCATGGTGATGGCGCCGCCATAACAGCCCATGGCCGCCCTCCGCTCGTATTAATCGACCGTGGCATTAGAATAAATGCCGAATGTTATCGCGAAAATATTCTGGAGAGTGTACTAAAGCTTTGGGCACGCAAACATTTTGGGCGCACACCTTGGACATTACAACAGGAAAGCACAGTTGACACTAAACAATACGAAAGTGTCGATCACCTCCAACACTAAGAGGGTAAAATCCAAGAAGATAGAGGATATAAAAGGCATATCTGCAGGCATTAAACTACTTACTTATAAGGAGCTGCAGCTTATCAGGACGAATCTAATGTTCGTAGGCAAGTTCGAGATATATCATAACGCAGCATTAAGGGAACTCCCGATAAGCAAGATCCCACATGGAGAGCAGTGATGAAACCAGTCGAGAAAAGGAAATGTGCTGTCGAAGGAGACTGGAACAATAAGCCTTTAAAAACTGCCTCCTCGGAAGTAGCACCCTTCAAAGCAAGGAAAGGCAAGTTTTAGGTTAAGTCCATGAAGCAGCAGTCCTCAAAAAAGGCTGCTAGGAAAAAGAGGCGCTGGAAGCCTGCTAAACCCTCAAAAACGACTCTGTTTATCCCATCAGCTGATTGTAGTGAAAAAACAGATGGACAGGGCAGAGACGACTATAGCGAGCAGACATAAGGGTATCTTGCCCAAGGAAGCAATATCGAAGGCCACCAAGTCCCTTTCAGCCAGAGGAAATGTGCTGTCGAAGGAGACTGGAAAAATAAGCCTTTAAAAACTGCCTCCTCGGAAGTACCACCCTTCAAAGCAAGGAAAGGCAAGTTTGAGGTTAAGTCCATGAAGCAGCAGTCATCAAAAAAGGCTGCGAGGAAAAAGAGGCGCTGTAAGCCTGCTAAACCCCCAAAAAACACTCTGTTTATCCCATCAGCTGAATGTAGTGAAAAAACAGATGGACAGGGCAGAGACCCAAAACAGAAGGTCCCTCAATGTTTCAAACGTAGTCTCTATTTTTTGTGGCTCCATAAAACCAACTTTTATCCAAACAACTCAAAGCTTTCTTCCTTTAGTTTTTCAAATTTATAGAAAAAAATACAATTTTGAGAAATTAGTCTCGCAGTAACCTCCTACCTCTTTCCTTTAGTGGTTCACATTTATAAAAAAATTACAACTTTGAAAAATTTATCTCAAAGTAACCTCCAAAAAATTGGCTTACCTCAAATGTATGGAATAGCGTAAACTTTTCATATTCTCAGCTGACATAAAATGACCCATTTCATTTTCCGTATTTACATTATTGCTGTTGCTATTGTTGTTGTTGTTGCTGCTGCCATTTAAACTTATATTGTTATTGTTAAGGCCAATGTTATTGTGTTGATGTTGTTGCTGCTGTTGTTTATTCGAATTTATTGTCACATTATCACCACCATCACCAGGATTTGTTTCAATATTGCCATTCTGCACCATAATATCACTATTAGATCCAACACTGTTAAATGTTGTCGTTTTTGTTGTTAATGTTGCTGTTGTGGTTGTGGTTTGAGTATTACTGCTACCCGTGTCGGCCAAAATACGTTGACGTATAAATGTCTGATGTAATGCCGGCATATCACGCATATCGTATGGTATAACAAACATACGAACAACGGTACCCATTGGGTTTAGTAAGGTAGCCTGGACAGTACCACAACGTGGTACCGAATAGCCTTTGCGGGGTAAGCGTATTTCACACTGGAAAAAAAAACACGAAATTATAATTTTAGTAAAAAGAAACAAAAAATAGAATGCTTACCAAATAAGGTGTACTCAAAGTCTCTCCCTTGAGCTCATAGAAGTAAGCTGCCGCCGGTATGGTCAGTTGTGTTGGACAAAAGCCACCCGAAGCACCCAATAGTAGCTTGAAACCCATCACCTCGATTTTGGGTACCAAACGTCGTTGCAGCAAACTCTCTTCCAGATTGCCTAAAATCGGCTTGCGCCCAAATACGGCAGATAGACGTGAACGCAACTTTACTGGCGATGTGGCAAATGGACTATACATTCCACAATCCAGATCTTCATCGGAAAACTGTTCATCGGAACCCAATGATGAGCGATCCGAACGATCGGATAGATGACGCGAACGACGTTTATATAGGGCTGAAGCTTTTATAAAACGCGGCGACAGGGAAGGTGAATTCGGCAATGTGGGGGCAGAATTGGATTTTTGCACCGTTATTGAGGGTGGTGGCGGTGGCGGGCCGGTGGGTGATTCAAATGAGAATGTTGGCGCAACCGCACCATCAGAGCCCTGTATGTCAGCTGACTTGGAACCCGTAGACATTGCCGAGGAGCATATTGTTGTCGTCGTCGTAGATGAAATGGCAGCATTTGATGACATCCCTCCACCATTGGCAATGGGTATGGGTGAAGAGACTTTCATCTCATTGGGATTACAGAAGATCCTTGTTAAATTCACTTTAGGCGAATTACGTCTTGCCAATAGGGGATTGTGTATGGATGGTAGTTGGTGGTGTTGATGGCTTTTGGAGTCCACCACGCTGTTGTTTGATTTCTCTATCACATTGGAGCCCACATTGAAATTGAAAGCGATTTGTAGAAGACTCGGCTTTGGTGTCTGTTTGTGTGGTTGCTGTTGCACCTGCTGACGATTGGTGTCCAACTTTAGCTGTTGTTCACTTGCTGTGGGTGTCTTAAATTGTGCCATAACCTTGCCAGAACTCTTGGCATTGTCACCGTTGTATTCCAACATCATGGGTGGTGTGTAACACAAACGTTGAGCCTTATCGATGCCACTGGTATTCGGTTGGGATTTTTCATTTAATTGGGTGTAGTACGATTTGTTGGTGCTGCTGCTGTTGTTGTTGGTCAGTGAACAACGTTCGATGTTTGGAGTTAGTTTTGTAGAAGTTGTAAAGTATTCCTGAAGGGGAAAAAATTGAGAAGATATTAAAATGGTGTTGGGGAAATTTTCAGAAATTTTAATGTAAGAGAGGGAAGTTTGTGAACAATAATTTTTTATCATACCGAACCAGACACTCGCAATTGATTGTCAATATTGTGAGTTAATACCGAGCAGATTTGTATTAATATCAACAGTTTGAAAAGAACCCATCAAATCGATCTGGAGATGTCAGGATATTGTCAAGCGTTTACGTCATGAGCAGATAACATCATAAGCATTTGCGTTTGCAAATATCAGATTCCAAATCTTAGGGATCGACTCCGTACCAGATCCAAATCAGATTATGGTAAATAAAATAGTTAAGAAATTGGGTTAAGGCAACTGAATTTCTAATATAATAAACTGTAAACTGCTCGTCTTCTTTAATAACTTTAGTCTAGAGCGCACAATAGACCTATACTGGCTAAAGTAGGACATACACTTTATGAAAGGACATGTGGCGATTTTTTCGCCCCTCTTTTCATTTTTGGTGAAAACGATTTCGAATCATTTATGATCGTTTGGATTGACTGTGACCAAAGCCTTTGCACTTTAACCAAAGAACAGCTTTTTTTCAGGCCGCCAACATCGTGATAATGGTAATAATATAATGTTGAACCAACGTTAGCTCGACGCCGTCGTCAACATTTAGAAATCGTTCAGACGTTTTGTGCGAAATGCAGATTTGACAGTAACGATTCTTAGCTAGCCGTTTCCACAATAGTTTTGGGCAACCAGAACGTATCTGAAATCCTAGTAGATTTTATTTCCATTCGGTGCGTTCTAAAACTCTATTCATTTCAATTTGAATCCGGCTTTACTTTTTTTCATTTACAATGACAGCGTGGTTTGCCCTCTTCAAGAATCTTCTTAATTTTCTCCGAACCACCGCCCCATTTGTGACTTCTCTAATTAGAAATTCGCTCCATTTTCGTTGGATATGACGGATGGAGATGTCGCCTATAATACATATATTCAGGTTCAATGACACTTCGGAAAAACTAGTGAAAAAGGTCGCTAACAATGTTGGGGACTTAGCCTAAAGATATAAGAAAATGTGAATTTTATTATTCTGCTGCTGTATGGGTTGCTGGCTGCTGTCGGTAAGGGTACTATGTCATTGTGCAAAAATACCTCTGCCAAATTATATCAATATCTGTTCAGATTTGGATATAGCTTCCATATATATCTTCAACCGATTTCGGGTTAATTGTGCACCAAATGGCCAATATAAGTCCAAATGACCTAAATGTTGGTACATCCAACTGAATTCAGCCTAAAAGCAAGTACATAAAATATGGAGAAAATCGGTTCAGATATAGCTATAGCTCCCATATATATGTTCCATGCGATTTGGGGGTTTAAGTCCCTCACATGCGTCATATGCATTCGACAACAATTATATTTGGTACCAGGTGTCAGATACAGCCCAGAATAATCATCTAAAAATCAGCTAAATTGTATCGAGATCGGTTCAGATTTGGATATAGCTTGCATATATATATTCAACCCATTTCGGGTTAATTGTGCACCAAATGGCCAATATAAGTCCAACTGAATTCAGCCTAGAAGCAAGTACATCAAATTTTGTGAAAATTGGTTCAGATTTGGATATAGCTTCCATACATATCTTCAACCGATTTCGGGTTAATTCTGCACCAAATGGCCAATATAAGTCCAACTGAATTCAGTCTAGAAGCAAGTACATCAAATTTTGTGAAAATCGGTTCAGACATAGCTATTGCTCCCATATATATGTTTCACCAGATTTGGTGTTTAAGTCCCTCACATGCGTAATAAGCATAATATAGTTCCTTACTGGTTTGTTTATGTGTCGTCCCTTCATATCCTCGTGGTCCATATTTATATTCATTTGTGATCCAAGTATTTCAACCACTTTCTAGTGTTTGGTTCTCCAATATCAATCGACAACGTAAGAGCTAGTGGGAGGAGAGAACCCCTCCCTGTCATAAAATTACATCGTGTTTGAGCCTTTTGGACATGCCCGCCCATTAGAATAGCTCTCAATATCATGGTAATCTAGCTCAATACTCGTTGAAGCGACGCAATATCGATAAATACATTCTTATTCGAGGAATCTTACTTAGGGAGGTTTCGAGAAACTTCACAAACATTCCCCTCAGCAAAAAAATGACGCCAAAAATATATTTCTACTTACCACTCCTCCCCCATACTGGGGACAATCATCCTTATAGCTATCTATTATTAATTTGTTATCACATGTTTTCTCTTTAGCTTGACCATTAACCACCACCGAGTTTCGAGCATTATCAACACAATCTTCGGCTACTACTGATGCTGTTATTACCGCTGACATTTTCCCACCATCCTTTTCATTATCCGAATCACTGCCCAATATTTCATCTGATTGCTGATCAGCAGCAACATTCATTTGGCCACCCATCACAACAGCTGCCCCGGAGGGGGAGAAATTATTTAAACATGAATTATTTTCTCCAATTACCACTTGATTGTTATCCGCCGAACTATTCATTTCATGTTGGGCACTGGAAAGCTGCTGCTGCTGCTGCTGTTGGAAATGATGTTGGGTTTTTTGACGTTTACACATTTGACAGCTTTGTAGTTGTGCGGTTGTCGATGGCAAATTATTGGAACGATTCTGGTGATGACCACTCTGGCTTTTGTTGTTTGTAGATGATTTTCGACTTTCGTTGGCTGACTGCTGGTGTTTGTTGTTGTGATGCTCCAAATCTTTGGCTACTTTAAGTTTCTTATTAGCTTTGGGCGTCCTCTGTATGGCTTGTAATAGAAGCTCGGCTTTATTACGTGGTATTTGTATAATATCACTGCTATTTAAACTACTGACAGATGATGATGACGATGCTGATCGACTTGTTGAGGAGGTTAGATCCAGCATATCGCCATCATCATCAGCTTCATTGGCGTCATCATCATCATTATCATCACGATGATTCGAACTCTTCAAAGGATTACATTTCAGGCAAATCATTGATTTTTCATAACCACATGCCGAACAGGTAATGGAATCCATTGTACTAGTTGCTGTTGTTGGACTAGACGCTTTATTAGCATGATTGTTTGTGGTGGTGGTGGTGGGGCTGGTAGTTTGGGTACCAGTTGAGATCATTTTCACATGCTGTTGTTGTTGTTGTTGCTGCCCATTTCCAGAGGGGGGAATGCTATTTTTAAAACTATTTGGTAATTGTTGCTGCTGCTGCTGTTGTTGTTGTCTTTGGCCTTTTGTTGCATTTGGATTATTCTCATCAGTGACTTTTTGATGATGATGATGATGATGATATGATGATGACCTGGCATTCAATAGCTGCTGAGGCTCATCATGTGGATCACCATAGTCATTATCATCATCACAACACTCAATCTCATCGTCTTCGCCCTGCTCCATTTTCTGTGAACTGGCGACTGCAGGACAACAATTTTGATATTCAATTGCCACGCTGTTGTCATTGGTCTTCCGTTGTTGCTGCGTTTTCTTATCACGCCTCAGCATCCGTTTACGATACTTGAGTAGCTGTTTTTCACGATGTGAAAGATTTCCATAATTTGTACTTAGAGAGGAATTGGAACTATCACCTTCACCAAAACCAACACAGCTGCCGCCGCTAAGATCAAAGCTATCCCCCGCACCAACACTGCTGCCATTGTTGAAGCTGTCGCCACCATCGAGACTGTTCAGAGAATCGTTATTTGTTGAACATTGTTGCTTTGGGAAATCTGGATGAGGATTTCTTGTCAACGATGAGGATGGCAATGATGATGAGGGGTTGTGCCCGAATTGGCTGTAGGGACCATCATCAATTTTCCGATTTCCTTCTTCCCTATTTGAATAAGTTGCATTGAAAACGGCAGTTTGTTGTTGTTGCTGTGGTATTTGCTGATGATCGTGGTGGTGGTGGTGGTGGTGGCGATGTTCCTTTGAATTTTTATTATCACAGTTGATTGTTAAAGATTTTGTGGTTGATCCAGCCGCTGCACATGGGCTTGTTGTTGCTGTCCCAGGCATTTTTGACCATGTCCCACTACTACTACTACTACTGCTGCTGCTGGACGACGCCTCTGTGGCCTTATATTGGGGAGTAATTGTCGTTGTTGTGGTTGTTGTTGCTGTTACGGCTGGGTTTATTTTCGGTATACCCCCCGTTATACGTGGAAGACTTTTCAAACAAACCGATACACTAGATTTTTCCGATATATTGACATTTGGAAAATTATGTACATTCGGTTTTGTATTAAAGCAGGCCGTGCTGGCATTGTCATCACCATCGTATGCCTTGATGCGGTAGAAAATATTGAGACGTGGTGCAGCCGATGCTGGCGATGGCCATCGATTTGTACTATTGGCATTTGACGATGATGTGGCAGCCGAGCTACTGCTGTTGCCGCTGCTGCTATTATTGCCACCACCCGAATTTGCTGCTGCTGATGCTGCTAGACTAGTTGCAGTAGGTGAGGTACCCAAAATATTCACATTCATCGTTGAGGTGGCCAAATCGCCAGCAGCACTCGTTCTTGGCGTTGTGGTGGTGGTGTAGATAAGGCGACCAGTATCATAAATGGTCTTGTCCGCTTTCTTAATGAGATCACACCAGGCACTGATTTGTGAAAAGTACAATTGACTGCGTATGGCACTACATAATGAGGGCAGCGTCATTGTGGGCGGTGGTTGTCTAAGAGGGATGGAAAACAAAATGGAATAAAGTGTTATAATGTTAATCAAAGAATATGTGATAATTTTTAGAAATGGAAATGTCGATTGGAAACCTTTCCATTTTTTAGACATCCCTGATATCCCGATTTGTATTCAACAGGGTACGGAAGGCATACTTACTTATCATTAACTTTTATTATCCATTGTTCTAATAAAATTTTATGGCCTACTGGACCCAAATAGACTTCTATGCAGATGGGCTCACCACGAGCTAGAATATTTTCCATTTTTATACAATAGGCACGCCAACGAGCGCACTGAAAGATGAAAAAAAGAAGGAAGGAAGAATAAATAACAAGAATCTCAAAAAACAGCAGCTACAACAACAACAACAATTCCACTTACCGTTATATTAACGTATAACATATCACAGAAGTGTTCCTCAGCATCTGAGGCATCACCTTTGGTTAGTCCCAATTTGCGCAGGAACCGATCACAGTGTGGACCCTGTTGGGGTGGTGTTGTATTACGACTTGTCGTTGGAGTTGCTCTGGCCGATGATGTTGCAGCAGCAACGGCAGCAGCAGGACTTTCGCGACGATCATGGATATAGCCGGAGATGGAATTATCATAGGTGCTGCTGCTGTTGGTCGACAAACTACTATTGGTGGGTGTTGCTGACTGAGGTGGTGTTGGCATGGCGCTTGATTTTCGTAGTAAATAATCCTTATTATGGCTGGTGGTGGCGGTGGCTGCGGCTACAGGTGTTCCCGAATTATACCAACCGGATGGGGTGCCACCACCAGAGCTACTATTAGCTGAACTACCCGACAAATCTGTATGCTGCGGGGTGGGGAACCGTGGGATATTTTGTGGTGTCAGACGATGATGGCCATATTTGGGTGTGGAAGCTGTAATGGGTGGATTATATGGTATGGGGGTGCCGACACGAAGGCATGTATTGCTGGCCAATGACTGTAGGGAGCACATAAAATTATCCACAACTCCACCGCTGCTACCAATTCCACCACCACCACCGCTGGATCCGCTACTATTCGGTGGCGAATTAAACAAATTCATGCGATTCAAGGCAATACGTCGTATAATTTCAAAATCTCCAGCCCCGCTTGTGCGTCGTTCGTCATGTGACTGCTCTGTATTGATGGCCAGTGCCACATACTCCGGTTCCACAGAACGAACACAGTCCACGGCAACTTTTTGTTCGCCAGCCATATGTTGGCGCTGGGCACAGGGAGACTCTTGGCGCAGTTGGCTTAGTTTCTGAGACCAACGGCTGTGATTGCTCTCCACCGAGGAGCCAGCACTTTCACTGCTGCTATTGCTGTAGTTATCAGCCAGCCGGAAAGACGAATACTGTGTAAAATCTGGCGAATTTGAGGCTTTGCGTCGTAAATAGTTGGCCATGTCCAAGGCTTCACTTGTGCTGCCACCAGCACCACCACCACCACCACTACCATGATGGTGATGAGAATGATGTTCCTGCTGATAGATACTGTTGCCAGCTCTGGAAGTTGATGGTTTGGGCGAATGACGACCGGCACCGCCAATGCTACCATCTGCCATGGTATTAGCTCCACCACAAACACCAGGCCCAACCTGTGTTAAGACATCCGGTTGTCTCACCGCATATTCATCTTCGGCCAAAGCTCGACCTTCCAAGATTAAAGAAGCTATGCCCAGTAATGCTGAATCGTAGACCTCTTTGTTGTCATTGGAACCGCCACCTGCAGCCGTGGACCCAGGTGGAAAGGGTGAAGTGTTGTTGTTGGCAAGGCCTAATAAGCTGCCGGCAGTAGGTGGTGAAGAACCGCTAAACGATGTGGGTATCATTTTGTTTTTGGGTATTCCGTCACAAGACCGTTCAGGCTGGGACCAATTGGGTTTTGTTCTAGACAAAGTTCTATTCTAACGAAATTTCTGCAATTGACGTCGTCGACGGCGGCGTTTTGTATTGTCGTCGTCGTCGTCGCCGCCAATTTCTCTTCTCGTCCTCGTTAAAAAGGCAGCAGCTTTGGTACTCCTCTCCTCCACAGCGCTTTGTTGGAACTGAAAGAAAATGTGGAAGAAATGACAAAATTATTATTGAATTCGATATCTTTGGTATTTTGGCTTGAAGGGCTATTTGGTTATAGTTTTCGGGGAGTAGAGAGATTTTTATAGTTTTTTTTTAATTTTCTAATTTTAAATCTCTGATGTGAAAGATGAGAATTAAAAATGGCGCCCAATTTGAGGATTTTTTTGTAGGTTCCAGAGTAAATCTTTTTTAGTGCAAATGAGAAAATTTCTTGCCACCATCGAGAACAGTTAACCCACTAGAGTTCCCAAAATGATAATTCTTAGACATTTTGGAGCACTTTTGGTCCGCAAAAAAATATTTTTGGCTTGCAGTTTTTGAACTCGCGGGGGCGTTGTATCTCAAAGGCAGCCTTTAGGTTTTTTAGTTTTTACTCGCGTGGACCTGAGACCGCTTCTGAGCATTCTAGGAAGAGTTTCCCCAAGGGGTCTTCTTTCAAAGGGTATTCCGTGGGGGAAAAGTTCTTGTAGGTACAGCCCTCCTCGACGTTGCACCAAATTCGAACAGTTCGGAAATATTTCCAATTAAAGGAGTCTCCTCCCCAAGTGGTTATTGTAAAATGGAAAATATTTTGTTGGAACAGAAGACCTGTCAAGAGATCTTCTTTCAGAAACTGCATCTGAGCTTTCTGGGAAGAGTTTACTTCTATCTTCTATGGATGTGAGATTTTTAATGGAATTTGTAATGGAGTCCTTTCAAAGGGTATGCAAAATTCTTATTGGAACAGAAACGACATATATCTCCCCTCGATGTTGCACGGCAGCAGTTCGAGAAGAGTTCCATTTCAAGGAGTTTCCTCCCAAAAGGTAATTGAAAAATGGGAAAAATCCTGTTGAAAAGCGAGTTTTTGATATCTCTTTACAGAAGACGAACTTCCCGGAGGCCTTCTGTGCCAGAGGTTATTTGAAACATTTGTTTTGTATAAGGCAAAAAAAACGAGATAGACCCATAGTTCCTCATGATGATCTGCATAGAATCACTTTTTGAGTCGATTTACGCATGTCAGTCTGTCCGTTCGTCTTTCCATGAATTCTTGTAAACAAAGTACAGGTCACATTTATTATCCGATTGAGATGAAATTTTACAAACAAAATTTATTTGGAACGATCCCCATTGAAATTGGTGATAATTGGATCATATTTTGATATAGCTCCCATATATGTATATCTTCAATCGATTTCTGGTTATTTGTGCACGAAATGGCCAGTATCGGTCCAAATGACCTGAATTTTGGGACATCCGACCAAATTCAGTCTAGAAATCAAATTTGGAGAAAAATGGTACAGACATAGCTATAGCTCCCATGTATATGTTTTATCCGATTTGTTGGGTATAAGTCCCTCACATTCGTAATATCCATTCGACACCAATGATATTTGGTACCAGATATCAGATAAAGCCCAGAAATACCTCTGCCAAATTATATCAAAATCGGTTCAGATTTGGATATAGCTTCCATATATATCTTCAAAGGATTTCAAGTTAATGGTGAGCAAAATGGCCAATATCAGTCCAAACAAGCAGAATTTTGGTACATCCAACTGAATTCAGTCTAGAAGCAAGTACATAGAATTTGGTGAAAATTGGTTCAGATATAGCTATAGCTCGCATATACAGGGTGAGGTGAAAAAAACTGCAATCAGACTGCTGTCATTTCTAAGCCACTCGTCCGACAGCTCATTATATTGTTTACTAGCGTACAAAAGCATTTTGGTGAGAATTTTCCAGAAAAAAAGTTATTCGGGATGGAATTCAAGCGTGATAGTGCGATTTATTTATATTTGGCTGGAAAACCACAAGTGATTATCGTTAGAGCACTCCTGAATTTAAATGTGAATAAATCTTTTGTGTCTCGTACCATCGCTCGTTACCGTGATAGTGGTAGCGTAGCCCGAGGTCAAGGAAGAGGACAAAAGAAAACAGCAATATCAAAAAGTAAAGAACCGCGTCGCAGTGGCCGAAAAAGGGCTCGCGAGCTTAAAGTATTGTCATTTTCCATTCGGCAAATATTGAAAAATGAGCTCGGGATAAAGCCATTGAAATTCCAAAAAGTGCAAGAACTTACACCGCAACAGAAAGAAAATAAAATCAAAGGAGCTGCAACTCTTTAGCTCGCTTGGCCGAAAGTGGTAAACTGCCGAATTTCGTCTTCTCCGATGAGAAAACATTCGTTGTCCAGCGGTTTGTAAACAAACAAAATGATCGAGTTTACTTGCCAAAGAGGTCAGCTGAAAATGTGCACCTTTGGTTGGCCACCAGAACTCAAGCGCCGGGCATGGTGATGGTGTGGACCGCCATAATAGCCGATGGTCGCTCTCCGCTCGTATTAATCGACCATGGCATCAGGATAAATGCCGATGGATGGTGTATTTAAATATCGAAATACCGCAGAACAACATTCGGACAGCGTGTGACGGTTTTATTGGCGGTTTGAAGGCCATAAACTTATTCTAAAATTTAATGCTATTTCCGACATGTTTTGCTTTCATCAACAAAATGTAAATATGATGGCGTTTGACTTTGTTGCTCTAAAGCCAAATGTTGATAGGTGATATGATATACTTCAAATAATTTTTTGCATAATGGTGTAGGGTATCACAAGAGTCGGACGGGCCGACGACTTTTGACTTTTCCTTATTGGTTTTAATTAAGGTTATTCCTTTTGGAATATTCGAAACAAACAAAAGGCCCGCTAGGATGTCTCTTTTCAAAATTTTAGACGACGACCTTTACGGAGGCCTTCTGTAAAAGGAAGAAATGTGAACGAAATTCCATTTCATAAAATTATATAACATAGCGTTCATATTATTTTGGCATCATTAGATTACATTTTTGAAATAGTTTTGAAAGCAAAATCATGATTGTGAAAATATATTTTCAAAATCTACAAAGAAAAAAAAAAACGAGGTCAATAGAAATGTGGATATGTAAATGTGTGTGTGTGCGTAAACATGATTTCTTAATTTTCCACCCAAAAAAAGCTGTAAGTTCGGCAGGGCCGAACTTTGAATACCCTTCACCCTTTGGAACGAATTTGTCAATTTAAAAAAAAAACAATAAAATCCGTCAATTTTCAAAAACAATAAAATCCGTTAAAAATTCTGTTAAAATCTTAAAAATACCGAATGTAGCTGTTATATTAGGGTCTATACGACGACATTATAATATTCAAATACGAAACTTAAAAAAAAATCGCTGAATAATGTAGCTAAAAACATCAAAATACCGAATATCGGGAGGAACCGTTATATGGCTATACGAAGACGGGGACCTGCACAGACAATTTTCTGTCTTAGGCTATAGTATCCATTTTGAACTTCAAATACCAAATTTGAAACAATTCCGGTGAATAGTGTCGCTAAAATCATTAAAATACCGAATACCGAGAGGTGCCGTTATATGGAGGCTACACGAAGACGGGGACCTGCACAGACAATTTTGTGTCCTAGGCTGTAGTATCCATTACGAACTTTGAATACCAAACTTGAGACAATACCTCTGAATATTGTCGCTACAATCTTCAAAATACCGAATATCGGGAGGTGAACGGCACCTATGGGGGCTATACCTAAACGTGAACCTACATGACCCATTTTCAATACCAAAAGTCCTGCAGACATATTATATATTTGAGTAAAATTTTATCAATCTACTTCATTTCGTTCGGAAGCTAGAGTAATTTCCACAGACGGAGAGGCAGACGGACATCACTAAATCGACATAGAATTTTATGCTGATCAAGAATATTTTTACTTTGTGGGGTCTAAAATGTATATTTCGAGGTGTTACAAATGCAATGACAAACTTAATATACCCTCCATACTATGGTGGAGGGTATAAAAAAAACGAGGTCAATAGAGATGTGGATATGTAAATGTGTGTGCGCAAACATGATTTCTTAATTTTCCAACCAAAAAATAATTCGGAATTAACAAAATATTGAAACAAGTTCTTTATAGAACAACAAGCAGAAATCAAACAATCAACTGCATAGACAAGCCCAAAAGCAAAAGCATAAATCAAAAAGAAAAATGTAACAAATTTTATGTAATTTTAAGGTACATATATACATACAAACACACATATGTACGTTTGTATAAATGTCTGTCTACATTTATGCATTTTCATATCAAATGGGAAAATGAGGAAACTGGGTCATCATCACATCAAACGACTGGGTGCTAAAGTAAATATATATATATACATACCCCCATTGACTATATACATACTGAGATTTTTCTTTTTTGTAATTTACACATACATGTCTATCACACACTTGTTGTTGTTATTGCTGCTGTCTGGCTGTCTGTGTGTGTGAATTGTGCAATGAGAGACACAACAATAAAAACAAAAATTGCACATGGAAACCCAGAGCATGGAAATTAAGGTCGGTCAGTCAATCATTTAATGGAGGTCGTCGATGGGACAAATGGTGGCCATTACTTGCATGCGGGGAGGGGGTAGGGGGGTGGAAAAATAAAATGGCCAAATGAAAAACCCCCAATGGCTATGGACAAAAGAGAACGAATGAACCAACCAATTCAAAGACTGAGTTGGCAACTGGCTGCACAAAACCGCCACAAGCAAAGACTGGAAGTAGGTTACCATGTTATGAATGTAGTTCTTGGCCATGTTGGAACATAGCCAGTTTGCCAGTCACTTGGTAAATAAGAGATCTTACATCACACACACATACACAAGAATGTGAACACATACACACATACCTTGATGAAAATAAAATATATATTGCAAATGCATATAGACTAAACTGCATGTGCAACAGATATATGTATGTATGTATATGCACTTCTATATAAAATATAGATTCAGCAGCTACACATTGGGGGCGTGACCCATAAACCTAGTTTGCAAACACCCCTTCTTCCACTCCTTACTTCTCGTATTATGTTTTTGTTGGCAACTGTTCAGCACACACACCACACACACACATAAATTTCCAATGCGCGCGGTC